AATTTTCCTCCATAGAGATAATTTCGAATATTTTATGTTTTATGACGTTCGAAGATATATCATCAATCTCCATTTCTCTCAAAAGCATTGAGAGAAACAGAGGATAGCTCGCTCAAACAAAAAAAAAAAAAAAAAAAAAATTAAAAAAAAAAAAAAAAAANAAAAAATTATATTTGTACCACTTTTTATTTTTTCGAAGTACTTAAAAATATGTATGAAAAACTGCATTTTTCGGGGACTTATTTCTTCACTCCTTAAAAAAAGCGGCATAAAAATTATTCAATACGTTAACAGAAAAGAACAATGTATATGTTATCGATTTATTTTCGCATTAATCATTATTTTCTTTGTTGTGAGCCATTAATATTTTTTCAGACAGCAAATACTAATTAGTGCTATATGGCTTTTGGCTGCTATCTTTACCTTAATTCAGATTAACCAATGATAGAATACTTTGTATATAATAAAGGGCAATAAGTATATTGCTTGGGTTTTCATTTATGAATAATAAGAACGATTGTATTTGTTATTATATTGGCTCAAAGCTGCATGCATTAAGAAAAAAACACTCTTTTTCTGAAAATAGGGTCAGCGCCATCTTATTGGAGTTCGAAAAATGACGATATCTCGTGAAATCACGCACTTGAACGAGAGTCAGTGGGTGAAGGTGTAGTGTGAAAGGTGGGAACCTAAATACACTGTTAATTTGAAGTAATTTTAAACCATATAAAATATTGGGAATTATTTTATGTATCAAGGTAAGTTTTTACCTTTATAAAAAGATGTTCATTTACCGTGAAAATGATTTAAATGAAAGATATATGTTGATGAGATGTTTAATGAGTCCTCTCTTTTCTTTCTTCCCCACCCTTATTTTCCTTTTATGCTTTTGGTACAGTCCTTTGAAGTTGTGCCGGTCCTCTGGCCTAGTAACCCTCCAGTAATGAAGAGGCTTTAGGACAAAATTCACATTACCTAATAACTTAGTTTTACATGATATTTTTAATAAAAATTACCATACAAAAATATTCCAAACTTGCTTTAGAAGTGGCTGATATGGTTGAGTCAGACATCTTAATAATGGCGTCGTTGTTAGTCAAAAAATACATGTTTCTTTATTAACGTAACTGTGCTCTGGTTTATGAAATGTTGATGTCATTTATATCTGACTCGTAAAATGAATTAATAAATATCTATTTAAACCACTGATTAATAAACTATCAAACGAATACTTTAAGAGATACAGAAAATATAGACAAAACGCAATTTTTTAATAATTTTATTTATAAACAATAATACAACACACTCGTTGAACGAATACCAATAATCGTCTGTTTCATTCTTCTGTTACATTTCCGTTCTGTTACATTATGTATTCCTTTTAAACTAATTCACATGATACGTTGATTTATAATTTAGCAATAAATATTTATTTTAGTACTACTACATCTGATTCAGAAGTAAAGAAAACATTATTTATCTACTTTCTGTGTTGCCTGCATTTCGCTTTTCTTGAGTTATGTTCATTAATTTGATGTAGGCATCAATTGTTTATTAATATTTAAATTAATTAAGCTTAAGCATTATTTATTTATAATATTCTAGAAGTTATAGATGCAATTTATATTATTTAATCTAGACATTGTTTTTATTATAGGGATATTGAATCAATACCTAGTATGATTAGATCTAAAATCTGTGTTTTTCGATTATATTATTGCTTCTAAACTCTCTTAAAGTGAGATACCCGGGATAATTCAAGATTTACTTTCATTATTATTGGTTTTTTAATTTTTAAAGCACTTGTATTTTTTTAAGCAAATGTATTTTTCAAGAGGAGTGCTATTTTTATGCTTGTTGTTAAAAAAAAATTATTGTTGATTTAGTCCTCATTAATTAATTAATACTTTTATTGGAGTAAATTATCACCATTAAAATAAGGAGTTTATTTTTTTTTAGAATATGCTTTTAGGCTTTCATATAATAATTGACACTGGTTATTTATATATTAGAAGTTGGCACTTATTCTTTAGCCTCTCACATTTGTCTTTAAACTTAATATTTTGAATTTTATAATTAAAATGAATAAAATCACTGCATAAAAAACATTTATCAACATAAGTTCAATCTTAAACTCATTCTTATATTCAAATCTTAAAAAAAAAAGAGAGAGAGAAAGGGAAAAGAAAAACATAGTTTAAAGAAATGTTTTGAGTGTTATAAAACTCTCAGAGATCTTTCCATATCAGGATCTGTCATGCCAACTGCAATCACCAAGGCACCAACTTTATTTTAAATGGGAAAAATTTAAAAAAAAAAATGCATGTGCTGATTTGCCTGAGGGTGGCAACGAGTTGGTCCTTTTCTGTGATTTTTTTTTTTTAAATTTTCTTGTGGGCTGCTGCCCGGAAGTCGTCGAGACTTGGCCACAGATCATGATATGGAAATCTCCCCCAAACTTACACATTCAAATATTTTGTTTGCATTTTCCATAAAGCAACTGAATTTAACTTCTATGTATGCTTATTATTGTTGTACATGTTAAATATTAATTAAAAATAGCTTCTGTTATTAATAGGATGTACTAAAGAAAAGTAATTGTACATATACAAATATTTCAATTTAATATAAAAAATATCATTTGAAAAATTATAAAAATCTTGGTTTGCATAAATTCTTTCCAGTTCATTAGAATTATTTCTGTATTTTGTATATTAATTGTAATTCTCCTATGCGATAAGGGTTTCATTTATTAAATCAGGGGTCTGTCTAGGTTTTTCTGAAAGGTACCTATTTTGTGAAAATTTAGGCATAATTTGTGAAAATTAAGGCATAATTTGTGAAAATTACAGGCATAATTTGTTAAAATTAAATTTAAAAATCAGCAAAAAAATATGGATTTATCCATTCATACTGGTTACATAAATAAAATTTTAAGAAAAAGTATTTTGTGAAACTACCGTTTCTCCTAAAGTTGAATTTGTGAAGGTACCGCTAAACAGTTGTAAATTTGACCTAGACAGACCCCTGTATATATATGTTTAATTCAAATCATTAATCTTTTCATTGCTTTATGATAAAAGTACTTTTTTAATGTTTTGTATGTTTCAAGAAATTGTTTCCATAACTGAATTTTTAAAGTTGTGAATTGTTAAAAAGGTATCTTAAATAATATGTTTAAGTATTTGATGTACATTCAAATATTTAGAATAAGTAGTCATTGCATGCAAAAAATATTGTATCGAATTAGAACTTCATAAATTATAAAATATATTTATTTATACTCATTTATTGAATCTAGAATCTTACTAAATCTAGTTAGTTGGTTTTGCTTTAAGTGTACTAATCTAATTCTCAATTTCTAAATGTATGCTTCGCAAGAATTTTTATTTTGAGGATAAAGTTTTAATTAAAAATGCTATTGGTGTAGTGTTAGAAAATATTTTTTATTAAAATGAAAAGTTAATTATCGAAATATTTTAATTCAACATAAAATCCTTTGTTTTTACCAAAAGTAGAAAGATGGAATATCCCCACTCCTCTCTTGAAATTAAAACTGTTTAAACGTTTTTTTAATGGTATTTTTTAAAAAAAATTTAGAGTAAGTTCCAAAAAGTTCATATCTAGGAACTGACCCAATGTAATTAGAAGCAATAAGTATTTGTTTTTAAAAGTAGTATGATACAATATTTATGTTCTGAACTTAAGTATTTTTTGCATTTGTTCTTGTTTAATTTTTACTAGCTGAAAGATAGGTAATTGTTCTCTTGTAAAAAAGAAAATCCTGTTTGATACAATAATTAATTAGATTTAATTAAAGAAGTTAATAAATAATTAATTAAAGAAATTAATTTTAAAAAGGAAGTACTGTTTTCCTTTCTTTTATTTATATATATTTTAACCACCATTTGAAAGAGATTGTGTTCCTCCACAGAGATGATTAACCTTAAGTGAATTCCTGTTGAGGCAGAGTTATTGAATTCTCAAAAATTTCCTTAATTTTTTTTTCTTCTTTTATTATTTTGAGCCTTTTTTAGGGAATATTTCCGTATCGTGATCTGTCGCGACAACTGCAATCGCCTAAGTGCCAAATAGATTAACTTGCAAATTTAAAAAAAAATTTTTTTAGATGTTTTCCTGGAAGTGGCTACGATTTATACCTTTCGAGTTAGTCCCTTTCTGTGGTGTTTTTTTAAGTTTCTTGCGGGCTGCTGCCTGGTAGGTACCAAGAGTTTAAAATTTTTTCGCCATAGATCATGATAGGGAAATCTCTCCCTATTTTTACATGACTAAAAACTATTGCACTTATCTCAAGTACTGATAATGATTTTTTATCTTGATAAATGAATTATTTGTACACTATTATATACTTTTAAAAATAAACTTTGCCCAATTTACATTTCTAAATTTAATTAAAGCTTTGTATGCAGTTTATAAGCAATATTTATTTTAAAATAATTAAGATGATATATATTTTTTGAAACATAGCTTATGCTGTCAGTAACAAAACTCCCGGCCGATGGCATCCAATTCACCTGAGCCATCTTCATCATCAGAAACATCAGCTCAGCATGTGCAAGAAGATATACATTCGANCTGTGATCAGAAAATACAACTGCAATCGCCTAAGTGCCAAATAGATTAACTTGCAAATTTTAAAAAAAAAAAAATTGTAGATGTTTTCCAGGAGGTGGCTACGATTTATACCTTTCGAGTTAGTCCCTTTCTGTGGTGTTTTTGTTAAGTTTCTTGTGGGCTGCTGCCCGGTAGTTACCAAGAGTTTACAATTTTTCGCCATAGATCATGATAGGGAAATCTCTCTCTATTTTTACATAACTAAAAACTATTGCACTTATCTCAAGTACTGATAATGATTTTTTATCTTGATAAATGAATTATTTGTACACTATTATATACTTTTAAAAATAAACTTTGCCCAATTTACATTTCTAAATTTAATTAAAGCTTTGTATGCAGTTTATAAGCAATATTTATTTTAAAATAATTAAGATGATATATATTTTTTGAAACATAGCTTATGCTGTCAGTAACAAAACTCCCGGCCGATGGCATCCAATTCACCTGAGCCATCTTCATCATCAGAAACATCAGCTCAGCATGTGCAAGAAGATATACATTCGAGGGACATGCGTACTTTTTGTGACGTATGTTTTGATTATTTTACTGTTGAATACTTTTATTTGAATTTTTTTTTTTTGCTGTCAGTTGTATTTTTAGTATTATTATAGGTCAGTTAAAATGAAAAATCAAATAACTGAGATGTAAAGAGTTGTAACCAGGATTAGCAAAAATCATATTTTTTTAAAAAAATAAAAGAAAATCAGATTTTTAAAATTTTCAATCAGATTATTTGATTTTTTAAAATTTAGCAACCAAAATATCTGATAAGATGTATTAATAGCACTTAATATTATTTAAAAATATTTTAGCTAAAATAGTAAATAATTCTTACTAAAATGGTTAAAATTATTATTCAATTACTGAAAACTAATATTAAATAAATTAAATCATAGTTATGTTTTTCAAGCTCAACTTGCTAATGAATGTTAAAGTTTAGGAGACTATTTGACAATTAGCTATCTAATAAATTAGTTAAAATCAAAAAACATAACTGAAAAAATTATTTTGAGTTACTTTGGATGCATACATATTTGATAAGTTTGAAAAGCACTGAATTTAAATGAGCATGGAACTAAATGGATATGCTAAAAAATATAATTTTTTTTTGCTCTCAAATTATTTTATTTATATTTAAATATATTAAAAGTTACATGACATTCTTATCCACATTAAGTTTCATTTTTTTTCTTTAATTTTTAGCCTACTTTGAAATGCAGTCAAACCCTTTATAGTGAACCTTCAAGGGACCGAAATTTCAGTTCACTATATCCGTAACACAGGCAATTTAACTAATGGTTCCCAAACTCCTCCCTTTTATTACACATTATTCAAATAAATGACTGAAAAATATTATGTAGTAGCAAAAAATGTGTTATTTTTCACTACTCTTCTTCTTGCTTACAAAAAAAATTAGTAATGTTTAGCTGATGAGCAATCCTCTACATCAGTTATGGAAATACTTCCCGAATCACAGATAATTTTTCCCGAATTTCTGTTATTCCGTTTTTTAAGCCTGTCCAACCAGCCATTCGAGCACATGAAAGTAGTCTCATAAAATCACTTAGCAAATTTATCCACATTTGTCCAGATTGCGGCTTCTTCTAATGGTGAACCACTTCAGTGATGCTTCTTCAACATCCTTGTGATCTGCTTTTCTCAACTTTTTTCTGCCATCTAAATTTTTTTCATGAGCAGAAATTATTAATTGCCTATTTTTCCATTTGTTACAAACTTCAGATTTGGATAGTTTATATTCCCTGAAAATATCAACAACAACAAAAAAAAATGAACAAAAAAATCAGTCGAAGACAGAAAAAAGTTCATTATATCCAACTTCCTCACTTTTTTGGTTCACTATATCCACAAAAAATAACATTATGCGTGTATAGCAAGGCACGGGACCGAACATTTGGTTCACTATATCCGGGAGTTCACTATAAGCCGTGTTCACTATAGCGGGGTTTGACTGTATTATATTTAACATGTATATCCCTTTTATTATTTCTTATTAAGAAATCTTCGTAATGAAGCAAGACTTAGGAAAATAACATTCTAAATGAGGAATTTATTAACTGTATTGTGCAAAAAAGAACAATATTTTATTCCTATTTTTTAATTTTTTATTTTAAATCAGCTTATTTAAATTAATGTCTTATAAAAAATATTAGGTGATTTAAATCAATGATTTTTTAAAAAAAATATTAGGTGATTTAAATTGAGATTTTAATCATGATTTCATCATGGTGGTAATTAGCATCTTATCAAAATTTCATTTCTCAACTGTAAATAATTAATCTATCAAAAGCTATATGTGAATAAAGATTCTAAGTGATATTTTAGTAAGAGATACAAAGTTGATTTGTATCTCTTACTAAAATATCACTTCGAATCTTTATCCACTAAAATTCTTATTCAGTTCTAGGTATGAAATGAGTACTATTTGAATGAAAACATTGTTGTATATTTGTCTTGTAATGTAGTTTTAAACTTAATTTATTACTCATTTTCAAATAGGTAAACTATGTTGGGGATGGAAATGGAGTTCCATTCCAAGAGGAATTTAATTTTAAACCAGGTCCTAGTTTATCTCCAATGGTCAGCTATGGTTCATTAATTGACACTTGTAGTTCATCTGCTACTTACGCTCAGGTATAATATCTTATAATTATTTAATCTTTGTTTTAAGTACTGAAATGTAACAAATAGAAATAATGTAATGCAAAACTAAGCTTCATTTTTTTTTTCTGAATTATTTCTCAATATTATTATTTTTTTGCTACAAAATATTTGTAATTACAATCAGGGTTGGAGTTTTTGCCGGCAAAAAGGGTTTTTTGCCAGGACAGTGGCAAAAACCTGGTAAAAACCGGCGAAAATCAAATTATCTAAATTGTTGATTAAATATTATTACAAAATACTTAAACAAATTTAAATCAATCATAAAGAATAATAATTTTGATACATTACATGAAAAAATTATTTTAACATATTAATAATTAATATAAGGGCAATAATTTTTAAAACATTGAAAGTTTTTGACCTCTTTTCATTTTAGAATCCTTAAATAAACATTTTTTTACAAATAAATAAATATTATTATTTGTATAATATTATTATATTATAAAAAATTATTATTTGTACAATAATTAACTACACATCTTGATAGATATTTTATGCTTTAAATTATAGTTATATTAATTTAAAATAAGTTCATTTCACTGGAAAAAAGAGAATAATCGCAAATTTTCCAATCAATAATGTCTTAAACTACTAAAATGATACATTATTAAATTATGATTTAATTATGGAATAATAATTTTGTTAATTGTTTTGTAATTATTTATATTTATAGTATATATTTCAATTTTAGGAATAATTTTGTATCAAAAATGTGTTTTTGTCCTCTCATCTTGGAAAATATAGGTTTTTGCCACTTTTTGCCAATTTGCTTGGCAAAAACCTGTTTTTGCCAGGACGGTTTTTACCGGTATTTACCATGGTTTTTTCCACCTGCGGCAAAATCTTGCCAACCCTGATTACAATACATAATTACAAGATCAATGTAATAGTGATATTTTTTTTTGCTAGATAGCTACAGGAAATATTATTTTATAATTAATAATTAATGGTTTACTAATTATAAACTGTTAGGAAATACTTAAAATATGTCAGTATAAAATTAGGAAGTCTGGTGTTGTTCATCTATTTTCTTGTCATACAATAAGAAAGTGAGATCAAAGCTCTTGGGGTATGAGAGTTTAACTGGTGATAAAAAAAGTGTCATGCTTGTAGTTTTTTTTTAGTTGATGTAAGCTATTAAATGTTTAGTGTTAAATTCTGTTAGTTAATTATACATATGAACATTGTAATTTATTTGTAATTAGTAAATAACTCAATATTTAAATCTCTATGATATCAGAAATCCTGTGATCAGAAAATGGTTTAAAGACAAGGTTGATTTTTTGGTGTGCGTAAATTTGATTTTTAATGTGACAAGCGACAAAAATTGCATTTAAACCAACAAAAACTTTAGAGAGAAGAAAGATTGTATTTTGTTTTACATAACATAAACTCTGTATCACTTTAAACTGAATATGTTATTAAATTTAATTCTGTAAAATCATCAACTTATAAAGGTCATGTCTGAGTTTAGGTACTTAGGTTAGGTAGAGTTTTTTTACATGATAGTTTTATCCATAGTTAAAGCCCTTCAAAAACCTTCCAACCCAGCACAAAGATAAAATCTAAATCAGCATTGTATTTATTGGTCTTAAATAACATCTTAAAGAATCTTTTTTTCTTAATTTCTGGTCTTAAATAATGTTTGGAAAAAAAGCTTGGGAAATGTAATTGTAGAGGAAAGGACGGTACACATTCTTCAAGAGTTAGCAATATGTATGGACAACTTCTCTTAAACAATGGAATGCAGACAAATAATTGTTGTTTTTTTTTATTTAGGTTTCCTTGCCTTCATATTCAACAGTCACACATGTGTCTACCAGCAATGAAAATGATTTTCATTCACCTGAAACTAATACGTCTCATGAACAGGAAGCTTACATTTCTAGTGATACGAGCAAGAAGATCTCAATTCTATCTATACCCGTTTCCCCGGTAGCTAGTGTTTTAATATTTAACAGATTTTTGCTTTGTTCTGGTGAAGAATGCTGTTTTCTCCTAGTGTTAAATTAAAGTAAATTTTGGATCAATTCAGAATTGATTGACTTGTCCACTGCAGAAAAGTTAATTCAATATATATCTGTAAAATTTCCTATTAGAGCTTGCTTGAAAATGTGCTTTATCATATTACACTTCTTTAAAATTTTTATTCTCAGATCAAATTTTATTGCTACATGAAAGGAAAAAAAAAGTTATAACTATAAATTTTAAACATTGAAAAGTTGTTTGTTACATATATATCTATATATATATATATTGTACGATAAACAAAAAACCTCAATACAAAATACGTCAAGTAGGGACATATTATTAATATCATAGATCGAATTTTCCAGAGAGATTTTTTTTAAACAAAAAATATTAATATTATGGAAAAATAGTATTTAACATACAGCAGTTAGCACATAGGATTTGTCAAGCACCAGATTCTGCCAGTAAAAAATTTTATCCTAGTGTTGTATCCTAATTTTTTCTTTTGATATCGCTTTGTGTATAAATACTTTACTAATCTTCTTAGATTTTTAGCTAACACGTGGAGTTATCATATGTTTAAATCTTATAACATCCAAGTTTAAATTTTCATCAAAGTAATTCATGCTGCTTCAACATTAGCCATTTATCTTCAGGGTCTTGAAAAATTAAATATTTATCACGATCTGAGTAATTAACTTAGTTTTAACTCAGATTCAATCCTGTCAGGAAAATACAAAAGGAAACATATTAATCTTACCTTAAATGGGAAAGAAAAGTTATTAAAAAGGAATAAATTAAGTAATGAAAATAATTCTAGAAATATTAGTTAATTTATTTTCACATGTCAAGCTATTGTTTAACAATTTTCAACTTATTTCAGGCCACATGGCCAAGTATGTACAATATTATTACATACAAAAAAATTGTGATGGTAACATTGTATTATTTAATTAATCAATAGAAAAGTTAATCTCTAGAGCAGAAGGAAATTAAGTTTTTAAAAAAAAATTATCAGTAAAACTGATTAGCACGGACACATGTCATGTGTGCCAAAAGTTAAAGAATTTAGAATAACATTTCTATTAAAGTAAAACTGGAGGATTGCAAAAACTTTAAAGACTAATGTTTATAAAAAAGATTTCATATCTTTTTTAGATCAGGGACATATCTTCCATATGTCCCTGATCTCGTGACAGGATCTCAATGGGAAAAATCTTGCTGACAGGGAATGCTATTCACTAGTTGCTACACCTTTCTAAAAAAAAAAGTTCTCTCTCCTGCTCAGAAAAGTAGCTCCTCCCTAAGGTGGCTGGTTGGCTAAAGCGTTGTTACGTCATTACTCTAGTGACAAATCATTAGATCTCACTTGTGTACTTAAGACCGGAAAAAATTGAGTTTCAAGTAGGGAATAAGGGATAAGCTAAGAAGATTTAGGGGGAAAATAGGAAATATATCTGCTCTAATTAAAAACATTTCCCCCCTTTTTTTAACTGCTCTCAGAGAATTAACATCATAAAACAGATTGTTTTTCTATTACATTGTTTCTTGATTACTTATTTATTATCTATGAAGGCTGGTTTTCACATGCTAGTAATGTCCTACGTCAGAGATGGCGAACCAAACACAAAGTTCACTATGAAGCATATTTACAATTAAATTAAAATTCACAGAAAATTAACAAGCTAACAATAAATAACTAGCAAAAAAAAATTTAACCATTCTGCTTAAACTAACATCTTATATCCCTAATATAAATTACTTGTCATCTAATCTGCAACAATAGAAGTCACACTGATGTTACTTTAAGTGAAATTACGCTTATAGCTGAGACATTGCAAAATGTATTTTTTTCTTCTTAGTAAATAAGGAGTTTTGAGTTGATAGTATTTATTATTATTATTTACCCAATAATCAAGAAGTCAAAACTATTTGTCGGCACGTCTATGACCTCATTAAACAATTTTTTTGAAAAAAATGGCATGTTGGTGCATAAAGGTTTACCACCCCTGTCCTAGATCATAAAATCAGGTGTCTATAAGAAAACTCAGCAATCCTATTTTCCACAAGAAATATGTTAAATTTAGCTTCCAAATCTTTCACAATCTATAACATGTGATTTAAAAAGTTGAAAACTATGAGGCATTGTGTCAAAATTCCATATTTGCTGGCTAGTGCAGCCACAACATACATCATTGAAAAAAATTATTTTTTTTAGTACAAATTTTATGCGTGGTGCATGTTTACTAAAGTTTTTCAATTTTAACCATTTATTTCTTTACCGTAGCATTTGTCTACAATTTAAATTATTGTGCATAATTTTTTTTTAAGTTCTGTAAATATGTTAAATTTATCCTCCAAATTTTCACAACCTAACAAATTATGAATTGTTCGCTTGATGAACTTTATAATTAAAAAGACAATATGGCTTATTTCAATATTTACTGGCTAGTACAGCTACAAAATACATAAAGGGTGATAGATTGTTGTGCACAAATCGTTTTCAATTTACGTAAAGTTTGAAAATTAATTTTCATAGAAAATGTTAATGTTAAGTTTGTTTATATTTAACATAAATGAAGTATAGCCTTAATTTAAAAGCTTAATGATGCTATAACTGGTGAATTTATCTAAATACTAATTTGGAGAATAATTAGGTTTATATTATTAATTTGTTATACTTATTAAATTTTAAAAGTTACCAAAATTTGTTTTCTTTTTAACTCATTTGGTCTTGTGTTACAGATGCTGCAGTCCCATCCTGACACTTTAAACATTCCGTCAGCCGAAGAAACAGCTTCTGCAAATGTCTTGAGCCTGCATGAAGATTCTGTCGATTCTCATCATTCCCAAGTACAAGATGAAGATCACCTGGAACCGGTTGCTTTATCTGTTGACCACCTTAATTTACCCCATGTATCTATTGTTCACCACGGCATACCAAATCTTGGCAATCTTCCTATAATTTTGGATAGAAATAGCCTAGCTGCTTTGATCTCATCATCCAGAGGGGATGGCACTCTCACTCTGGATGTCTCTCACCTCCCACGCTCTCTGTTGTCTAGTCAGAGTATCTCACAAAGAACAGTTCCAGAACAACCTCAGTTCCTTTCTGCTGATGCTTCAACCATTCCTAACATATCCACTACAATTTTACCTCCACTATTGTCCCAAAAAGATATTCTTACTTCTATCATTGCTAGTTCCTCTACCTCTACTGTTCCCACAAGCTCTTCAGTTGGAAATAACTTCCCAATCAACCATAAGCAGATGTTAGCTCAAAAATATGCTGCTGAGATGCTGGGTCCAACCACCACTGCCAGTTTGATCAACGAACTAAGGGATCAGCAGCTGATTGAGAGTATGAGTGATAGATCTTCGTCAGCCTACGTAGTCCCATCTAGTGCTAATTCACTGATTGACTCTAATGCCCTGTATGATGATCAAACCTCCTCATTACCAAGTACCTCTGTTAGTCAGTGTTTACCGTTAGATGTGTACGCCATTGACAGGAGTGTTGCATTGGTATCTAGCTCACGTGATAGTCCTGAAACAGTTATACAGGTAAAATTAAATTACTGAAACTTCAACTAAGATTTTTTTAAATATATATATTTTACACAGTAGTAAAAAAAAATTATTTTTTATGATATATTTTGACATTATATATTTCATATTTGATATATTGCATCTATAAACCGTTTTTGTTACAAGTATCAAATAGATTTTACTTATAAAATTAATTATATGGCTTTAAATTTTTCCTTTCAATCTGCAATTCTTTTTTTTTTTTTGTATTATTTTTACTCTTAGTATTGAGTGATATTGTTAGTAACATAAAATCACAAAGCATCACATCACCCAACTTTGGCCAATCAGCTAGTTCTATTTTTAAGAGCTCTATCTTTTAACAGCTATAATAGCAGTGTTTGAGAATAGTAGTCCTTCTCCAAATTTTCATGCCAAAACCAACAAGAATACTTTAAGCCACCACCAATTTAATGTGCACCTTTCTCAAAGCAGTATCTTATTCGGATAATTATTATTGTTTTTAGGACGCTTGCAGATTATGATTTTTTTTATATACCATAATTTCGCGTGCATACGCCACCTTGCCATCTACGCCGCAATCGTAAAATTTGATTAAAAAGGAAAGTTTTTGAAAAGGAAAAGTTATATTAGTTAAAAACTCTTATCAGATATGCTGCACAAAATTTAATTGCTTGATCGATCGTGGAACGCACCTGTTTTAAATAAGAAGTTATACGGAAAGTAAATTAGTCAACCTTTGAAAATCATTAAATATTCAATAAATTAATGCATGCAGTTTTACTTAAAATAAAAAAAAATATGTATTTCGATAATTTTCAACATAGCTTTTCAAATGTATGCAAAATTATACCATGTAAATGAGTGCGCAATTCAAATGCAACACAAACACATTAAATTAATAAATACTAATTTAAAATACTCAAATTATGTGTAAACCAAGTGATTACAAACCTAATTATATTAAAATAAGTTATCAAAATACAATAAATTGATGAAAAGAATCTTACTTGATGCAAAATTTTACCATATAGACCAATTACGATTGTATCATGACGCTTTATGGTAATTTGATTTGAAATACCTAAATATTATAAAATCAAATGATTACTCAGCTTAAAATTCTTACAATAATTCAAACAAATATTAATAAAATAAAATAAATCTTGTCTAACAACCAAAACAATCATGAAAGCATCCCATTTTGTTTTTTTACTAATTTTAAATTTCTAAAATTTTAACCTATCAAATGATAAACAACCTTTAAAATAAATTTTAAAAAATAGATATAAAAAATAATCCTGTTTTGCTCAAAATTAAAGCATAAAATGATTGTGAATTTCATTTCATTTATATTAATTTATGATATCCTAGTATAATATCCAATCAAATGATTAAACAGCTAAAAAATTTTTTAAAATGAACGTTAAATAGAGAATAAATAAGGAAGTTCGCACATTCCTCTTTTATCCACATGTTCATCATGTTGCATCATTTTACTTGAACGTCTCTAAATTTCAAAATCATATATTTCTGAAAGTACCATTATATATACTCTGTGAATTTACAATTATGTATGAATTTGCTTGTGTTGTGAAAAACTGACTTTGACTTTGTTCTGGTATTATATATTTTATATTTCAAATTATTCTATTTGTGAACTGTGAATGCTTCTTATAAGTTTCAAATAGATTTACTCTTAGAATTTATGTCATAGTTTGGCTTTAAAATCTAAATCTTCAGTTTTTTTTTCTTTTATGTATTGCATTTGTTCCTGTCATAAAGTAAACAATCTTAAAGCATCATCTAATAATTATATTTCATTATTTTTATAGGACAGTGTAGATTTTGAAACCGTTTCCAGGCACCCATCTTCCCATCATTCTGTTCATAATTATGTATCATCAAGTGTTGATCTTGTTCACTCGCATCAGTTGGACCATGGAATGCATTGTGCTGTTGATTCTACGGTTAGTCCTAAACTTCATCATAATGAAGAAGTAATTATCATTTCAAGAAACTGGTTGCATGTCAATTTATATGTTCTTAAAAAATTTTACATAGTGTTTTTGTATGATTCTTTTTACTGCGATCAACTTTTTAAATTATAAATATCAATTTGATTGTAAATATGTTGCTATTAGGCAAATATTTATGCTAATTTTGCAATGTTGAGTGTTCGTTGCACATGTTTGGAAGATTATCAGGTTCTTTTTATAATATGAAATTTTAATATGAAAGATTATAAAAGATAATGTATTTTCTTTAAATGAATAAATTATCCCTCAGAGACTGACTCAACATTAAACAATTTTTTATCTAACACAAATGTTAGATAAAAATTCTATAACAGTTTTGCTGTTCTTAATCTTATGATTCTATCTCAATGTCCAAGCAATTGTGAATCTCTAAAAGATAGAGTATATCCTAGATCAAGCATCAAACAATAGGCTAATCTGTTTTCCTGTAAAACCTTTTTTTTTTTTAGATTATTACATATTTCCATTACACGGAGAAACATATTAAAAAAACCTGCCCGATATCTAGAGAACTTTAACCAAATAGATTAAAAATTTAATTGTTGCGCTAACTTGTAAGAAACATTTTTTCCAACCAAAATTTAGTTTAAAGTTACCGTTGTCCAATTTTACTCATTCATGCTTATTTTCTTTATAAATGGAAATCATCTTATACTGAAATTGTTATCAAATATTTCCAAATGATTTTTTTATTATATAATTTAAAAATAATTTTTAATATTAATACAAATTCACACATGGTACATCTACTTTTATTCTAACTTAGAACACCTTCTGTTAAAGTTAGTTCACTTTGGGATAAAATGACATGCTTCTGCAAAATGAAATTTTGGAATCTAACCCGGTGTTACTCCTGTAAAATTTATTTGCACTGTAAATCAGGGTTAGTGGCCATCAGGCATTTATCTATAAAGGATTACATGTTTTATTTTAATCTAAAAAAATAAAAAAAAGGTAAAAAAAAATAAGGTAAAGATAAAAAAATAGTGATTGAAAATTTTAATCTTTAATTCTTATAACTTAAATTAATTGGATAATTAGGGGCTCAATCAACTTAAATTTACCAACTATCACATGTTTATTACTTTATAAATGCTTACATGTAAACATTTTTGATGAAAAGGTAAAAAAATGATGATTGACTATTTTATTTTTTAATTCTTGTAACATAGCATAATTGAATAATTGGTGATAGTTCAACTTTGGTTTGATTAACTATCACATGTTTATTATTTTTTAAAATTTATTTAGAAGTGCATTATTTCAATGCCATTTAAAATGTTTTGTATGGTTTTATCACTTTTATTTCAGGAAATCAGAAAAATGCTTTTGGAAAAAATCAAATTAAAATGTCGCAAAATTATTAGTTAAGTTATTCTCTCAGTGAACATTCAATTGCCAAAATGTTTTTGAAATACTGAAAGACAAATTGATTTTGTTAAATTAAAGATGGTTGAAATCTAAGTGTCATCTATTCTGATCTTAAGAGACAATGCCTTTTCAGTTAGGAGTGTAGAGTCTATTCTCAGAACATATCGCTAATTTCAATGTAAATTTTAGTTTAATCTGAGGTGTGAATTTAATTTCCCATTAAAGCCTGAAATTATACATACAGTTTTCTTATTTGATATAATAGACTCTGTTTGGTTTGATATCAGATTTACTTACTTTTATAATGCTTTTTTTAAGAGACTTCATTTTCTTCATTCATTCTCATGAAACATTTTTTGTCTAAAAAAGATTATTTTATTTTTAGAGTATTGTTGACAGTTCTGATGGCTACTCCCAACACATGGAAAACCAAGATCATATCCTGCATACCACGACTGAAGGTTTGTGTTATTTTTAATTTTTGGTTTTCAAAAGCTTTTTTTAAGTTTTTTTAAAAATCTTTTCTAATTAAAAAAAATTCATAATTAGTTGGTGGCCTGTTAAAGGACAAAGTGATATGTTTTTCTGTTCTACAAAAACCCTTTTTTGTATATTTGAGAAGCCTTCTAGCAGGAGTAACCAATCTCTTGATCTTCGCATATTACCAAGCAGAAAGTATATTAACTCTTTAACCACCACCTCATTTTTAAAAATTTTTTTTTAGGATGATTAGAGTGGGTTTTTAAATGTCTCCCTCCAAAACAAAATTGACATGTTTTTACAATTTTCAAAAATTATACTGATTACGAAATTTAATGGGACAAGTTCTTAGAGCTGACCAAACATTTTCTTTAAGATGTCTATATTTCCCCTGCACATATTCTGTACCCTTATGAATGAGTAACAATCTAGCAAAGACTTTTTTTTCTGATGAATATTATTAGAACAAATATTAATATTTTCAGTTGTTAAGAGTTTCTACTTAAATTTTTTTTTCAATAATTCAAATTATCTCTGAATACAATTGTTTCTATTCCTTTTCATGTTTTACAACTATGTAAAAATTTTGATTGTTTTATGTTTTGCTAGAAGATTACACTTGTCATATTGCTGAAATGGGTTCTTGTGATGCCTCTACTAATGAAGCAGTAACCTCAGTTTTAAGCAATGGATCTATTGAAGCAAATGAAGCCCTAAGTTCATCAAATCATGGATTTACGCACAGTCGCTGTAAGTATTAACTTTTTCAGTTAAGAACAGCTAAATCAGGAAAGTAAATGATAAATAATTTTTTTCTGTGTCGACCTTTTCTCTTCTGTAAGCTGTTTGTCTTCCTACACATCAACTGACATTTTTTATGTACATAAAATTTTTAATGTACTTCTATATAATCTCAAAATGTTTAACAAGTTCTTATATTACGTTATGGATGGTGTTTTCAATATAAATGTAAACAATCTCAAGCTCAATACCTGCTCTAGTTCCGGTTAGAAAGTTTGCAACTGCTTACTACAGCTTATTCTGCGGGGCGATATTTTCAAACGGATAATTTTGTTTTCAATAAAATAAATAAATTAAATAATTTTTGAGCTCAAATCTGCGGTATTTCATACAATATTAATGTTATTAAGTAATTCTGGTGAGTTTGAAGTGAAGAATTGTTTTACTTATATGTAGATATATTGTTAAAAAATGTGACATGGTTGCCAGATTTTGAATAACTCGCTTTTTTGGCAATCCTGATTTGGCCTCTATCCATTTGTTCATTACTGTTTGTTCTTGTTGCAAGCTGTGCACCATCTTACGTTAGTGTTAGCACCTTTAGCATTGTAAACTCAAGTAGTAAGTAATCAAATACCACGTTTGCAAGAATCTCAAAATACAATAATCATGTTGGTGAACCAAATGGCTTTAAAATACACTGGAAACAGTAACCCGGAAGTATAGGCTGTATAGAGCTTGCAGCCTTCCATAGTGTAGAAAACACCATCCATAGAAAGTTCAAAAATATATATGCAGCTTCAAAAATACTTAAAATTTCTTCTTACTATCTTACTTCTTACTTTCTTATACATACTATTATTAAAAGATGAAAAACAGACTGGAAACTGTGGGTTTTTTTAGTTTTGTTTCTCATCTTTATTTATCCATTTTTAGTAGGCAACTTTGTTTTATATTTTAAATCACTTTTGTTTCTTCTCCTTTGAGCCCTTGAAACATGTTGATTGTTTCCAAATTTGTATATTTTTTTGAAGCAAATGAAGTTTTAATCAAGTTATACGCACTATTAGCAATAAGAACACATCTATTAATGGTTAGTTTTATTTATTTATTTATTTTTTTGAATACACTTAATGAAAAAGTAACTGAAATATTTTAACCCCTTCCTTCTCGCTCCCGTGAACGTGACAGGTTGAGGTTTCGCCCTCTATTTCTCACTCCCGTGATATTTCCGGGCTGGAGTGTTCGGTAGTAACGCACCAATAGGAATGAAATTAATTGATTTCTTTTGCCAGGAAAACATTTTATTTCTCATTTTACCCACCAGATGGCAGTGCCAGGATATTTTTAAGGTAATTGTAGAAAAGAGATAAAAACAATAAGAGATGTAGGAAGGTAACTCGGTACTACTGTCCAGATTGTAACGTTGGCCTCTGTATCTCATGTTTTGAAATTTATTACACAAGAAAAAATTACTAATATTTATTTATATTATACGTAAGTTTAATAAAAAAAATTTTAATGTTTAAAGCACTTATTTTTAAAATTTTCCTTGCTTGTTGGAAAACCAACATTAAGTCATAGTAACCCTGAATGTTGGCTTTTCCTAATAATTTATTTTTTTAAAATTTCAAGCTAAAAACAAATTAAAAATGAATAAATATATTGTTCATACATATATTTTTGTATAATTGTCAGGGATAAAAAAAATAAGCACTTTTATGACCGTTTTATTGAAAATTAACCGATTGTTAAAGGGTTAATGTGAGTTTCAATGATTTACTCAAAGTCTGAAATTTTAGCTCACGGTATACCTTTAGCTAATACATTATTTACTACTTATAACTGTAAATATTTTTCTTGATTAAAATAATATCTTTTTGTTAATAGTGGAAGAATTGCAAAGCTGCGCTACTGTTACTAGTGCCACTCATCCTGATTCAACTAGAAGTCCTTTAGGTCTTGCTGAGAATTCTCAACATTATGCCCTCGCTACCACATCCATTTCTGATTCATCTGAATTAGTGCAAGTAGAATATTCAAGACCTAGACGAGATCTTCGTAGTAATCGTCATTGTAAGTACTTTATTTTTGAAATATTTAAAAGCTGAGAGGAATTTTTTTTAAAAGTTTTTATTCAAAGTGAAAAATACCAATTTATAATATATTTAGTTATTACTCACACACATAAAATATTTGTTCATTATTAAAATGTCTGTATCCTTTTCAATATTAAATTGAGCATGATATTATATTAATGAGGAAATTAGGGATATATTTGGTACTTAGATAAATAGTTTTACTTGTAATTTTTTGTTTCTTCAGAAAGTAATGCTACTTAAAAAATGTGAAACAGTAGAGACTGGTTTTTTTTTTTTCCCCCTTTGAAAAGAATTTTGTGGTCATGACCTATTTCTGCTTTCCGATTTCAGCAAAACGATGTGCTGATCGAAAAAGTTTAAAACAGGAGTCCCACAGGTCAGAGAGAACAGGAAAAACCTAGAATTTCCAAGGAATTTTATTTTAATTCTAAAAAGCAGTAAATAGTCAAAGAAAGTTGTAATTTTTTACAAAAAACCTGGAAAATAATTAGTCTTAGAATTGTCAGTATCAGTAATAAGTTACTGAGATTCAAATTAAATAATTCTTACATCTATTTTACAATCATTTTATAAAATTCCATTTTTTAGTGAAACTCTCCATTTCTTTTTCCATGTCTCCATTCTCTTCAAAGTTTTCTGATGAGAAATTGCTTGGTATAGATAAAATATGGTATGGATTTTTATTGAAATTTACCTGATATACCCGGAAAAGCCAGGGAATGTTTTTTCTGAAATTGAGTGGGAACCCTGCTAAAATTATGCTTTTTTCTTATATATTCACTAAAAAGTACCTAATATTTTTTTTAAAGATAGTTAGGTTAAAATTAATTTATGAAGTTATAAAGGTTTCACTCTTCTAAAAAGTATTATAAATCAATTATTTTGGTATTATACAAACTTTTCAATATTTGTTTTCATACATTGACATCCTTTGTGTTGAGAGTGAGTTGATAAAAAAGAAGAGGTTAACTGAAATTTTTTATGAATTAAGAATGTACATACAGTAGAGAACCATCTATCGGGTATTCAGATAACCGGGGAAAATTTTGCTCGGTTTTCCCGCAAACGAATGCCAGAGCCAGGGTGCGTAGCATTTTTAAAAAGTGCTTATTTTTGATTTTCGTTTATTAAAAGCCCTTAAATGTGCTTTTTTCATTGGGTGTTTTTATAAAGTGCTTAATTTTCCCTTTTTCGAAATGATATTTTTCCTTTACCATGTTGATTTTCCCTACGAATTATACAAAAAGACACAGTTCACATTGTTCTATTTAACGTTTTATCATGTTTAATTGCCATTCGTTTCCGTAGCGTAGCGTATGAAAACGCCATTCGTTTTACATGATTCAAAATTTCATGATTTTTGACATTTGTCAAAAATAATGCATAAGGTTTAACAAACAAGTTAAAACAAGATAAAATTGTCAAAAACTTTGCAACCCTGCCTAATTATATTTTTTTAAAGTGCTTAAAAATATTTTTGAGTGCTTGAAAAGTGCTTATTTTTTGTTGAATAATTTGGCTACACANGCCATTTTGAACTAAAACGATATGAAAAAAAAAAGCGGAAACTGGACTAATCCTTGAAGTTGAGTAGAGGAAAATGTGAGGAAGGGAAGAACCCCCCCCCCGTTTACCCAGAGAAACGTCATTTCCGTGACCTTGAAGATCTTTAGATGGAGAGGAGGCAGGGATGGGATGAATGTTTTATTTGCTCCTTTAGGCCCTCAATCAAACTCAAAGGAGTGGCATGCTGATTTTCGTTTTCTCTTTGATTTACGAGGGGTTGGGTAAAATGCATTGCACATGCTTATCAGTGAACAGAAGATGAAAGAGAAAAATATATATATCTATTTGACATCGATTAATAAAAATAAAATCTTTTTCTTTTGAATAAATTCTAATTCTTTGGATGTGCGGTATCATTTACAAGTTTTTCTTGATGTGGAATTACATCTGCTTTTGTTAAAAATCGTGTTTTATGAAAAATAAATAAAAGGAGAATTGTTTATTAATTTGAACATACGATTATTTTCTGAAGCAGATTGCAGTTTTGCTTTTCTGATGCCACTACGATCGATTTTTTTCCCCTTCTTTTCGCAATAAATTTCATACTCAATAAATTAATACTTTCGTACTCAATAAATGCCCTGCCAATTATTCCTAAATCAGTGCAGTAACCCACTGCAGTTTTCTAATGTTAAAGTTTGTAGCTGTTATTAATATTTCCGGCTTTGTTGTTAAAATTTCTGGTTTAATGAATTGTTATTGTGTGTTTCAGTATCAGATGCACTAGCTTGGAAGATATTGTCAATTATCATACTTTTTCTTTTCTAGGGTGTGAAGATTGTAATGCATTTTATGAAAAGGAATGCCCACAACACAGAATTCAATTAATATTTGACAAGCCAGTCTTGAGTAGGGCCTGGGCTAGTTTGCCTGCTACATATTTGTATGTGAACAAAATAGCTATGAATGAAGAAGGTGATCCAGGTGGATATTTTTATTCCTTAGATCTTAAAAATATTTTATAATAAAGTATGCAAATGTGCTTCAGATCAGAAATACATTATTTCTCTTTGAATTTTCAGTGTATGGAGTTTTTGCGAAAAAGACAATACCTAAAAGGACACAGTTTGGTCCAATTGAGGGTGTACTTGTTAAAAGAGAAGAACTTCCTACCAACAATTTCCTATTACTGGTGAGATACTTTAAAAGTCCTAGACTTTTTTTCTTCTTTGTTTTGTTAAACCTAGTTAATAGATTGCTCTCGGAATAGCATTATAAATCTGATAATTTTGAATGAAAGGTTGATGGTATTAATGACAGCTAAAAGAATTCTGTAATTTTGAACTAACTTGCAATTTGAGGTAAAATTAGCTGCAGTATGAAGTACCTAGATTTTTGTACCATGATTAAATTTATAAATAGCATGATTAAAAATTATTTAAAAAGTATTAGTGAAATTAGCACCTATTGAAATGGCATACTGTTTAATCATTATGAAACTCAATTTTTTAAACCTTGTATCAGTATTTTCCTCCATGCTTTTAATTCTATGTTCTTATTGTTTTGAATGTTTAAAAAAAATCAATTAAGCTGATATTTAGATAAATGTTTTTATTTTTTGTCTACTTGAAGCTTTTAGTTATGTGCAAATCATTATAGAATCCCAGAGCACATTATAAGAAACTTGCTTTTTAACGAGCTAATTTAATTCTCATCTTCTGCAGTTTATTACATTTCAACTTTCATTCTTGAATGGCATTAACTAAGAGTACAAATTTTATTTGTTAATTTATTTTTCAGATAGAGCATGAAGAAGGAATGGCATTGCTTTTGGACACTTCTGATGAATCCATGAGTAATTGGATGAGGTTTGTCCGACCCGCAGAGACGCACAAAGAACAAAATTTAGTTCTTGTTCAACATGGTCATTCCCTTTATTTCAACACCACTCGAGCCATTAATCCTAAAGCAGAATTAAAAGTTTGGTATTCTCAAACATATGCTGAAAAGTGGGGTCTGCCAATTTTGGAACCAAATGAAGATGAAAAGAAAGGTAATACCTTGATTTAAGTTATCTGCACACTTCTGGATAATTTGTAATGGGCTTTTATATGTCTGCTAAAATTTTGTTTACTAAATGTAATTGATAAACACATTCCATTTCATAACAATCTTGAGTTTAAAATCTCGGGAATGGGTTAATTGCATTATAATAATTTTGGATGCAAAATGAGCTGTTTTCACTTATTTTTAAATGGAAATTATTAAAGTTTGAAAGTGATTTATGGAGACATGTTAAGTGAATAAATATTGGGTATCTAAAAAAAAATCTAGCAACTGATTTTTAAGGGAACAGTGCACATCATAAGACATGAAAATTGTTTAGCTCCCCATTACCAAAAATGTCATGAAAAAGTGGTTGCTGAAGTTGAAAATCTGAATGAAAATATGAGTTAATCCATGTGAGAAATTTTATTGGGAATCATGTTCAGTGCAAAATAAATAAATGAAACACCCTAAATATAACTTTTGATCTAATGGTTTGATGGGGTTATCTCCAATATGCTTATTATTTAGTGTAGACTATATTGAAAGTTACAAAATCAGTCATAAAAATGTACTTTTTCTCAATAAACATAAGGATTGTGAAAGGATCTCTTTTAATAAGGATCTCTTTTTAAGGATTGTGATTTCTGATTCTTCCTCCAAAAAATAGGGCTGATTTGACTTCTAGCCTGATTTAGAGTTGTCTTTGTTTGACAATCCTTGTCTGTAGCAGGCTAGTAGAAATTAAGGTTAAAAAAAAACATGTTTTGGTTCTCATTATGTCTTATTGTGACATCAAGACTTTTATAAACATAGTTGAAAAAAATCCTTTAATTTAATTGTAGTTTAGAAGTGTTTTGTTTTATTTTATTTATTCTTTTGTAAATAAAACTTTGGTAATTTGCAATTTTTACTTCACTTTTATGTGGCATACTCAGTGTTTTCATTACAGAAAAAAAAATGGGATAGAATTTCTCACCCTTTCTCAAAAACAGGGTGAGATTTCAAAAAGTAAAATTTAAAAAAAAAACACGAGTAGACTTGGAAAAAAATTATTTCTTTAATTATAATACATTTTTAACATCTTCTAATTGAATATTTTTGCTGCATCATCATAAGGAAAATGTTCTATATCTACTTTTTCATCAGTTATTATATTTATTTGGTGAAAATATCCGTATTTGTTTCGTTTTGACAGTTTCTACCGACATTTGTTTCATTTTAATTTGTCTGTTACTGAGTAGAAGATGTCGCCTTAACAAGATATTTGTCCATCTTACATTTATGCACAAAAAAATGTAAGCGCCTTACATGAAGAAACCTTACCTACGGTGAACTCGTGGTTGCAGAGAAATGTGTTCTGAAAGCGGTTTGGGGGGGTTCTGCTGTTCGCACCGGTTCTGAACAATGCTGGTAAATAGGGAAGCTAGATAACAAGGACCAATGTTCAAAATAATGAAAGATCAAGGAAGAAAAGTGAAACAGATTCTATCCAAAATGGCAAAAGACGAAATTTTTTCCAAAATTTACGCATTTTGAAATTGATTAATAGAGTGTGCAAACTTCTCACGTTAATAATTTTTTATTGCGTGAAAAGAACAAAAATATGCGAGATTCTCGCGCTGTAGTGAAAACACTGCATACTTATTTATAAATAGCTGAGTAAAATAAAAGTTTAAGTGTTTTTTTTTCTCTCTGAGTCAGTTTTCAGGCTTTTTATATCTTGATAATGATAATCCATGATACCTTATAACTAAAAGTAGATGTAATTTTTATATGATTTATCTTCACAAAAGAGCTATTACGTTAACTACAAGAATTTGTATAGGATCTTTCTTCACGTGTTGTATTAAAGAAAGATATAGACTATTATTTTAAGATGATAATATAGTATGTAAGATGACAATATATTATTTTAAGATGATATAAAGTGAAATATATATCTTATCCTTTGTGTGTATGTAAGCCTGACCATTTTTTGTACATAAATTTTGCTGTTGACTCGTAAGTATACTTTAGAGAATTATTTGAATTAGACTTATTTTAATCTAGTGTTATTAAAAAATTTTGTTATTAAAAAATTTATCGATAAATTATTTTTATTACTTTATTAGCACTTCAAGAGCAAGAGAATGCTTGGCCCTGTTTTGAGTGCAATCAACGATTTGCTACATCAGAAGATCTCCAAAAGCATTTAAATCAGCATGATGAAGAAAATGAGACTTCAGGTGGAGCACGTCCTAGAACCAAAGCTAAAGCAAAATCTAAATTTACCAAAAGAGGAAATTTAACACGTCTGAGAGTAAGACATTTTCAAGACTTCATTTAACACTCATCTCTGTGTCCATATGTCTTATTTTATAAATTTAATTTTTTTAGGGAGAAAATGTAAATACAAGCATTGAAAGCTCTTTAGTGAGAAAAGCTAGAGGTCGACCTCCCAAAAAATATAAAGTACATATTATTTTATTTGCCTTTTTCTTGAGTGTAATTTTTTTTTTGTTGTTAAAATTAATTTCTATTAAAAGATAGTAGAAAGTTCCATCAGGGTTGCTACGCTACCTGGAAAACTGGGAAAAGGTAGAAAATTTGGAAATTGTCCAAAAACAGAGATTAACAGTTTTGAGTCAAAATCTGGAAATGTCAGGGAATTTGATTTGGCAATCGCGAAGTGTGCGATCTTGGAGGCAACATTTACCATAGAACACTTTTCCAACATTATCGGTTGCTAGAATTTAGAACAGATAGAAGGGTGAATGTGTTTCAGATTGACTAATCTTATTTTTGATTTAGAAATTTATTATGATAAATAATTTTTAATTTCTTACAAATTAATGCTTTTTTATTGTTTTATTTGCTTAATTACAATTAATTAAACTTGCTATTTGTTAAGAACTCACAAGAAGCACTTGGATTGCGGTTCCACATGGAAATTATTATTCAATACTATATCCTGGGGACAATCCAGGTGCTTTTTAGTGCCCATTTTTGTAAAAAATTTAAATTATTTTTCTCCAAATTGTTTTCATTAATAAAGAACATTCAGTTTAGCATTCACTATTTTTCATTCATTCTTTTTTTTTTTATAAATCCCTTTATTTTTTCACAACTTTTTCTTGTTTTTCAAATTAATTCCTATATACTTATAAACGATATTGTGATATGCAAACTTGAAATTTGAGCTATCAATTTTTCTAAACATTCGATTTGTGATGATTCTATCATAACTTTACGTTGCTTGATAATAGTTTATTATCCGCATGTATTTGTAATTTTTTTTTGTCTCCTTTAACATGGTTTTTTCTGATTCAATATTTTTAATGCAAAGTTATTGTATTTTGAGTTATAACTTTTTTACGTTTTCAATTCGTGACAATTCTATAATAATTTCAATTCATTTGATGGCAGTTCTTTCGCCACTTTTCACATGATGTCTTAAATCATTCTTTTTTTTTTTTTTTTTTTCTTTNTTTTTTTTTTTTTTGTCTTCTCTGTGTGTTTTTTTTTTTTCTTTTTAAATTCTGTTATTATTCCAATATGATATTACAACAATACTTTACTAATGAATTTTTGGCACCTTTGATTCGTAACGATTCCATCGTAAATGTCCATAGATTTCCAATCCTTTTTTGGCAGATCGATTCAAATTCAAATGTTTTTGATAAGGTGCTATTACGAAGTAAAATTTTGAATTATCACTTTCTGGCGCATTCGATTTCTGACGATTGCATTGTAATTTCATGCCGTTTGATGATAATTTTCCTAAACTGTAATTTTTTTCGACCTTTTAAATGTGGTTTTTAAAATTCGAATATTTTAAATATGATGCTATTACAATGTGCAAATTTCAATTAGCATTCGAAGTTGACACGTTCGATTTGCGAGGATTCAATCTTAACGTCCTGATCGGTGATAGTTTTTTCCCGACGATTTTCACATAGTTTTCCAAGTTTTTATTTTTCATAATGACTTTTGAATTAGAAATATCAATCTTTTATGCGTTCAAATCGAGACAATTCCATCGTAACTTCATGTTATCGAGTGTTAATCATTTTGGCATTTTCCTCAAAGTATAAAGTTTTCCGAAATCACTATAGTTCTAATATTTCATTATGACATGCGTATTTTTAAGAGTTTTAATGTGCTTGTTTCGTGACTATGCTGTCATAAAAAATGCCGTTTCTTGTCATTTTTTTAGAGAATCCTTCGAACGATTTTGTGCAATCATTTTTATAAAGTGAAATTTCTTGAAGGGGTGGTTTATAAAAATTTTAATTTTGTGAAAGAGCTGTTTTTATAAATTTGAATTTTGTAAATAGGTCGTTTTTTTTGGAATTTGAATCTTGTGAAGAGGCCGCAAGCGGTCCAATTTCGATCTGAATCGAATTTTTTATTTTTTATTACAATTTTCGAATTAGACCTATCACTCTTTGATGCATTCAAATCGAAACGATTCCAGCAGGCTTGAAATGTCTCTTAATAAATGATTCACAGGTTATATATAATTTCATTAATATATATGTAAAATTGTAATTTTAAAAAAAAAATTCTGTTATTTAATCAAACACTTACCTTCATTTTTTATTAATTTAAAACATATCGAGTGTTAAATTTCCAATCCATTTTAAAGGTTTTTTTTTTTTTACTTACCAGGTTTTTGTAAAAACCTGGAAATGGCTCTACTAATTACTAGTTTTTTGTTAATATAATTATAATAATAAAAATATTTTTTGAAAATTTTTCAGATACCTGCCAAACAGGAAGACTATAAATGTGATATCTGCTACAAAAGCTTTCCTCGAAATTATAGTCTACAACGACATCTGATCATGCATACGGGTGAAAAGAAATACAAATGTCCTATTTGCGACATAAAGTTTAGTCATGTGTATAATCGCAATAGGTGAATACTATTTTACTTTAATTTTAATCCATTTTGTTGTAGCTTAGTTAATTATTATTTCCTTATTAAATAAATACTGTATAGGCTTGATATGACGGGTATGGTATATTATGAGAAGTTACAGCAAATTTCCCACTCATTGTCAAAATGCTAATTTTAAAAATACAAGAACTGTATGTTTTTTGCTAATTAAAAGTTGCTAGTCTTCCAATGTTATGTCAAAACTACTTATAGGAAATCTATTTTTCTTCTGTTTAAGTAAATAATATTTTGAAAAATGGAAGGTATTTGTTTTTCTGGCATTAATATGGAAAACCGAACATTTATTATTTTAACTCCTTATCTTCATGAAGGACCAATGGCTAAATTATTTTCTTTCTAAGAAAAGAAAAGCTCTTCAACTCTTTTTAGAAATTCTGTCATACATTTCAAAATAATGCATCTCATTTCCCACATATTTATCAATGATATTAAAAGTTTTTGAAGCACATCATTTTATTTTTTTGCTAAAGCTCAATACAATTTGGAAACTTGTTGTTCTAACATTTCTGTCCTAGACATTTCTGATTCGATTAAATACAAAGCTACATAATTCAGTCTACAATTTAAGCAGAAGTAGTCTATTCTAGATCTGTATTGTAAATCAAAATAGTTTTTAAAATAAGAAAAAGAAGGAAATATATCAATTCTATTTTTTAGCCTGTTTTAGTCATTTTATGTAAATGACAGTGTATTTAATTATTTGAACGAGTCTTTAAAATATGTCCTCTAGAATGATTTAATAAAATGAGTACTTTAGATAAAAATGTTACAGTATTGTTGACTCATTCTAGGCATGTCCGCCGGCATAAAAGAGATGATGAACAATTACCAGCTCCAAAACCTACCAAGTCATTGTTTAAAAAGAAGCAAGGTGCAGAATGGATGTGTACTCATTGTGGACTTACTTTTGATAATTCTAATGTACTTAATCTTCACACTCTAACTCATGCTGCTGAAGATGTAGCTTTCAACGAAGAGCAACAATTTCTTAATAATGCCTCCTTGGAAAATGGAGTTGAAGGTGGTGAAGAAAAAATATTGGGAATCGATGAGATGCATAAATGCCCTGAATGTACTCAGGTATGTTGTATGCTGTGCGTAAATTTTCAGGCTTATGGACAAAACATTTCAAAAATAAGTGAATAAATGATAAAAGCTGGAATTGTTAATATTTTTCAAAGGTAAAAAATTTTTTTAGAATATTAAATTGTTGTTATAATGAAAATATTTTGAAAATGAACAAAATATTTTGTATACAAAATTATTTTCGAGAAAGGAACAGCTATAATTAATTTTCATAATTTTGTCTTTGTATATTTATGCATACGCCCGGTGGCTGAGCGGTAGCGCTTCGCGCTGTCGTGCCACAGGTCCTTGGTTCGATCCTTGGGCCGGGCAAGGCCGACTCAGCCTTTCATCCCTTCAGTGGGTCGATAAAATGAGTACCAAGCATGCTTGGGAACTAACACTGGGGGTTCCGCGTTCGGCTGACCACCTGACCGGAACATATGCTCCTGCACCCCAGAGCCCAAGGTCAAGAAAACTGAGATGGGCACAGTCGGCCTTGGCCCTCTTAATGGGCTGTCGCGCCACTGAGTTAGTTAGTTTATATTTATGCATACTTTAGGAAGAGGAATTAGCATTTAATAATTAATTTAGAGTGATCACAGAGCTTCTTTCTGCGAAATATTATAAATATCTGGATAATTTTCCTCAAGTAATAATTTATTTATTTATTTTTACTTATAAAAAATTTTTTTAGTATTATTGTAACAAAATTTTTAATATAAACTAATTCTACTTCACATTTTTTTTCTATTTATAAGAGTGTTAATTTTTAATTACTTTCTACCTTTGTATTAAATTAATTTTCTTATCCTGGTTTTACATTCTGGTAAAAATCAATTTTATGATGCTACAAGAAGCTATACCAGTGATTACATACTCTTTTCTTTTTCGTTCTGCATTAGATTTAACTTAAAATACATAAAATTTTATCATTTGTCGTACATTATATTGCAGTATAACTGCTTTTGGCTTTTTATTAATCTCATTTAATCAGGATTACATTTGGAATAATCAAAATTAGTTAAGTTAGAATCTGGGTTCTTGTAATGCTGTTTTTTATTCTTGAAATTTTTTTACTAATTTTTCTTAAATGCATTTTCAATGTTTTTAATTTTTAATATAGGAGTTCACCAATCGGAAAGATCTGATTGAACATGCCAGCGTCCATGGCAAAATTGGAAAACAACGATGTTTTCGAGGATTTATAAATCCACTTAAACCATTTAAGTGCAATCTATGCTATAAATCATTTGCCTCAGATGAAAGACTCATACGACATTACCTAGTTCATGGTAGTGAGGATTCTAAACCCCTACAGTGTGACATCTGCTATAAACGTTTTCTGAATAACTCTGCTTTAGCATGCCATATCAAAGTGCATAGGTAAAGTGATTAAATATTTTGTTTTCATTTGCATTCTAAATTTTTTAACTATGGGAAAGTTCTTTGACAGTAGTGTAAACAATTGTTGACTGCTGATTTTTCGAGCTATTTCATTCATAGTTTTCATGCAAGATCACCATTGTTTTAATAATTATTCTTTTCTTTAACTTTCAACTAATTCTAGCAGAAAATCAAATTACAAATAGAAAAAAAATCAAATTTGATATATTTTATAAATAATATTTGACTTATGGGCTATTGATTCGCCAAAATTACATTAATAAGATTCTTAATGTATATTTTTGGTAGATTTTGAGAAAGTTGTAATAAAAAAATACAATTATAATTCATTGGAAAATATTTTCCATTATGAATATGAAATAGTGTAATAAGAAAGTCACTACACTCTTTTGTTTGAGATTCAAACTGATTGAACTTAGTTAGAACCTCTTTGAGTATGGCAATTGTTGCAACTATTTTAACAACTCGGTTCACGCTTCATTAATTCTGTGTCACAAAATTATCCCCGATTCATAATTAACTGCCTCAAATATAAATGAAAGTTTTGGGGCAATTTAATGTTAAAATAAATTTTCAAAGTGTTCCTAACGTTTTCGGATTAAATCGTCACAATTTCCATGAAAGTGGTGTATGTTTTTGTGTATGAAACTGTTATCTAATGGAAATTACTGAAATGTGCAAAGTACCTGTCTGAAAACAGTACTGTAGAATTACCTGACGTAAAATGTTCAACATTGGGAAAATAATATATCATTATAATTTTGCCATAAGTTCTTTATATGGAAATTTTTGGTTCAGCTTCAAAATCATTTGATTCAAGATTCATATTAATGCATAGTAGATCTTAAAAGTCTTGGAATTGGGCTATAGTTATATTTATGTAAATTTTCTAGAGGGATTCTTTTAATTTATTGGACTATTATATCTCCAAAGATTCTGCCTTATTTTAGCTTAGCTAAAATAATTTTTTCCTAAACTTTGCTCATAAAATTTTATACATTTATTGTATTGTTGAAAAAAAATTTATACATTTATTGTATTTTTTTTCAGTGAAGAGAGAAAATTTTATGAGTGTCCTATTTGCAAAGCTGAATTTGATCAAATTGTTGCTTTGAAAGAACATGTCCATGTGCACTGTGAAAATGGTGTCTACAATTGTCCAAGTTGCCACAAAGTAAGTAACAATTTCTTTTCCTACGGTTGTTTAAATAGGCTCTAATGGGGTTCACAAGGTTCAGTCTTTTCTTCTAATCTTGAATGCTAGATAATAGGGAATTCTAATATTCAAGTTTGTCCTAGTGAATCCTAATATCTGAGCTCTAAGTTTGTTCGTAGGAATTTTTTTTTTTTAAACCTTGTTTTTCTTCTGTTTTTTCTTTTTCAAAACCAGTTTTTTTTTTTCAATCTCTTTTCGAACTGCAATTTAATTGAAAGTTACTAACTTTATGAAGAATAATTAATATTCTAATATTAATTGCTATTTCATATAAAAACAATTTAAATAAACACTACTAATAACTGATTTGATAAAATAACTGCTATAAGAAATCAAACTAAATTTAATCTATTTTATGTTCATTTAAAATATCTGCATTAAAAAGATAACACTAAAAAAAAATATTTTGCAACAAAATAGTTAAGGGTAAAATTAAAGGTGCAGAACCAATCCAAAAGGGGAAAAAAATGTATTTAACATCAATTGCCAAAGCTTTTACTGTAAGAATCATTAAAATTTTGTTGAATGCATTAATATTAAATTTATAATGTCATATTTTTCACTTTTTGAAGGCAGAAGAATTATATTTCAACGAATTTGATTTGCGATATTTAATTATCATCACATTAATTTAACATTCTAACTGATGGAGCTCAACTTTAATATGTAATTTTGCTTATTCTCTCTTTCTTTGTGATAAGTAAAATCTGGTAAATCTTGAGTAATTCATCTCGTTGATGGCAGAGAGTATCTGGTCGCATTGAATCATTCTGACTAATTTGATATTCAAGATGTTCTACAATATTGAAAGATTGATTTTTTGCATAAACAAATCTGGCAACCTGTTTGTTGAATATGTGCTGTTGGCCTGATGTTGATTTCTAGAATAAATTTTTTTTTCAAATTAAATTTTTTTTTAATTAAACTTTTTTCATTTCTTTTCCTTTTTGAGGTTTGATTTCATTCATAATCTCTTTGTTATTAGTTAAATCCATAGAGTTTGAATTACAATTCAAAAGTGATACACCTTCTGAAATAAACATAATTTTATGAGTATGTAAAAAAGATTTGATTATTTGCACATATTTTTGATTTTTAAAGATCTTTCTAAAATTTATTGATTTCGGAATCTACGTCCTGATATTCTTCAGAATTTTCTGATTTCAATTTAACTTTCTTTTTTAACTTTAATAGAAGAATTATTATTTGTTATTATATTATAACAAATAATAGTTGTATAACTTTCAACCAAGTGGCAACAACAAATTTTATTTTAAATAAAAGCTTATCAGTGGAATAATATAATTACAAGTTAAGATTATTATTGAGATATTTTTGTTCATCATATATAATACTTGTGATGTAATTTTTTGTAATGTTAATGATAATTAATTTATTTAACAACCAAAAATATTGTTAAAACTGTCAATGAAAACTTCTGCATGTTACTAGATGTTTCTTCATTCTGGTAATTTGAACTTTCATTTCTTAATTGCAGGTTTTGCATTCAGCCGTATATCCTATTATTTTTAATTTTTTTATCTCTTCGAAATTTAACCTGATTCAATCTTTCCTTATACCAGTGCTATACATTTTGCCCTCAATTAACTTGATTTTATATTGAATTAACAATTATTTGAGTGAAACAAGATTGTTTTTGAAATGAGTTGATTTGTTTTGATAAAAGTGGAAGTTTTTAATTTACATGAAACAGTTTAGGAATAAATTTTTTATTGGTTCTTAAAATAGAAGTTAAAATTATGTACATAAAATCTAAGATTTGTATTTTTGTAAAATTTAGTTAGTTTATTTTTAGAAAAGGTAATAAGTGGGATAACTTATGAAATGAGTTGTTTTAATATGTATAAAAGTTTTTTTTTTTAATTAAATAATTTAGGAAAAAAATTAAAGTTAGATTATTATATAGGGAAAAAACCCTAATTAGTTTAAAAAATGTTAAAACCATTTGGTTTGAAACCATGCCAACCTTGTTAAAAGCTCACTATTTTGCGTTAAGTATTTTCATTATTTTAGGTTTTTGAAGAATATAATCAAGTTCGGAAGCATATAAGGGCATTCCATTCTGAGCGGAGATATCCTTGCGACAAATGTGAAAAGATATTCCCTCGTCCTGATAAGCTCAAGTTGCATATGTTGAGACATTCAGATCATAGGGAATTCTTGTGTTCCAGTTGTGGAAAACAGTTCAAAAGGAAAGACAAGCTAAAAGAGCATATGAAACGAATGCATGCTCCTGATCGTGAAGCTAAAGTGAATGCCAAAAATTCAAAATCATCAGGCTCAAAAAAATTTGTTCCAAAGGTAATATTCTTACATAATAATAGGTCAGTTCCAGAGCACAGAGATTTTGGATGGTTAATATTTTGAAGTTTAATGGTTAATATTTTGATTGATGCAATTCATAATCAAGTTACGTCATTATTCTTTGTTTAATTATAATTCTTTTATCAATGTTTTAAATATTTCTACTAGAATATTAAACTAAAGTTAAAAAGTAAAAATCTTAAAGAATTATAAAATACCAGTCATTATTCTTATAAACTTAGGAAGCATTTCTATTGACTGTGATTTGATCATTCTATTTAAAACACTCTGATCAAATTCTTAATTCCTAAATTTCTATTTTAAATGAATTATTATTTTGATGAAAAGGTGACATAAAATTATAATCAATTCAACATTGTCAGTGCAGCAAATGTTTGTACTTAAATGAAAAGTTTGCTTTCAAAACATTAACCCCCTATTCTCTTAAGATGAAAACTGCTTAAACTTCACCGTTTGTTTTTGAATGACATTATCAGAATAGCTTGGAGTAGGCTCCAAAAGCTCTGTGTCTTGGAAATGACTCATTATTCCAATTTTTTTTCAATATATATTGTTTGTGAAATAGTTGCCTTTAAACTAAATAATTATTTTTTGAATGCTTATTTGACACTCCGATCTTTTTAAAATACTAATTATATTTTATAATTAATACTTAATTTACGTAACGTTAATAAAGCAAATTTTTATCTTTAATAGTTATTTTTGTAATGTTAATTCTTCAGTCTAATCTATATACATATTTCTTATCCATTTTTTTCTTTTTGATGTTAAATCACTTTTTACACTGTAACTAGCATTTTTGTTTATAAACTAATCACTCAAAGATTAATTTATGAACTTAGTATAAATATCTTCATAATGAATTGTGTTTTGGCACTTTTTTAGTTCCATAAATCAAAATACATTAAAAACCTGATAAACTGATGCCCTGTCATACGATATTTTGTTATCTAACAAAAACATTCTGTCACACATTTCATCATCATTACAGCTGTAACCACTTACTGTTGTGAATATGACAGCTGTTGATGCTCAATTACTGTTGTGGATGACGATAGTTGTTAGCTAATTACTATTGTGTGTTTTTTATTTTAATTTTATTGTTGTTATAATACAGCAATTTGAGGTTTATTTGCTGTTAGAAAACAGCACTTTAACCTTGGAAATGCCCTATTTAAAAAAAAAAAAATTACAGTTAAAATATGTTCGTCTTTATTATTGTGAAATCTCCTTTAAATTGCGTTTATTTCTATTTTTCATTAATTTGATCTGAATTTATGCATTTTTTCTTTCTTCTGTCATCTATTATCATTTTAAGATCTATTAAACATTTATAATTTTTTCTTTACTTTTTGTATTAAATCACATTTTTATTGATTAAAACAATATTTTTATTAAGGTATCTCCCACGGATTACCACCGATTCATATATAAATGTCATACATGCTTACTTGGTTTTAAAAGAAGAGGTATGCTTGTGAACCATCTTGCTAAGAGACATCCTGATATCAGGCCAGAATCAGTGCCAGAACTCAACCTTCCTATCTTAAAAACCACTCGTGATTATTACTGCCAGTATTGTGAAAAAGTTTATAAATCAAGCTCAAAACGTAAAGCTCACATATTGAAAAATCATCCAGGCTCTGAACTTCCAATGAGCAACAGAAGAAAGGTAAATATTTCTAATTGATTAAATTTTAAATTAAGTTAGTTAATTCTATTTAGTCAAGCATATCTGTAGTTTTAATTATTGCTAACATTTTATAAACTGTTTGTGAAACCATTGTGAAAAGTTTTTTTTGTGGTTCTTGTTGATAGACTCAATGATTTCAGGAGTTTTATATATCTCAGGCTCTTGATTATTATGTTCAATATACAATTATATATTTTTATTAAAAAAAAAACAAGTCCAGATGTCTGCGTCTAAAGCCACATTGCTCCCTTTTCTCAATTCATATCAATATTCTATATGCATCTCTCCATAATGATTCCTAACAAGATATTTTTCTTTTCTTTTTAAACCTTTCCCTCCCCCACAATATAACGAACTCGTATCAATCTCCCACTAGCCTTTAAGACGAGGGTCGCTCATATGTGCAGAAATATAATCAGAGTTCTGACACTGTTGTTTTCATATTTAAAATTAGAAGTAATAAAATGAATACTGTTATGTTCTAATATTACTAGTAATTATAATTGCCTTTAATCCATTTTAAAACAGTTTGAAAAGGGAGCAATTTTTTACAGCAATTATTCTAGCCTGGTAAAAAAAAATTTCATTTTTTTTTAATGACTGGCATGTAAGTAGTTTACTTAAACTTGTGTTTTTTCTTAATGAAGGGAGGTGTACCAGAGATTCCTGGAATGCCAAATCCAACATTCTCCCAAACAGTGGGAAGCATCACAACTCACCCCCATCACTGCAACTGGTGCCACAAACAGTATGCTAGCAAAGCCAAGTTACTGCAGCATCAACGGAAAAAACATGTGGATATGCTAACGATGAGCTATGTTGCCAACAATACTAAAGTTAGTACCTAATATTTTTACATGTAATTCTTTTTATAAATTACAAGTTTTCACTCATTAAAATGTTTTTTTTTTACATATGGGTCATGCTTGTGAATTTAGTTGAAAATGATAACCTCCATAAATGATACATAATGAGATTGTGTGTTGTACTTGGGTATACTGAAATGAGAGAGGTTAATTTATGTACCAATATTATGACAAATTAATAATTATACAATTATTATATTATAAAACAAGTTGTGTTATTCGTGTAAAAACATCCTGCATCAGGCTGAAAGATATTATTTTTTCATTGTTTTATGTCACTTTATCTTATAAATTCTTTCTAAAAACAGACTCCAAAAAAACTTTTTAAGTTACCTCAAGAATTGAAGTCATTCTGTGAAGTCATTCAGCACATTTTTGAAATGAAAATAAATTTTTTTTTATTATTATGAGTTTTTTAATGTTGCTCTGTAGCACTTTTTATGAAAGAGTTGTTTTTCAAACATATGTTTTTGAAGGATCAGTATTGGGTTGAATTGTGAGTTTCTTCTAAATTGATTGATTCTTCTGCTAATTTGCAGATTTTCCCGAATTTCCAGACTGTTGATTTGGGGTGTTCTGCAAATCAGTAATTCAAAATTTTATTACTTATGCAAAATCTCATTTATTCTACCAGCACCTTTTTTTTTCTCTCTCTCTCTTAAAGGTCTTATCCATGTGCGATAATAACTGTTTTTACGCAGATTTGTTAGCGACAAACTCAACTTCGAAAGCGCAAGATTGAAAAAAACAATATTAGTTGAAAACTTCGGCTAAAATCAATGAATTTCTGAGGTATAAATTTGTTATCTATAAATTAATTCAAAAATGGCGAACATTTAAAAGGTCGCTTGCTAGAAAAAAATGGTGTTTTATCACATTTTTTTAAACTTATATTTTAATGAGTAGCAATTTTGTTGCTAATTTTGATTTGTGAGAGTAGTATTACTCAATCAATGTGATATATTTGCTACCTCTTTTTATTTGGCTGCAACTAGATGGAACCAAATTTTAATATGATATTTCGACATGAAATTTTCAAATTGTTTGATGCATTTCAGTAATCATTTTTCAATGTGCTCGATACCATCACTAATAGTTTTTTTTTTCTTTTGTCATTAATGCAATAAATTTTTCTAAATTCTGAGATTTTTATGATATACAAACTTCAATCGAGCATTTGATTTTTCACTTTTTAATGTGCTCAATGTGCATAAATACCAGCGTAAATCCATGCGTCATTTCATTCGTTTTATCGATTATTATTGCTATAAATTTTCTCAATGTTTTTTTCTCTCTAAATCCCTATGTTGTTTATACATTTATTGTTATATACATGCAAAATTCAAATCACACATTTTAAAGTCACTTTTTGCCACACAGCAAATTTTATAAAATAAGAGCTTTAACACTAAAATGCTCAATTTTGAGAAGATAAAACAAAAAAAGCTCCAATTTAAGCAAAGAGGGTTTATTCAGGACCCTAAATGTAAGGAAGCTAAAACATTTTGATGCAGATGTATATTTGTTGTAAGTAGGGTGATTATCATCATTTTTACAACACTTTACAAATAATAGGTTCATGAACCAAAACTACTGTTAGCATAATGACAAAATAGAAATAGCATTCAATCAATGACCTGAAGTTCATTTTGTTATTCTGGTTTAAAAGGCAAGCATTTTATTGCCATCATAATAGAACAATATGTTGCAGGTGGAACCAGTTTGTGATCAAAGCACTCAGGTGACTGGACAGATAGTGATAGAAAGTGTCTCTTCGGGATTGTCACATGAAGCTGCTGCTGTACTTATTGATGCTACAAAGCGAAAAATACATTATATTGATAAAGATTCTTTGGTGGTATGGCATTATGTATATATATTAGCTTTTGCTTATGACAAGCATTAATCAACTAAATTTTAATTATAAAATTATAAAAATATACGAGAGAAAAATTGTGGTTACATAAAAATGTTTAATACAGGATTATATTAGTTTTCAAACTTCTGTATTTGCCATTTTATTATATACAAATGGTGTCATTAGATCATTATGCACTACAGCTTGCGCTTATTGTTATTTAGTGTTTTTCAATTATGCCTAATATCAAATGAATTGTCCAAGCTAAATAATTTTATTTTTCTATTTATAAAGTACTTCATATCAAAGGAATTTAAATTATAAATGCAGAAATTTTAACAATGGCAAAAATTTTTGCAATTTTATTATATGCAAATTAAGTTATGTCACTTGGAACAATTTTTTCTTTTGTTTATGTAAGGTTCAATCTTGTGCCATTAGATAATTATGCACTATAGCTTGCAACTTATTGTTATTTAGTATTTTTTTCAACTATGCCAAATACCAAATAATTTTTCCAAGGTTAATAATAAAGTTAATGCTAAAGGAATTAAAAGCAAAAATTTTGATAAATCTGTAAAATATTATTTAATTTTATTAACACAATTAATAATGAAATTACTGATCGGCAGCTGAATATTATTTAGCCAAATACTGAAATTGTTTTGAACTAGCCTGAATCATTCTTTGATGCATCCTGGGCAATGTTGTAATTAACACCATAGGAGCCAAAGAATTGTTTTCAATTTTGAAATAGAAAGTAAAATTGACTTAAATATTGCTTTGAAATTGCAAGTTAAATTATTGTATGGCAATTTTCAGTCATTATATGAAGGTTTTCTATGACTATCTTTCTCAGATTTAATTTTAACATATGTAAATATAGATTACCAAAAATTTATTTTCGTCTTACATTTCAAGTTTTCTAAATTTCTTGTCACCCTTGTTTTTATTTTTTTTTTTGGTTTTACCATTTTTATCATTAATTTGTGTTTTTAATAATCTATCATATGTCGAGGAGGAAAAAATGCTTAAAACTCTCAGAATGCCTAATTTTCATTTAAAAAAAATTAAGCACTTTGTATTCCTTACAATTTTTCTAAGTTGGCTGTATAATATAATAAAGCTGTGCTCATTTTGTTAGAAATAAAGCCTTGGTTTTGTGTCCCATCACTTGAAAGTAATTAAAAACAATTCAATCTAGTAGCAGAATATAAAAATCGTAAAGGAGAACTGAGAAAGTTATGTAGCAATTTTTTTTGTTGCTCTATTTACAATTTCACCTTAAAAATATTTTCCTTAAAAAATATTATTCATAACTGCAAAATTATTTTTGTATGAACTGAAAAAAGATGTTTATAATTTTTGGTAAATTGATAAATGATGATGTATAGTAATGGAATAATTTATTAAAACTTTAAAATACTGAAATGTTTTTTAACAGCCTCTTTTATCATATGGTTTCAATATTCTCTTAATAAATATGCCAATTATTAACTATAATAAAATTATAAAACTAAGAAATGTTTATAGGTCTCTTCACATCCTGATGGTATACCCACAGCTGATCTCTTGACTCAAGCCATGTCCGAGTTGACCCACAGCATCGCTGAATATCGTTCAAACGGAACTGAATTCTTGACCGCTACGAGACTGTCGCCCACAACCCTAGTTAATCCCTCTCCATCTACCACCCCTATTCCTGCCCAACCTTCACCCAGTGATGATCCACCATCTTCTCCTCCCCCTGTATTAGACGCTAGTAACATCACTACTCATTTGGATCAGATGCAATTGAATCAGCTTCTAGCTCAGTACCAGCAACAGCAGTTAAGGTAGGAGTTGTTAATAGTTTTTTATTAATATCCTACCTAGTTTTGAAATGTATTTTGACTACGAATTTTACTTCCCATCTTTCATTCAAATGAAAATAACAGGTCTACTATCGTTAGCTCTGTTAATGTAATGAAACAAATTTTCTTATATAATTTTTTATTAAATTCTTTGAAACAAATATTTTCCTGAATCATTTGCAATTATAATTTTTATGTTAGCATACCAAATATTAAAAGTTAACACACAAAAATGTGTTTTTTCCCCTCCAGCTCACAACAGTTAGCAGTTGTTGTCACTTCTGTCACTCGATCCTGGCCTACATCTGTCACCACCAGGAATGTTTTTCTTTTTAATTTANACATTGTGATAGCATAGAGTAAATTTAAATGTAGCATGCTTGAAAGTGTTCTATTTTTAGAACACCAATGCCAATTCTATATCCTCCCGTTGGTGATAATCGCTTGCTTTCCTATATTGCTTGATTTACATTGCTCTGGATGTTGGTAATAAATTTTGGCTTCTTTTGAGGTTTCCTTACGATACAGAGGCTAGCCTTTTTGTATTTTTTTTCCTTGTATAGGAGTTTGGATGTTAGAGTTGGAATTTTACCTTTTCCACTTGTTACTTAGTCTACTTTTAAATTAGTTTTGCTGAAAAAGCACAATTTCATTTACTGTTGTATTTAAATCATAAATCATTGTTAATAGCATTATGCCCCTGTAAATTTGTACATTGGGAAATTTTAATGTAGGAAGAATACTATTCTACTGAATCTCTGAGCTTTTAATATTTATTTCACCTTATTTTTTTGTTATTGTAAATTTTAACAAAAATATCATTACACGAATGGAAAAAGTTATCTTGTACATTTACTGATTTGTTTGTATTATTTCAAATTGTTCATGTTGAATTCAACTGACCAGTCTTTCAGATGGAATTGTAAATTAGATACTCAGATATATTTTAAAATTATAAAAACATTGATGTATATCCATTCCTCATGAATTTTAATCTACCTAAAAAGTGTAATGTATTTTCATATTAATACTATTGTGCCATTTTAAATGTAGCATTTTATCATTTCAATTTGGAATCTTATGAGCCTATATTTCATTAGCTTATGAAAAAAAATCAAATATATGAAATTACTTAAGGCATGTATAAAGATTTATTTATTATTTTTATGTATATGTGAAAGTTTAATTATTTACAATTGTATAGATATTGTATCGACTAATTATTATATTTTTATTGGCTATATCAATCTAGATTACTAAAGAATATTGTTCATGTATTGAAACAGTTAATTTGTTTGTACAGCACTACTAGGCGATGTTAAATTGTTTAGTTATCCTGTTAAATTTTAAGAAAATGGCTGTTGCACATAATTCTCTCTCTTAGTGTATTAGCATGAAAGCCCAAAGTTGTTCATTATGGTTATATGCACTGCCATTACAGTCTTTAGAAATCTTACTAAACAAATAGACTTTCTTTAAAACATAATTCTTTAATTACTTCTATTTGCTGGAAATTTTGGCAGCTGAGAATGACTTTATTAAAATTTAGTTTATTTTTAACTGTGCCATTCATAGCAAAGATTTCATTTTAAAATTATTTTTAGGTGCCATTTCATAAAAGAATCATTACTTATGTATATATTCTGTAATCATTATTCTTTGTATTTTTATGAATTGTCCTATTGTAAACTCTTAATTTTTCAGTTCAATTTATTTTATGTAATAAATTATTTCCAAAACAATTTTTAGTAAAATTTTTTTCCTAGTATTTGATGTTCTCAATATTTTAACCGAATTTCATCAAATTGAAGATCTTAGTGGGGGAATAGTTTTTGACACTTAGAAAACAATCCTGATTTCCGGATGTAAGATGTGATGGCTGGGTGTCCATAGAACTGGAAAAAATTTTGAAATCTAATAAAAACACCCAAAATTCAGGGAAATGAATTATTATGAGTTTGAGGTACTTGAGTCAAGAGGTACATTTTTACAAAATAAATTGGTGTTCTAATTATTTAAAAAAAAAACATTTTCAACTTTAATGTGAAAGTGTTTTGTTGTATATTTTATCTGTAAGAATAAGACATGGCTAGATACATTAATTTATAAATCTCAGTTCACAACTAAATGGCTATCAGAAACAATATTCGAGATGAATCTGCAAATAAAAATCAATTCTCTAAGCTGAAATTACCTGTTTTCATTAATGAAATTATCTTTTGAAAGTCATTTGCAAAGAAAAAAAAGACTACTAAAACTATGATGGATCTATTTTTAAAAAACATTTTTTTATTATTAAATATCATTGGTGTCAAATATAAAGATACCAGGTACCCAGACCCATTTCTCAATCTCAAGAAATGGTACACATATTCGGCCAATTTTATTGGGTATCTAGTACCAGGTAAGACTCATTTTCATGTATTCCATCAGTTTTTACCAATCGGGCTGAAACGACTGGTTTTGGTAGTACATATTTTACTTTTATGGAGAATTTTAATTCAGAAGAACCATTGTCTAGTGGACAGCGAAATATGCTTGCTAAAGAGAGGTGTCCACTTAGAGAAAAGTATGTTAATTTAGAAATCAATGCAGAAAACTAAATTAATATAATAGTTAAATAAATGTAAATTTAGAAATAGAGAAGCATTTATATTTATTAAAAGTAAATAAAATCGTAATGAATTAATTTCACTGTTAACTAGAAAAATATGATAGCTGTCTGGGGGTCTGTTTAGAAGAAATTTGGGTCCGTTAACGTACCCTTCACAAAATATCTTTTTCATAAAAATGGACCCTTCACAAAATAGTTTATCTTTTAATCGGACACTTCACAAATTTATTTATCTTCATTATTGTTTTGTTGATCAAATAAACCCTTCCCAGGGACGAAAACAAGAAAGATGTAAACGAATTAAGTTTTTTCTTCGGCAGACGCTTCTTCCTTTATTCATGCGAAATGAATATTCGGCAGTATAAGCTAAATACCAAATATTTGTATGTTGCATCTCTAATTTGAAAGCAGCAATTGCTGTTTATTTTGGAAAATGAAATTTTTTTTATTATAATTTTACAGTGCTGAGCATAGTCTTGTATCTATTTACAATTTAAGAACTCTTTGAAAAAGTTTTTTTGCAATAACCGGACCCTATTTGCACAAATTCATAAAAGCAGGACTCTGGTTAAAAGCATGTGACTTAACGCTTATTTTATATTCACAAATTCCGAATAATTTTTTCACAATTTTACAAAAACCGGACCTTTCACAAAATGTCTGGACCGACCCTTGGCTGTGTATTTTTCTCATACTAAATGTGCTTCAGCAGATAAATGAAATGTTTTTATTATTTAGGTTTTTAGACTTATTATAAAGAAGTATAAACAACAGTTGCAAACAGAATATAAATATTTTCTTACAAATGACAGTTCTTTTAATACTATTTTTTATTTACACATCAAAGATTAACTTCCAAGTAAACAGAAGAAAAAAAACATGTTAAAACGAAGAAAATTTATTTAATAAAAATTGCTATAGAAATTTTTTGAAAGTAGTTTTTATTTTTTAGTTAAAAAAAAAACTTTTTATCTTCATATAACTCAACATAAAACTTATTTGGAGACATTTTATTGAATTTTTTGTACACGTTGATTTACATTCACATTGAAAAAAATGAATAAAATTGCCCATTGATATCTCGAAACTAATTTTTTTTTTCTAGAATGTGTTTCTTACTCGTGGATAAAGTTTGCACAGAAAACGCTTATCTCAAACTTTTTTCTCTTGCCAGTTCATTGTTGTCAACACAATTACAACATAAAAAATAAATTTAGCCTTTAGCATATTTTCAATTGACAATTACAGAAAATTTGAGAAGTGAACATCTGACCTTTTTGAAATAAAGAGCTTTACTATTATATCAGCTTTAAATTTTGCAATTAACCAAGTCTAGTATTCTAAAATCACTTAAACAAGTTGAAAAAAAATATAAATCATTTTATAAAAAATTTGTTTTGTTGAGCAAGTCTTACTTTTGTGTTATGGATAAATAAATAAAAACAACCATCTGGTGAATGGAAAACTTATTACAACTATTTATTTTACTCAAATTGTGTAAATATATTGGAAGCCTGGGACTCTCATAACTCTGAATAAAATCAAAACAAACAATTATATTTATTCTAAAAGTCTCCATCGTATCTACTTCTAATTGCGGTGAAGCCTGTATAAGTTCACCACTTGTAATGCATTGCTTCAATGGTCAACTTGTAGAGGGGGATGAGTCCTTTTTTTTAAATCATTTTTCAAATGTTACTTTTATATATTCATTTCTATAGAACCACCTATGAAAATAGTATTAACAATTGTAACCGCTTTTAATATGAAATTAAAATTTATTTTGGAAACACCCCAATGTATATTTTTAGAAATTAAATAGATTACCAGAATAAATTTTGCTTTCTTAATTACTTGCAATTATAAAACTTAAATAAATAAAAATACATTTTGTTTTAAAATTTATTCTGTTATACTTGCAAACATATTTGTTGCAAATATTATTTTTCATTGTTTGGTGAATTTACATCAGCCAAATATATTTCAATACAAACATATAGTGATCTGTTATCTTTTCAAAAATATCAGAATGTTTATTAGGCATAGCATACTAAATTTTTGTCACAGTTTTATGCTTTTAAGAAAATTAAAAGGATTCTTATCAATGTTTTTAGTATAGCTGGCTTCCTCGTAACCGTCTTGTCTATTATCTCATGTGTCTTGAGGTTGATTTTGGCAATTGAAAAATTAACTTTTTTTTTGTGGTCATTTTAAGTAAAAATTTATCAGAATCTGTCTCTAAAATCCTTCTAGATCAATAGCTCATTTCAAAATAATAGCTTGCTAAGAAAAGTCCTTTCTAGTTACCCTAGGAGGTCAACTCATCCAGGGGTTTATGGTTAAATTAGCTTTTTACACTTTTTCCCTAATTTATAGTGAAATTCAAAATATTGAAAATTTAGCTGAAATTTTTTTTCTTTCTTCCCATTTTGACCTTCACAGTATATATTTTTTTTACTAAAATGCTAATCATGGAATTAAAAGAAATGCTTTTCAACTGACATTTAGTTTCAATGAACGAAAAAAAGGATGTTCAAATATTTCTCTCAAAAAGGACATCTGAAGAAGGAAAGAATGAATAGAATTGATTAAAGAATAAATAAGCCCTTTCTAGTTTCTCCTGGTTGTCAACTCATTCAGGGGTTTAAGGTTAAATTAACGTTTTACACTATTTCTCCAATTTATTCAAAATGGCATAGAAAATTTACTGAAATTTTTTCTTTTCTTGGTTACCATGGGAAAGTTTTAGAATATCAGTGCTTGACCAATTTATTAGTGGTTAACATTCAAGATAAACAGGTTACAAGGATTTTTCTCCCATATTTTATTTAGAATAAATTCTGTTCTAGATAATTGAGATCAACTTGACAAGTAAAATCGTTTTATTCGGTTAAGTGTGTATAAATTGATTTTTCAATGGAAACATATATATATTCTCCTTCAGAACTCCTACAACTGTTATTTGTTGGTATTAAAGTTCCACAATTTGGGATCAATGATATGAGGATGCCAATGTAGTCCTTATTTTCCTTACAAGTTGGTACCCTTTCATTTGATACTGGATAGGCTTCAAGCTCTGAATAGGATTCATGATACTTAACACCATATATACTTGTGTATGTAATTTGTTATGTATCATATGTGCTTAATAAATTTAAAGATCTTCAAATAGTTAATGAAAAAATATTTATGTAATATATTAAAAATCTATTTCAGATCACATAATATACTTTGAGGATTAAGTTAGTACAAATATGCTTTCATTTACATAAGTATATTTTCAGAATATTTAATGCTGTACAAATCTTTCCTCTGCTGTTGTCTTATAGGAATTTGTTCACGGACTTCATTCACGTAATCTAAATCTGTAATAAAAGAAAATAAAAATTTATAATAAGATAAGATTATATAAATTCAATAATGAAATTCAATACTTGCCTATATCACTATAGAGTATAATTTCCTTCTCATCAGTGGTTGCAATTACATTTCCCCTATTAAAAAATTAAGATTAGGTAAAATAGTATTTACAAAATATACTATGGTCTCTCCATTGAAGATGCTAATTGAAATTCATTTATAATTTTCCTATTTCTGAATAATATGCTTAGATTTTAAATGGGCATATGTCAATTAAAAAAAGAAATGGTCATCTTCAAACAATGGCAATTCAAAATGTCCATAAAATTGAATCTTTCACTTAGAATAGCTTTATTTATTGAAATTGAAAAATAAATTTAAATAAGACTGTTTAATTTTAGGTCGAAGAATAAAAATTTTCATCTGCATGACTAGTTCAATTGCACTTATGAAGAAAATCCTTAAAAACTATTAATCCTATCAACTCAAATTTTAATCTGATTCAATTCAGTAAAAAAAATCATGAAATAACATAGTGTACATTACATGTTCAAATAGCCCGTTAGATAACAAAGTAAAAAGTGTACAATTCAAAAGTAGTACTTTTTATGCATAAGAACGCTTTTCTTCTATGTTTCTAGTGTTTTTTCTATTGACTCTCCTGTGTAGTCTCATTTGATTTAGCATGAAAAAATACACAGGAAAAACAATGTCTCATTTGCTGAAATCGCAATATCAGACGTGTAAAAAGTACACATATAAATTTACACTTTTGTACATGAAACACTTATTTATAACTCCTAAACTATTAGTCTGATCGCCTCAATATTTGTTCCATTCAACTCAGCATCCAAAAATACAATGGAAACAATGCTTTATTTACTTGTCCGGAAGAAATACAAATCTTTCTCTCAAAACACCATTTCCCTTTTGAAAAAAGAAAAAAGGAGGAAAGCGCACGGAGGAGTAAAAGAGTATTCAGGCATCAAATAACATGGCAAAACTTTTTGTTGAAAAACACTGGTGATTAAGTTTTTTGAATAAACACCCTTCTTCTAGCTATAATTACCAAATTGGAAGAAAACATTCAAAATACATCAGTCTATGTCATAATTTAGTCAAAGAATTTTTCTTCCACGGTACAACGTCCTTTAAATTGTAATATTTTTTAACCTTTTCCAAACAATTTCTTTCTAGTAATAATCAAATTTAATGCATAAACATTGTCCCGTAGTGGACTGATCGTTAAGACACGGTTCCCAGCAGCTCACCGAAGTCAAGCATCACTGGCTACGGTCAGTGTGCGGGTGGGCACTTGGATCAGTCTGCGTAGGGACCGAGGGTGTACGGTATTGGTCCTCGTTAAACTGTGCTACCGTAAAGTGCTCGACTTCGGGCGCAGGTCGTCGGGCTACCGAAGCGTGGGTGCCATCCCCTCCGCAGAGGATCAAAATTGTGATGGCATGTCTTCGGATCATCTTCTGGGATGTTTCCCAGACCGTCGCCAATAGCCCATTGTGCAGCTCTAGTGCGACGTAAATTAACAACAACAGCATAAACATTGAAAAAAAATACTAATTTTAAAAATTAATTTTAAACTAAATTAATTTTAAAAACTATACATAAAATAAATTATAGAACAATAGGATATAAAGCATAAATTAATTTTAAAAACTGCATAATAAAATAAATAGAACTCTAAATAAATTAAATAACTAAAGTGTACCATAGATAACTCACCAAGGGTTAATTAAAGTACTATGACCCCAAGCAGTATAACCTGCATTAGTATCTCTGGCTGGAGATATTGTCGCAACATAAAGTTGATTATCTACAGCTCTTGCTCTTGATAGCAGTTCCCAATGGGCAGGCCCAGTTGTCATGTTAAAAGCAGCAGGATACACCAAAAGTTGGCACCCTGAAATGTTACACCAGTTCAACAGATAAAATACAATATATCAAATGTATAGTTTACTGGTAAAATGTAAATTCAGATAATTGATAATTTTAGAGATATATTTTTTGAATATAGCAATTCTAGTTTATTACAGATTTTTTCTATTTGTGGATTAAAATCAGAGTACTATTGCATGCTAAGAGATTCCTAAGAAAAAAGAAGGGCAGGGTGACGGTATCTAAATAAAAGGGTAATTTGAGTTTTGGAGGCCACTAACCAAGCCAAATTCATGTTATAAATAAATAATTATTGTATTTTTTAAATAATGAAATGAAATATCCAGAAGTACATGTTTAGCAACACAGACATTCATAAATCAAAAGAAAACGTACATCTTTTAAAAATTATTTAAACAAATGACAATACGAAAAATCTTATTTTCTGCGTGTATAAGCGGAGAAAATAGCTGAAATAAGCAAAAATGTGGAAGGATTGGCAGCTACGTAGATTGAATTTTCTGTTTATCTTTGAAATTCGAAAATAGATAAAATTATTTTATTTGAACTACTGAATTTCCAGAAAAAGCGGAATATCTATTTAAAAAAAATAACCGAAACTTTTAGAGAATCGAAGTTTTTGATAAAAAGGCTGAAATTTGAGAAACAACAGCGAAAAAAGCGGAAATCCGCTAAAGAGCGGAATAACAAATGGGATTTCATGCATTGGTTGTTATAATGAGGAGGGTCGCACTATAGAGTTAAGTGTTACAAATAAAGAGCACAAACTGTTTTAATGCATGTTTATAACATTTTAACAGTTCCCGGCTATTTTTACTTGTACTCATTAATATCGCTTTCTATGTTATTCATGCTTGTAGTCAAACTGAACAAATGTTGCATAAATTAATCTAGAAAAAGTTGATATAGCAAAATATCATAATTCAGAATGATTTGCATTTCAAAAGATATCTAACTCAATTCTGAAAAAATAAATAAATGATGGAAAAAAAGATCTAACTGAAAAAAATATTTAATTAACATTCTAACTGTAAAACACTCGAATACGGTTAGTTTTTTACAATTAGAATAATTAATTAATAAATTCGGAAAATATTTAATAAACCAGAATATTTAATCATTAACAGTTTATTTAACATTCTAATTTATTATCACTTTTTTCCCCCCTTTTCGTATACAGTTATAAGTTAGCAGTGTCTATACATAAATATCCTCATCTTTTAGTTTTACTCAATTTAATTTTTAGATTTATATTTTTCAGTTTTAAGAAATTGTGTACTAAAATAGTAAGATCAGTCATTGGCAAATGAAGTGAAATAATTCTACTATCAAGATTAAGTACTTTAGTTTATAATGTTAAAACCAAGAAACATTAACCTATCAAACATTAAGCAAGTAATTTCCTTGCCACATATCACATTTTACTAAAAACAGCATAGAGAGTCCAACATACAGAAGGTTAAATAACTATTGTATCTTTAATATATATGAGTGATAAACAGTGACCAAATGTTTAAATTTTATGTTGAAAGAAAAGTTTCGTTGCAATATTATAACAAAAACAATCAATTTAGCCATAACATTTAAGTTTAACTTTAAAAAATTTCCGGAAAGCCAAAAGAATTCTGTCTTTCAATAAAACCACTCTTACAAAACCTGTTTTTTTTAATAAAAAATCTAAATAGTCTCGTATTTTTCTTCTCTTTTTTAAAGAGGTTTTTATTTAAACGTAAATGTTTTTTGTAAACTCAAATTGCCTGCTCAATGGAAAAGAAGAGATCAGGGACATCTACCATTAAATGGTATGCCTGGGTTTGGTTGAAAAGATATTTATGTTTTATTGTTTTTAATGTTTGCATTGTTTTGTGCAAAGATGCCTACTCAGTGAAAAAGAGACAGCTACCGTGTAATGGTATGCCTTGTTTTGGTTGAAAAATTATTGATGTTTTATTGTTCTTAATGTTTGCATTGTTTTGTGAAAATTTTTCATTTTTTCTTGAAATTGGGAATAAAAATTATGAAAAAATAATTACATACATGCTTTAAATGAATTAAATTTATTGGCTTGATTCAAATAATTTTCAGAGACAATGAAATTATACATACATCTAAAAACAAAAGCTAATCTTATTTTATTTTATAAATATGAGATTACCTTTCTCTGCATATATATTAGCCATAATTGGGAATCTAATGTCATAGCATATTCCTATTCCAACATTCCAGTTGCCTAAAAAATATGACATAAATTAACACACTCATAAACTGTGCACAAGTTTTTGAAAATTAGAACTTAAGTTCAAACTTCTTTCACAAACTTTACAAAAGTTTTTTTTTACCTGTGATATATCTTATACAAATTTCCTAATAGTTTCATACAGAAAATTTAAAATATATTTATAGAAATTTTAGTAAATTGTTTGACATAATATTAAGTTGTTGTATGAAACTAGTTTTATTTTAACTAATGTTAATAACAGCAGAATTTTCCTTTTCCGTTGCTGTTAAGGGATTGTCGGCGTTTTAAGAAGGGCGGTCCGCCCTTCTAAAAACGCTGCTAATCCCTTAAAAGCACAGCCTTTTTATTCAGATTCCAATTGCAAAAATATTAATTCACTGTTTAAATAATAATTACACACTCTTAAATTAACTGTGTTTATTGGTTCAATTCTGATTACTATTAAAAATATTTACTTTGTTAGGATTATTCTCAACTCTTTAAATTTTTAGAAGTATCTCTTTCTTAAAGGGGGGATATTGAAATTTTTTTCAATGGTTTTAATTTTTAAAATTATTTATTAAATAAAAATGCATTTTTTTCAAAATGCAACTTTAAATGTTTATTTTCTCATAACTTTTAATTGAAGCAGCACTGCAGATACAAACAATTTTCATCCAATACAAGAAAAAAAAGAGAGAGAAATTGCTGCCTTGGAATTGTTGGAAAATTCATCGAGTACTTCAAGATAAAAAGAGTAAACAAACAAAAATGATGAATTTATTGGTTTAAGAATTTAACAAAGGGTAATTAAATTTGTAAGCATTTAAATTTTAGTTTTCATGTCTTTGATATAATAACATCCTATTTTTTTAGGAAGTTTCTGCTCAGTCCAACGAGTGCCTTTAAATAAAGGTTCTACTGTATTACCAATAACATACTAATGCTTTANAAGTAAATTAGTTATATTCGTTATATACATTATAATTATGTAAAATAGTTATATTCATTATAGTTTAAATGTTTTTTCTTTTGCTTCTCTTAACTTCAACATACTGAATATAATTGTGAAGGCATAATTTGGGGAATATTTCTATATCAGTGCCTATTCATTTCAGTTGAAACCAAGGTGGGTGCAGACTGGGTTTCTTCTGGGGCATACACTTGAAAAAAGTATATTTCCAAGGTGTTTTTTTGTTTTTCAAAATTAATTGTACTAGATCTCAATAGATTTTACAATACTCCAAAAGCAAATACTTTAAAAATATGCATTCATATTTTCCAATACTGTAAACTTAATTAATGTTTAAAATATTTTGAGTGATACATTTTCTAAGTTTCATTAAATTTGTTTAATGAAATAATTTTAAAAAAATTTATGGTGCATTATAATTGGAAATGCAAAAATTGGAAATTAGCAACTGTTCAAAAGTTTCACAACTAATTTTTAAGAAAATCTAATATTTAATTCATTTGAAACAGCATAATTATATAGTTTAAAAAAATATTTTGAGCACCAAAGTAGATATACACAATTATTTATTGTTACTAGGAGGATTAAAAATTAATTTTAAAAAAAGATGAAATAACAATATTTAACAAAGCAAGATTATTTTTGTCCTAAGTAAATAAATACTTTTCTATGTCATCAGAAAACTTAAAGAGTCTTAATACATTGAAAAAAATAATCTAATTTTTCTCTAACAAAAACAAAACACATTATTATTATTACTTTAGTTTTACAGAAATAATAAGAGGCTTGGAGATAATGAGAAGTGATTCTGTTTTGAAGTTTAAGAGAAGATCTCCTGATCCCCAATTAGTCTGAAAAAGGCTCAACAAGTTGAAAAAAATAAAGGAAAAGCTCAATAAATCCTATATTAGTAATCCAAATTCTGTAGCACCAAATTATGAAAACTAATTTTGAATGAAAAAAAAACTGTTAATTTTAATTAATGATAATAATTTTAATTAATGATTCTAATTAATTAAAATAAGTTTATCTTATGCAATTTGTATAAAGGATGCATAATAAAATTAGAAATGAATCAGTTTAGCTTATGCATAAATTGTTAAATAAAGTGCATAAGATTCGAGTCTAGTAAATGCAACAATATTTATATATTGAACATTTATTAATTTTATATTATACCTATACCTTTTGATGTTTGGCTATGAGTTCTCCCTCAGGATTGTAAACTAAACAGGTGTTATATAACTTTGAATCCTGCTTTTCGGGAAATGTTCCTAAAAATTAAAATAGGTCATTTTAAAATATTTTTCAAATACATTTACAAAACTAGTTTCCAGATTTTTCAACAACAACAAAAAAAAATTCTTCTGCCTCTCAACAAAAAGCTCAAGTTTTTCCAGCAGGTAGTGACAACTAACTGATATAGTCTGTGTTTGCAGCAGTAATTTACACAAAAATTTCTTATTTTTGAGTTCGATTTTTTTTTAAAAAAAGGGCTGAAATTTTCAACGTCTTGTTAATGGCAAGAGGTTTAAATTGCTTGATCTGTTTATACTATCCATTTCTTTTTTAAAATGAAAGTATAATATTACAAAAAGAAAGACAGTTTAAACTATTTCATTTTATTTAAATTGGAGACAACATTAATAAATTCCTCTTTTAAAATTTTACCAAGAAAAGTGTGTTATTTTTTTGATTAAAACTACCAATTATTTATTATTCTAAGATACATATAGTCAGAAATAAAGTTAGCTGTCTCTTTAACAACCTGCTGGGTGCACACTTACACGTTAAAAGATATATAAATTTGTAATTGAATATGTTACCATCAATGTAAAAAATTAGGCATTCTTTAGAATGTTTAGTCATTTCATATAATGAATAAAATCAAACAAAGTGTGAAATTAATAATATTTAACACATTGCCTATGCATTCTATGTAGTAACTAATGAAAAAGCTACAGGTACTCCATATAATGATGAGGCAAATTAATACAGTTGACTCTTAAATATCCAGTTTAATGAGGCAAAAAATATGCCGCTTAACAAAACAGCTAGATAGAACGAAATTCTACCCATCCACTTTCCTACATAATTCATCAACATATGTTACACATTTCAAGATAAATGATTAATGCGAAAATATTCAAAGCTTATTAATAAACTACTCAAATGTGAAAATTCATGACTATGAAGAATCAAAATGTATAGACCACAGTTTTAGTATTCCTCATTTTTGTATTTGCCACCTACCAGGACAAGTTTTACAAATGACCGGTTCCTGTATTCGTAATGTTTTACCAGGCTGGATAGTACAGAAACCAGATAGCCATGAACTGGATAATTGAGAGGCTGCTGAAATTGCCATAAAAACTAAATTTTTATAAATTCACACTTTGACTAAAAACTGTTTGTTATCCCTAGGAATTCTATATAATGATAAAGAAAAGTATTTAATATTTTATACTTTACATAAAAATGCCATCGATCCATACCATGACCGCCTACATTTCAAAAATTGACAGTAGACCAGTAGAAGATTAACAGTAGCAGTAGACAATGCAAGGAAATAAATTGATAAAATTTACCTCCAATCAAATAAACTTTATTTTCTTTGGCAGTGTCAGAAAGTAATTTGCTAGTTTCTCCAGGAATATTTTCTGCATACTGTTTAAAGTAGTTAACTCCATATGGTGAGTTGAAGCATTCCTATGAAAATTAACCATGTATTGTATTAATTTTTTGGGCTAAATATTAATAATATGTTTATGTTATTCACTGATGATGACTCATCCCTGGTCCAGGGGTGCAGAATACATCAAATCGCGCAAACGAGGTTCGGGAGAAATTCAGGCAGCCCTGGAGAGATTTTTGATGCATAGTATTTAAGAAACTTTCTTACTTTTGTTAAATCTTGTTGGTCAATTAAAAATGTAATATTTTGACAAATAAGACATAAGAAATATGGAACTAAAAGTCATCATTTCAACTTTAAAATACACATTTTTAAAATTTATTTTAACATATTTAATTTTTTAACTTCCTATAAAATTTCTGAGTAGGAAAAAAAATGTTTATGTCATTTATGTTAAATATAACACAAACAAATTAATGTGTCAATTTGTTTATTTATTAGTTTAAATTCCTTAAGTTTATGAGTGAGACCTTAAATTTAGTTTTATAAAATATTACTATTTCAATATAATTAGATTTTAAATAATTTTAAACTCATATGCTAGTTTATTCAAGAATTGTGTTAAATCAAGTGTATATAATTTGTTTTATTGAAACAAAAATTAAAATAAAAAAATTTAACAATATACAAAATTTTTTTGAAAAAAGTTATTTTTCCTAAAAAAAGCCCTATAAGGGATATTTAAAAAAGTAAAAAATTTTTTTGGAGAAACATTAGGCCTTGAGAAATTTCTGCACCCCTGGCCTGATCTAAAGAAATAAAATCATCAATAAATACAAAGAATTACATTCACTGAATATTCTATTATTAATCAAAAAATTAGTAAATTGTTGAAACCTATTTAATCATTCACACCTGACCACATCAATACAATGCTTATTTTTCTTCTAAAAAAATGCTGGCCTCTCTAACTTTTTTTGTCAGAAAATATTAACTGATATAAAAATTACCATTTAAAAAAGAATTAATTTACTATGTTCACAAATAGCTCTTATGAGTTTGTACTTCCATAAAATAAATTTAAAATTATAATAATAAATTTTTTAATCATATTTTTAAAATCCTTATCAAAATTATGTAACACTGTAAAGCAATATTTAAAAAGAAAGCCAAACCAAAATAAATTATAATGATTTTATTCACAGTAGAATTTTAATAATACAAAATGAGCCATTTTAAGGTTTAAAAATTTATTTATTTCAATTAAAATGAGAAGTATTATCTTACAGGTAAGCATCTTAAATTAGCTCTATTCTGTGGGGCTTCTTAAATGAATTTTTGTAACCATTAAGTTTTTTTTAACAATTTTAATATCTGAAAATTTATTTTTTCAATTAAAATGAGAAATATCATCTTACAGGTAAGCATACTAAATTAGCTCCATTCTGTGCAGCTTCTTTAATGAATTTTTGTATTCTGTTCAAGTTTTGTTCTTTACTTGTAGAGACAGCAAATTGAATAAGAGCCAATTTCATTTCTAGAATTCAAAAAGACACCAAAAACATAAAGTAATTATGTAAAATTCATTAAAATGAAACGTCCAAGTGATCAATGAATTGTAATGCAATTGAAGAACTGAATAGAATAAGAGTTTCCGAGACATTTGGGTAAATATAAGTAAATTAGTTATATTCGTTATATACATTATAATTATGTAAAATAGTTATATTCATTATAGTTTAAATGTTTTTTCTTTTGCTTCTCTTAACTTCAACATACTGAATATAATTGTGAAGGCATAATTTGGGGAATATTTCTATATCAGTGCCTATTCATTTCAGTTGAAACCAAGGTGGGTGCAGACTGGGTTTCTTCTGGGGCATACACTTGAAAAAAGTATATTTCCAAGGTGTTTTTTTGTTTTTCAAAACTAATTGTACTAGATCAATAGATTTTACAATACTCCAAAAGCAAATACTTTAAAAATATGCATTCATATTTTCCAATACTGTAAATTATTTTCATTTAAACAAAAACTTCCAAGCATCAAAAGTCAAAACTTTTTAATACATAAATTGAAATGCATTCAACTTGTTTTGAGAACATACTAATGTGCCTTTAATTAGAAAGAAAAACTGAAATATATTAGTATATTATATATATAAATTAAGAATTGGGGCTAATAAAATCTCAGGGATATTAGGGCGCTTTCTCACAGTTAATTATTCACATCCAGTCTTCTTATTCTATTTTTGGATTCAAATATACAAGAATTAACAAGTTTTTCTCTTTATTAAGTTTGGGAACCATATTACTTCCTTGACCTATTTAATGGACAAATTGTAATTACTAATGTTTCCCGCTTTGTTTGTGATTTAAGAGTTCATTGGACTTGTTTGCAAGATTTTTCCTAAATTTTATTCAGACACGCCTGATAATTTTATTCTCTTGTCTGACAATAATGGTTAAATAAAATTTGATTTGCCCTGGATACATCCTGTGCCAGTGTGCCCAACTTGCCTGACTGTCTTCGTCAAGTATATAAAATAATATGAAGAAAGAGGTTAATGGAAAAAAACGGTGAAAAGTTAATTAGAAAAATAATTTTTTATATTTTACTGAAAGGGATGTATACATTCAGTTGTAGGCCGATTTTGAAAAATATCGGGAAATAAAAAATGATTCCCTTTTTATTAATAATAAAAAGGTTGGTTTTTAAGGGTATATTAAAAGAATTAATGCAAAAATTTCAATTAAACTTTTGTAAGGGATTCATGCTTAAATTGAGTCCGATTTCAGGTAAATACAGGCCATACAAGTCTTCAGACATGTACAATAAATAATTTCGATTTTCCTTTTTTTAGATTATGAGTTGAGTATTAGTTATGAGTTACAATAGCAGTTATTTAAATTTGTTGCAATGAATACTTTTATTAAAAATTTTGTAATATAAAAAATGCAATTATGCTTAAGAAAATTTATAAGTTTTGAATTAAAATATTTCATATATTGACAATTTATAAGTGCAACAAAAAGGCAAAATGCTTTTCCTCAATGTAACATTTAATAAGCCACAGTGGCCCAGGGAGTTAAGTTTTTGGCTCCCAACGGAGGTGATTCAGATTCGAATCCCAGAGGTGACTTATTGATACAAATTCTGCTCCTGGATCGCACTGATCATAGTGCTGGCATAAAATATTCTGAGGGGTATAATAATCATGGGTTGGAATCCCTTGCCATCGGGCTAACCAGAGGAAGTTCTTGTGGTTTTCCTCTCCATGTAATGCAAGTTAGTTTCATCAAAAAGTACTTCAGAAGGCTAGTTTGTCCCAATACTTGATCCAGGTGTTCCCTTGTCTTCTGGGTTGGGTTCAAAATAACAAGGCTACGAGCAGGGCATCCACTCCTTTCTTCTTACTTACATCAGTTTTTGCACGCACAAAAACACTTTGATTCATTGGTAAGGTACTGATCAGAAATATCACCCCCTTAAAAAAAGAGAGTCTAAAGACTGTCACCATTATCCACTAAAATTTGTATAAAAAGATTTGGCAAAATAAATGAATGCTATGAAGTTAAGGAAGACTAAAATTAGNGCAGTGAATGTGATAAAGGATACAAAAAAATGTCGCTTGGATCTTCAACATTTAAAGAACTTATAATCCAATGCAAAAAATTAATGCATGATACATAATTTCTCCATTTTCAAGTAAAATTTTTTACTTTAAGTAAGAATAATTTTGAGAGAGGAAGAATATAAAATATAAAAACATGAAATCATCAGCTCAACTAAATAAAATGAGACAATAATCTTAAAAATATTTTCTTTAAAAGTCATGATAAAATATTTGATTGATATTTTTAAAGATACGAATATCATTTAATTAAATTACTGTGTAAAAATGCTGCCATAAATAGAAAAATAATCAGAAATCAAAACTTCCGATACCGTACAGAAAGATAAAGTAAATAAACAAATTACTGCCAGATTCTAAAACTTGAATGGAATTGAAATTTCAGTCTTAACTGTGTTAACTCCAAGATAAGGTTCCAAACTCTATGAAAATGTTGATTAACTAAATAAAAAAACAATGTAAATTAGAAAATGTAAAAAATAGTTCTAAACGACAATAAAAATTGACATATGAGATTTGTTTATTTAATTATTTGAACCCACTTATCGCTAAAGCTGAGCAGAAATAAACAGTCATATGGCTTTTAGCAAAAACTTATAATGACATCACAAGCTTGTGTAAATAGTAAATATGTGTGTCACAGAAAAGGGTAATTATGACAATGGTTTAAAGATATGTTTCCTACATCACATAGGATGAGTCTTTGAATAAAACTTTCAAAATAAAAAGTAAAATTTCTCCCATCTGTGCTTAAAAAAATAGCTCCAATTATGTATTATTTGAACGTTAATGAGTAATTTAAAAACAGTAATTTTTATACAAACACCGAGCATTACATTGGAGAGAACTCTTATTTATTCAGCGTATAATATTACACATTCTCAGGTGTTAGCAAACATTATTTTGTTTATCTTGTAGAGCAGTCTTATTCTTATTCATTCGGTATGTGTAATGAAACATTCACTTTGGAAGGAAGTTTAAATGCACTATCAGTTGTTTCTACTGTAGAAAAACCTTATTCATGCAGTTTGTGTGATAAAACTTTCACACAAAAAGCCAATTTAAATCGACACTACTCTGTTCATTTCGGAGAGAAGCCATATTCATGCAGTGTATGTGATAAAACATTCGCACAAAAAGTGCATTTAAATAAACATTGCGTTGTCCATACTAAAGAAAAACTTTATTCATGCTGTGTATGTAATAAAACATTCACTCAGAAATCTAATTTAACTAGACATTATTTTGTTCATACTGGGGAGAAGCCTTATTCATGCGGCGAATGTGATAAAACATTCTCTCAAAAGGCTGGTTTAAGTCGACACTCTCTTGTACATAGTGTTGAAAAACACTATTCATGCACTGCGCCTGATAAAAAATTAAGTTTAGCTGAACATACCATGGAGCAACTTTTTGCGTGCAGTGTGTGTGATAAAACTTTTGCACACAAAGCCAGTTTGTATCGACACAATTTTATTCATACAGGAGAAATGCCATATTCATGCAGTGAATGTGATAAAGGATACACTAAGAAATCCAGTTTAGATAGGCACTTTCTTGTTCATACAGGAATTAACCGTTATTCATGCAGTGTATGCGATAAAACATTCACACAGAAAACCAGTTTGGATAGGCATTATCTTTCTCATACTGGAATGAAGCCTTTTTCTTGCAGTATCTGTGATAAAACATTTATACAGAGAGCTGATTTAAGGAGACATTCTCTTGTTCATACTGGAGAAAGGCCTTTCTCATGCAGTGTTTGTGGAAAAACCTTTACACGTAAAATCAATTTAAATGCACACTCTGCTATTCATACTGGGGAGAAGCTTTTTTCCTGTAATCTTTGTGATAAAACTTTTGTACATAAAATAAATTTTGATAGGCATTATCCAGTTCACACTGGAGAGAAACCCTATTCGTGCAATTTATGTGATAAAACATTTGCACATAAATTTCTTTTAAACGAGCACCGTGTTGTTCATACTAAAGAGAAACCTTATTCGTGCAAAGTGTGCACTAAAACATTTGCACAAAGAGTTAGTTTATATAGACACAAATTTGTTCATACAGGGCAGAAGCCTCATTCATGCAGTGTATGTGATAAAACATTCACACGAAGAGCCAATTTAACTGCACACCTTGCTGTTCATAACAAAAAAAAAGAAATCTGATCTAGTGTAATGTGTGAATAGCATTACAGTGATAATATCAGTTAAAGGCTCCTCCCATATTACTGGGGGTGAGATCAATCCTTGTAGCCGACTAAACATCCAGCAAGATGCTCTTTAAATCTGTTGTTGGTGAAAATCCTGTGAAGGATTGTGGTGGGGAAATAAAGAGAATAGAAATATGTGATCTGGAGATAGGGATACCAGACATGGCACTGTCCACATTGTCTGATTTTGAGCAAAATTATGTGGAGTTGCACATGGCGGTTAAAACATAAAAGTGGAGAAAAATAAGGGTAGATCCTCAATCATAGTTGGGTAATGTGTAGCATTTGATATAACATTCACATAGAAAACTATTTTAAATAAGCTCTCTCTTGTTCATAATAGATGTTATAATTAAGCCTTCTATGGGAGAAAACTTTATGAAGATGCATAAGGAATTTCCACTCTAATGTTGAGCATAAGAAAAAGTGGCATATTATTTTTTCCAAAGTGTGGTAAAATGGCAGCACTCTGGACCAAATAGTTTTTGAACTATAGTACGATAAAAAGTTTAACCACTAGTTAGAGTCATTAGTTTATCGTTTTCTTTTATTATTTTTAATTGAATTTATAAAGTTCTCTGTAATTGCTTGTTTATTTGTTTTATTTTAGTTTCATAAAATGCTTAAATATTGATTTTTTTAAGAATGCCTGTGTTAATGAAGATCAAAGTGCATTTTGTAAAAGTAAATTATAATTTATTTATTTAGCTCACCATTTTTCTTGTTCTTGAAATTATTTTATTGTTGAATAAAATGCATGTTTTTATGGATGATATACACCATTAATTAAACTAATTTATGTGTAAATACGTAAAGGCCTTATTAATGTAATTTTTTTTAAAATTTCTCTGCTTATAGTAGAATTTATTGTGTGACAGATTGAAATAAAAAGTAAATAATATATATATGACAGAGCCACTTTATACAAATAATAGAACTAAAATAAAAGATTTAAAATAGATTACAAAATTTTATGTTTGTATACAAATGCACAACAGGAAAATATTTCTGAACACAAACATAAATTGATGCAATTTTATTTATTATTGATTCTGTTAGCAAATACCTAAGCATTTTGGATCTAAATTAACAGAATTGCTGATGATATATTTAATTAAAAATGTGATTCAGTGTATTTGTGAAGCATAATGAAAATAACATATTCCTTTATTTAGCCACATTTTAAATATATCTAAACAAATACATATATACAGTACCGGTCAAAAGTTTAGACTCACTTTTATCAAACATAAGCATCAACAAACTTCGCAAAATGCTGTTTCCATTTAAAACTGTTCATTATTTTTTCATTTTCTATCTATACTGTTGTTGATTACGAAATGAACAAAAAGTGCATGTAAATACTTATTCTAAAATAAAGTGTAATTTATTTAAAAAATTTCATTAATTTTTAGTTTATTTGGTTACTTTTAATCTTTTTTTGTAAGTTTCATTGGTTAAATTCATGTACATAACACATTAAAAATTTGATATAATAGTTTTCATTTGACAGAATAACTGGTACATATTAAAAGCAAATGTAAACAATATTTTATACAATTTATTATAGAAATATGGGTCAAAAACCATAAATAAGTATCGAAACACGTGCAGTTATTATTGCACTTTATGGCGAGGCGAAGGCTATCTACATAAACAAATTGCCTTTAAAACTAGTGTTTCGCTGACCATTGTTGTCAGAACTTTGTAAAGGAAGAAAGAAACTGGTCAAAATAAGAGCCACCAACGATCAGGGAGACCTAGAATAACATTCAAACATGAGGATAAGTTTATCTGCATTTAAAGTAAGCGGCAGCGAATCGTTGATCAAGATTTTTTTTCCAGCAAGATAGCGATCCAAAACATTAATCAAAATTTTGTAGAAACTATTTTGTATCAAAATAAAATAAAAATGTACTGAAATACGTGGATTGACTCCATCTATCCCATAATATTAATCCTATTGAGCTATTATGGATTTAGAAATGTTAGAAAAATGCCATGTTTACCATATAGCAAAACAAATTTTGGGAATCTTTACTTAGCTGGAACCAGATCTAAACTAGAACATTGAAAAAACTAATAAACACATAAACTAAATCCCAAAAATATGCACTGCTGTGTTGTTATTAAGGCTAAAGGAGGATATTTCGAAGAATACAAGATTGGTCGAAATTCATAAGTTATCAAATTATAGTTCTTACAACACATATGTATCAATAATATCAAAATGAAATTAATTTGTTGGGATTTTCGGTCTAAAAACCTTGTTATTTGTTCATTTTTAAAAAATTCAAGAACTAGTCTAAACTTTTCACCGGTACTGTATATATATACTTTTCAAATATACAAAACAAATACTTTTTTATACCCTTTCAAACAAAACCTTGATGTTGTTTATTTTAACTAAATAAATTTATATTTTACATTTTTGATATTGGTGATAGAAGTTATCTTGTTTTCTTCATTATTTGTCTGATTCCTTTTTGTGGCAAAGTTTTCTCCTGTTCGAGATGTGAGATGAGTTCCGTTAGAATGTAAGACAAGTTCCTTTTACGTCTATGTTGCCAAATATTGATGATTTCCCTCTCAAGTCTCTCTGGTTCATAAAAAGTTTGCTATACAACAACATAAATTTTAAATAATATAAATAGAAAATCTCATTTAGTCAATTTTTTTGCGATGACAAAATATGCATAAAATTTAATTATCATTAAGGGATTCAAATTTTCAAGATCTTTTCTACCAACAACTATTAGGACTATTTTTTCAGATTGCCACTCTATTTAAGAATCGGAATTTTTGAAAAAAAAAGGTATATTTAATCAGAGAAGGTATATTTTTATTTCTTATTTCGTGACTTAAAAAAATATAGGTCTGTTAAAATTAATTGTCGTCAGGCCAGATGTATGAACCCGTTGACCTGAAGAAAATCAAACACCAAAAGAGGAGTAGAGTAAATGTCTTCCCAGAGAAGACCAAGACAGTTCAGGATGTGATCGGCGGAAGCCCGGTGTAGATGGCATTCAGGGCAGAGTAGGTAGGTTTTAGTTCCCTCAGAAAATAGTAAACCTTTAAGATGGCCGGTAGCTAGGCGGGAGATGGTGGTGCAGACTCTCCTTTCAAAGGGAAGGGTCAAAGAAGCTCCAGGCTTATTTCCCTTGTACCAATGGTGGGTGGGGGGAATCAACCAGTCTCTGAGAAGCTGGGATTTCTTCAGGGAGTAAAGTTCAAGATAGGTAAGATCAGAAGAGGTAGGGTGCGGTTGGCTGCAACCCTCTTTAGCTAGGCTGTCCGCTAAATCATTACCATAGATACCGACGTGAGAAGGAACCCACTGCAGGTGAATATTATGTTGGAGGGACAAGAGTTTTAGGTTGTTTACGATGGAAATACTGGTTTTGTCGCCAATTTGGGTCCGGTTGTTGAGATGTTGCAGGGAGCTGCGGCTATCAGAGAATATCCAAAGGTCTTTAAAATAAAGGTCATTTTGCATAACAAATTCCAGACCCCTGTTGATAGCCAGAAGTTCACTTCTGAAAACGGAGCAGAAGTCTGGGTTACGCTGGCAGAGAGAAAATTTTTCATCAGGAGTCTCGATGTAGACTCCGCTACCAGCATGACTATCGATTTTGCTGCCGTCAGTGAAAATTTTTGCGTCTTGTTTTGGAATAGAGTGAATAATTTCGAGAGCCAGTTGCTTTAGATGTTCGGGCAGGAATTCCTTCTTATTGACAGGAGCGGGAAGGTTGAAATGGAAGAAAACTTCTGGAAGATCTTCAGAAGGGTTCAAAGAACTGTGAAGGGAGTGCGGCTCTACATTATCGACAAGGAGGTTTTGAAAAACTATTTGGCTAAATGGACTGTTTTTCCTGAGCCTTTGGGAGAAAATCCAATTGCTGAGGTATTCGGAAGTCTTGTTATGTTGTCCAAAGCTGAGGAGCTTGTTATAATATTTTACCAGGCTGGCTTGTCTTCTGGTATGGAGAGGCAAAAGGTTAGCTTCATAATGTGCAATGTTGGCTGGGCAACTCTGTTTCAAACCTGTGATAATACGGGCAGCACTAAGTTGGACCTGTTCAAGTTTATTTAGATTGGTCTCAGAGGCACAGCAGAAAATTGGTGAACCTTATTCGAGAATTGGCCTTATGAGAGCCAGAAAGGTAGTTCTCAGAGTGGTCGCATCCGCACCCCAGTCTCTGCCAGCTATGTACTTCAAGATGTTCAAACGCTTTCTAGCTTTCAAGGTAATATGTTCAGTATGCTTATTGCTGGTAAATTCAGGGTCAAGAACAAGGCCTAAGTATTTTGGATGTTTCTCATAGATAAGTTTCTGGCTCTCAAGGACCAGTTTTGGGTGATAATTATACAAATGCTTATTTGTAGTGAAGAAGGTAGTTGTAGATTTGCTTGGATTAAAGTGAAGTTTATGGTCAGCAGCAAAAAAAAGAGATAGACTCCAAAGAAGCATTGAGTATGGACTCCAAGTAATCCGGATTGTTTACTGAGCACCAAAGGGCAATATCATCAGCAAAGAGTCCAATATCTGTGCCCGAGGTAATTGTCAGCTCAATGCCAGCCAAATAAAGGGTGAACAGAGTAGTGCTAAGTACGGTTCCTTGAGGAACTCCTTGGCTCAGTTTATAGGTGTCAGAAAGTGTTTTATTATATTTAACCTTGATATATCTTTGTTAAAGATAGTCTGAAATCCAAACTAGGGCATTACCTCGTATGTTGAAGGTGTCATGAATGTTTCCAAACCCTGTCAAAAGCTTTAGTAAGATCCAGTAAAGCAGCGACACTATGTTGAGTAGGTTTGAGATTCTGGGTATCCCTGATGGTTTGCGCAAACTGTAGGACTTGATCTGTTGTGCTATGGCCCTTTCTGAATCCATATTGTTCTCTGGGAATGAGTTGATTTTTATCCAGGATAAACTTGAGTCTTGTTAGGAACATTTTTTCAATTAACTTGCTAGAAGTGCATGTAAGGGCAATGGGTCTAAAATCTTCCGAGGAGCAAGTATTCTTGTTTGGTTTTTTGATTGGAATAATAGTGGCTCTCTTCCATTCCTGTGGAAGTCGCCCTTGTCTCCAGGATTGATTAATGATGTTTAGTAGCCATTGCTTCCCTGAGCTGCCAAGGTTTTCAAGCATACAGCCATAAAGACCATCTGGGCCAGGAGATTTGGTCATATCAAGAAGTGCCATTGCCAGGAGTAATTCACGCATAGAAAAGGGTTTGGCTAAAGAAGAATCTCCAATATCAGAGCTTCGACAACCGTGCACGATGCGTCTTGCTCCAGTCAGAATTGGCCTATCCTCATTCGAGAAATTGAGTCTGCTAATCCGTTGGTAGTGGTTCGCAAGGCCAGTGGCCGCAGATTTGTCATCTGGGAACATTTCCCCATTGTCGTTTTTGATAGAGTTATTAGCGTATTTAAACAGGATTCCATCCAAGCTGCTGAACTAAAACTCAAGGTTTTGCAAAGTGTATACGAAATTTTTTTTATAACAATACTATCAAAAGTGCAATATTATTTAAAATAAAAAAAATTATTTTGCTAATATAAAATATTAGTTTATAAATATTATATTTTAATGTTTACTCTGATTAAGTATTAACACTTGCTTATAAATTTTTTAATATTTCTAACTATTTTGGTTAGCTGTGAATGGATGTTTTTTAAATTTATAATTTTGATCCTCAATTTTAGATTGAGGAATCTAGCTATTTAATCAATAGCTCATTTAACTAATTAGACTTTGATAGTGTAATAATGAATTTTCCAAATAGGACAGTATGTAAACTATATTTGTATTTTTGTCACTGCTTCATAATTATGCCTTGTAAATGTATCAAAATGTAGTGTGTTGTATCACTTGTATGTGCATTTAAAAAATTTGCTTTTTATTTGTACCATTAAATAATTTTTATTTCTTAATTTGTGCATTATTTAGGCAAATTTTGTACAAAGTGTTAATTTATAAAATTTTTTATCTTTTTCAAAGATATTTTAATTAAAAACTTAATGCAAGGAAATTTTTAGCTGTTAATTTCTTTTTTACATATATGTGTGTATTTACATGTATTGTATATAACACAATAAAGAGACAGAACAGAATTGAAGGAGAAATTTACAAAGAAAATTAAAAATTAATTTCGGTTAAGTTAGGTTAAGGTTCACAGTTTGATATTCTTTACACTGTGCATTAGCTGCAAGTACTTAGAACCCATATAATTTTGTTTTTTAATTTATTGATGATTTAATTATCTTTAATTTTCAAAATTATACATTTGTTAAATAATATTTGCTGTGAGGGGGCCAATTCGCGTGATTCGCTCGATCTCTTCCTCTTTTTTTTTTTTTTTTTTTTTTTTTTTTTTTTTTTTTTTTTTTTTTNTTTTTTTTTTTTTTTTTGTAGTTACTGCTACAGATTTCACGATTTTTTTTTATGTGATGATGAATTACAGAATGCGAAAAAGGAAATAATTAGTGTATTTTCTTCCTACAAAATGAGAGAATATTGCCCATAATAGTAGAATAAAAAAAAATATTACATATTTAATTTAAAAAAATATTTTATTTGATCCGATTTTTTTTAATATTTTTTGAAGTTGATGCTTTTCTTACTTTAAATTAGCAACATGTATTTTTGTTATTTTTAAGTATTTTGCATAAAGATATTAGTATTAGAGGGATTTCTTGCAGAAAGCTCGAAAAAATTCTGCCACAGGGTTACTAATTATTATTGAGTATATTCACAGTGAAGATTGGATTAGATACATCAAAATCAGTTTATTGTTGGTGGAATAATTTTAAATAGTATTATTTTTTACTACAAGCCGACCACCTGGTTAGCGTGCCTGGCTGCGGAGCCGATGGTTGTGGGTTCGAATCCCGCTCACGGCATGGATGTTTCTTTCTCTCTCTCTCTCTCTCTCTCTCTGTGTGTTTTATGTCCTTACTTCTGTGTGAATGTAACCCGCCCTATAATCGGGTTTGTGTTTGTATGACGTGGGCGACGCTACTCCACAGCCGTGGCTTAGCCATAGGTGCTCACTGGGTAACGATAAGAGAGTAGCATTTCTGAGGCAAATGGGAAATGAACCCAAGTTCTCGTCATTAACCAAAAAAAAATTTTTTTCTTACTACAATTAGAAGTCTTTAGCTGTTCTCAAATTTTATCTTCCAATAACACTGATTTTGATGAAATTTTTTTTAATACAATGATTTGACAAATTCTAATAGCTTTGTTTCTCGTTTTTCATTTTAAGACCCTTAATGTGTAGTTTATGATTTTTTTAAATACATTTATATAAAAGATTTAAAATGTATATCACGTACGGTAAATACGAGCACTTTGCACGTGTTTTGTATAGATAATGCTCTGGTTACTTTTAGTATTTTTTTTCTTCTTTAAATTGGGATAAAATTATATATCTATGCACTAATTTCCAATTCTGAGTATTTTGTCATCTCACAAATTACAGTTTAATGGAACTAGTATTATGAATTTTCTACAAAAGGTTTTTTTAATAATTTCTTGTCATAAAAATTGTTTTTGTGCTATTAGCAGTTTTTCATCTCCCAGAAAAACAATATTAAAAATTTAGTTGTATTATTTTTAAAACAACTGCATTATTAATCTTTAAAGAAATAATTTATTTTTCGTTGTGTGTATACATATACAGTATAGATAAGTTTAAAATGACGTTACTCATAGATTCCTAAGTCCAGTTCAACTGAATAGATTGAAGTATACAGGGTGGTTACAATTAAAGTGGTCCTCTTTAGAACCCGTTCTACCTATACTATTTTGATGAAACTTGTTATATATATTATATGGACCATTTGGAAATGAATTTTGTTACAAAAAAAAGTTCACATTTTGAAGATCAGGCGGCACTTTTCAAAAATCCCTTTTACTAATCAGTCTAATTTACAAAGACTTGCAGTTAAAGCCAGAAAGTTGTCCTGTGTACCCTTGTCATCGTCAATCCTGCTCTTACAGAAAAAAGATCGAGCTTTACTGGTGAAAACTGTCCGCAGCAATAACTTAGGTGCACCACGTGAATATTATCGTTTAATGAGATTGCGAAAAGGGCCCATGTCGAAGAATAGTTTGAAGAAGAAGATGATTTCGAAATTTGCAGAGACTGGAGAGTTGAGTGTGTTGACTGAAAAGGCCTACTCTGTTGAGAACGAAACTGTTGAAAGAGTCGTTGCTGCTGTGGTTGAAAGAGCTTCCAGTTCTAGTTATACTTCAACAAGTGCTTTATTGGTGTCACACGAGCTGGTGATTCCGTGATCGACAGGTCCCGCAGTGGACTGATCGTTAAGACACGGTTCCCAGCAGATCACCGAAGTCAAGCATCACTGGCTACGGTCAGTGTGCGGGTGGGTGACCACTTGGATCAGCCTGCGTAGGGACCTAGGGTGTGCGGTATTGGTCCTCGTTAAACTGTGCTACCGTAAAGTGCTCGACTTCGCGCGCAGGTCGTCGGGCTACCGAAGCGGGGGTGCCATCCCCTCCGCAAAGGATGAAAATTGTGATGGCATGTCTTCGGATTATCCTCCGGGATGTTTCCCAGACCGTCGAAAATAGCCCATTGGTCAGCTCTAGTGCGACGTAAATTAACAACAACAACAACCGGGATCGACAGTTGATGTTTCACAACCGGTATTTCTACTAGATTTCTCAATTTTTGGGTGTTCAGTTCCTCTTAAATCTTGAACTCGCACGGGAAATTCTCTGTTGTGCTCCTATAACTGCCATATAATGTTAGAGATTGGATCCTTCACTTATATCAGCTAAATTACCATTTTCGCCTTCAGATCCTTCGGCAGAAGCTGCAGATATCTCATTGGATGTTTCATCGCCATGTCATTAACAATTCCTGACCTTGGATGCAAACACTGGCTGTCTTCACCACACAACTTAGATGAAGCTTCTAAGTAATGTTAATAAAAGTGACTAAATCCGATTTAGTTTTAAATGTTGCCCGTAAAATGAGATCTTTGATTATGTAACTTCAAAGAAATACGATTTATTCATGTTGACAACTTCAATTTGCTTTTTTGCGTTTATCTGAGTGCATTCAAAGAGGTAGAAATTTAAATTGAAATACACATTTTACTTTTTTGAAAAATTCAACTAAAACAATTAAAATGTCATAGTGAAGAAGGATATTTTTATCATATTGTTGCCCTTACAACGTTAAAATAAGTTTTCTTTGAATACGAAAAATGAAATAAATGTAGTGAACAATGACAATATTGTTATGAAAGTTTCATGCGTATATGCGTGCATTAGTTTCAGTAATTACATGCATTGTATTATGTGAGTTATGATAATTATACGGTACCTTTATTTACGTTGCACTAGAGCTGCCAATGGGCTATTTGCGAAAGTCTGGGAAACATCTCTGAGGATGATCCGGAGACAACACACATACGTCACACCCCGTTTTACAGGGTGGACACATTCACACACCATCCATCCGCAGAATGTAATTTTGACATGAATCGGAGCACGATCAATATCCAATCCAGTGCCCTCAAAGTTATTGATTTGTTATGGGAACTTGGAGGACTTAGTGTGTAACAGACACCATTTTGTACACCGGGCTGTTTCCATGGAAACAGAAATTGTGAGACTGAGATGTTTTTACAGACGGAGAATATATCAGTTGGAATTGAGAACTCGTCTCGTGGATGCTACGTTGGAGTAATATGTGTTTGAGTAAGTGCGTGTTACGATATATCTCTTCTTCATTTGTGTTTTCTTTCATCTGTAAATAATTTTTCTTTGTATTCGCTCTTTAAAATAACTTAAAATAAAACATGACAATATATAATGCATTGTTGAATTTTTAAAATATCACTGTTCCATTTCTGTTTAAAAAAAATTCTAATGGTGTTTTCGATATTTCTTCAAGTATTTTGATAAAAAGTTAAGTCTTGCCCAGTTTTGAAATATTATAATTGGAAGTTATTGTAACGTAATCGTGTATTTAAGATATTTATTACATAATTTTCTTAAAATGAGTCTTAGTGAGAATGAGCCCAGAACGAACAGCATTGAAAGTCTCTAATGCAACCCCCTCCAATAAAAGGCCAAGAGGAAGGCCCAAAAAGAGATGGAAGGACTGTGTAGATGAGGATTTTGCCATCCTAAAAGTAAAGAACTGGAAAACAATTGCTGGGAGAAGGGCAGAATGGAAAAAGCTTCTGAGGAAGGCCCAGGCCCACAAAGGGCTGTCGTGCCAATGCTGATGATGATAATTGGAAGTTATTGTAACGTAATCGTGTATTTAAGATATTTATTACATAATTTTCTTAAAAAATTTCAAGATTATAAAGTTTATGAAATTTCTTGTTATTTATCTCAAAATTATGTAGTTCAGACAGTGTAGGAAATTAATATTTCTCATTTAATTAAGCTGTGTTATTTCTTTCAACTCGTGCATTTTTTTACAAAAAAAATTTTCGAAAAAAATAATTATTATTTTTAATGAATATTAAAAATTAAAAAACTAAATTTTTGATATTCTTTAACAGCGCAGAAATAAGTCTCCTTGAAAACTGAATAAGTGACAATTGTATAGTAGATATCAGTTTTTCTGCTCATTGCCTTCTATCTCATGCGGTTTTAACAATGGCTGTAATGGGTTAAATCGTTTTTCTAGTTTTACCTTGTATTTTTTAGCCATCGCAAATAAACAATTAATGAGAAACAAATTCTTTTTAAAAAAAGGTCAACCTCCAGCTGAAAAAAAAACTTTACTGATCTTCTTTGAAGTGTATAATTTCTAAAGTGAAATTATTTATATCAAAATAAAAGCATAGAAAATTTCAACTAAACTTTTTGTGTAATTCCTTTTCTGCAAATCTTTTTCTTAATTTATTATTCAAAACACGATCGTTCTCATACTTTAATATTCACATCCCGTCTTTTAGTCTATTTTTAGTTCAAGTATGCATTATATATATCTAAATAACATTTTTAACGTTTATCCCTTTTCTAACTTCTGAGAAATACATTTCCCCACGACATATCTAATAGACCAGTGTTTCCCAAAGTGTGGTACGCGTACCCCCAGGGGTACGCATTCTTATTCGAAATATCTTGCAACAAACGAAAATTTTAAAAAATTTTATTCAGAAACAAAGCCAGCCATGAAAATTTACGATTACGTATTTTTCTATTGGCTTTTTTTTGCAGAGTTAACAGTTAATATTTAGTAGTGTCAACAGCCAGTTGTGATTTTTATCTTTTGTGCAAATTTTTTTTTTATATTAAAAAATACATTCATTTTTTTTATCAGTGGTACACAGCGTTACGAAAAGTTTAGAAGGGGTACACAAAAGTCATAAGTTTGGGAAACACTGTAATAGACCAATTATAATTAATAAAATTTCCCTAAAATGATACATTTTACGGATTTACTTAACAAGATTTTCCCTAACTTTTATTGAAGAGAACGACGATTTTGTGTCACTTGGATGATTGTTCTCTCTTTATTAATTATGAAATAAATATTGCGCCCTCTTTTCCCTGCCTAAGACCAGTTTTTATCCTTCCTTTCCGCACTGATGTTAGATATGTATGTAAGCTGTAAATGTTACTGCTTGCTCGCAGATCAACATCTCATTTTATTGTAATAGATATTAAAAAAAGAAACGAAGAGAAATGTGCTTTTGAAGTACTTTTATTAAACAATTATTAATAAAGGTGCTAACAGCGGATTAAAATAAGAGGATTTAAGATTTATCTTAAATCATTAGTTTTTTCATGCAACTTATATCCCAACTATCATCTCTCAATAAAGCACAGTTCCTGAGGATTCGGAATGAGACCAGCTGTAAATATATAATCCAGATCAGGTACTTTTCCAGGCGGAGGTTGGATGGAAAATTTCTGCATTATGGACACGAAATACAAGTAGACGGTCATTACAGCAATGCCATCTCCAGGACAATTACGTTTCCCTGCAGTAACAAAAATAACATTGAAAATTATACATTCAAGTTGAATTCAATAATTCGAATGTTTTAATAAATTTATATAAAATGTTTAAAATAAAACAGTTAAAATATTTGGTTTCAAGACTCAATTCATTCACAGAAATGAAATTTTAATGAAAACTCTTACCAAAATACATGCCAGTCTTTGTGAATGTAAGAAGTTTTAATTCATTTAGGGAAATTGATCAGTATGACTTTCAAATACTAAGATGCTTTTATGAAAGGAAAAAAATTACTGAATTTTAATTCGCAATATCTTGAGTTTACGAAGGGAATCAAATGAAAAAGAATCTTGATTAAATAGAAATGATAAGATGGAAGCTTATGTAAGCAAGTAAAATATATGTACTCACCCATTTTTTTAAAAGTTTTTAACTAGAATTTTTTTTACTATGACTTAGGCCGTTGCCAAGCAACATCTAGGCATCAGTACGGATCAATTCAGTAGTTCAACTTAACGAATATAAACTGCGCAGTAGAGGAAAATAAGAAAGATGTCACTAAATTCGAACGACTAAGCTGCGCAGTGGGGGAAATATGAAAGATGTGATTACGTTTGGACTACTAAAGGATCAAATTTCTTGCTAATGGTAACCCGTGCTGAGGCCTTCTCTCTTTTAGGAAATATTGTGCCAACTCGACAGGATTATTAGTTTAGAAGTTATAAGGGGTTTAATATTTAGAATATCTCAAGAGTGCAATTTTCGACTTATTTGAGTCTCTGACGTTGCTATCTGGACAAGTGAGATACTGTTTCATATCGATTTTTTTAAATACTAAATTGATCCAATCCAGAAGATAAGAGAATTCCTGGATCAAGCAAATCAATATACAAGTCTTCGTAGAGCACTTTTTGGTGGAATTTATCCTCGTTTGCGGTACCACGAAAATATCCCACGGTTTGCCAGGAGACAAAAAGATTCTAACCCAAGATCCCTCTACCACTGAGAATATTTTAAGTCAGCATTGTGGTCAGTGAAAGGCGGGAAAAGAATTCATATCAACCAGCTACAGTTGAAAATTCGAACCAGGGTCGAGCCATAGAGAGGCGAACGTTTTTTCATTGAAATGCGAAACCTCAGTCCCCTAAGCCATCGAGTCTCTAGGTATTCATATTGGAAACTTCTAAGTTGAACGACTTTTATAGACACTTAAATTGGCTTGATAAACAATACTTTAAAGTGAATAATTCTTACCAAATGAAAATGGTCCATATGCATCAACATTGTATAGCCTGACTGAGCCATCTTTATCAAGGAATCTGTCGGGTTGATATGCCATTGGGTTGTCAAAATATTTAGGATCATGCATCATTGCGTATCCATTGCAGATAATCTGAGCACCTTGTGGAATTTCATAGTTTTGAAAAGTAAAACTTTCCGTTACACTGTAAAACAATCGTCTGGATTTAAAATATTCATTGAAAATCTTTATTAAAACACAATATCATTAATCAGTCAATTTAGTACTTTCATGTGGCATGCCATAAATTCACTTGCGTGTATTTTACGCAATGCAGCTACTGCAGAATTATACGGATTAAATAGCTCTGTTATCTGATAATCAATGTTATGGCTCTGTTAGTTAATAATACTTGAAACACAATTCCTTTAAAGCAGTGTTTCCCAAGCTTATGACTTTAGTGTACCCTTTCTAAATTTTTCGTAACACTGTGTACTACTAATAAAAAAATGAATGCATTTTTTAAAAATATTTTTATTAACATATTTTAGTTATTAACTGTTAACTCTACAAAAAATAGCCAATAGAAAAAGACGCAATCGTTAATTTTCATGACTAGCTTTGTTTTTAAATAAAATGTTTTGAAATTTTCGTTTGTTGCAAGATATTTCTCATAAGAACGCGTACCCCTGCTAAACTGTTCCCGTATCCCTGGGGGTACGCGTACCACACTTTGGGAAACACTGCTTCAAAGTAAATGGTAACTTTATCCCGACGCTGCCACCAATTTAAATATAGCTGTAACGAATCAAGCTATATTAAAGAAACAGTTCTTTTTTATAAAAACACATTTACATTTACACAATTATTTGACAACCACACATAAACTAAACAAGTTAAATTGAATTGCCCGTAACAGGTTACTAATAACCTTACAAAATAAACGGGTTAGTGTAAACCTTAAATTCAAAACAAAAATTATTCTCTTCAAAAATCAACTCAAATAGTCTCGTGCTTGGTTATACGTTTTTTATTCATGCTTTTGCTAGCCAGAAAATTTTTAGATTTTATACCACTGATAATTAAATATATTTTACTATTTTAAGTATTAATGACTTACTATCGGGCTGGGAAAAGTCCACTTATTGAAGCCCACCGTAACATTTCCAATATCGATGCCAAAGTGTACGGTAGTTTCTGTTTGTCTTCGTAGTAAACCGTCCCATCTCTTCCGATTTCCCGGTCGATTTCTTCGCATACTTTTTTCTGGATTTCTTGGTTTTTGGCCATTAATAGAAGCAGCCAACCTACACTGGCAACTGTTGAGTCATGACCCGCAATTAATAGTATAAACATGTCACCAATGAGATGTTCAACTGAAAAAGGAAATATTTATGAATTTAATTTTATTATTATTTACATGTAAGCAGACACTTATATCGGCTTATATTATTACTTCAAAAGACTGAGGGGAATCGTAAATCGACTACGTCAACCTTCATCTATTAGAAGGTACCTCAAAATAAAATCATGTTAGCATGTCTTATATACTAGTGAATTGGCATTCAATATTTATAGTGGTAGTTACGCCACAAGACTTTCATATACATATAAAACACACACATATATATAAGTCGCAGTCAGTATTATTTACTGCGCATGAGCAGCAAGTACAAAGAACTCATAAAATAAGTTAAAAAACAATGATAGAGAAAACATGGAAAAAATATATAAATATTTTTAAAAGAAAAGAAAAAGAAAAAAATTTTGAAAATGAAATATTTTATGAAAGATATTAAGAGAAAAAATAAAAAGTCAAAAAACAAAATAAAGAAAATATATTATCTCATCAAAATTTCACATGTTTATATCAGCAAAAAGAGTGCTTTCTAATATTCTATTACAAAGCAAAATATATCTATACAACAGTGTGAGGAGTAAAAAAAAATTGAAACAAAATTAAGCGGGAAAATGCTAAATCAAACATATCAAGCAAAAAATAGAAAATAAAAAATTCAAGAAAATGCAGAATAAAACACAAAATGTAATATAAAAGCGTGTAGCGAATTCATATGTACTTCCACTTTCAAAATAATATTTCAAAATTAATTTAAAATATTTTTGTAACAAGTTAGCCAGATTACAAAATATTAAAATAGAAGCGCAAAAAGAGGATGAAGGTATCGTTTTATAACGAGTTCGATTTGTTAAGTTATCTTGGAAGTTATCTTATCCGAAACTGAATGTGCGGAAGGTAAAAATATAATACTGGATAATTCAATGAGGTTGAATTTCAATTATAAAATTTTAATATCAATTATTATTTTTTTTTTTCAAATTTATTAATAATTATAACATACAATTAACTAGATTTTATATAGAATTTAATTACATTAGTTGGATATCCATTGTTTTTTTTAATGAAATTTTTGATGAGTTCGTCTATTTGTTTTGTCGATAAATAAATAATTCGGAGGCATACATAATTGTTCTCTATTTCTCATTATTTTTCACTTGTGCCTCAAAGAGTTTTTTTACTCATTGGGAAAATAGTTCTAGATTTTTCACGTCCCCTCACTCTTCGACAAAATCAACTAGATCAACTTCATCACCATATTCCCAAATGAAGAATTTTAAAAGTCATAAGAAATAGGCTAACATAAGCATTTATAAAAAAGCATAATAAGATCAAATAAAAGAAAGCAGACGATAATTTTGAAACTTCTTAGAGTTTGGAGTCAGGCTCATTTTTATTTTCAACAGCATTGATTTCTATATTCTTTTTATGATTAACTTAATCGTAATCATCTTGGCGGCAATTTTAATATTAGTTAAGAATACAGAAGAAGGAAAAGAATTTTGGGATTAAAAATAGCAGCTTTAATGAAAGTCTTATCAAGTGAGAAAAAAATTCAACAATGGGTAACTATTATTCAAAATTTTCTCTTTTTTAAAAATATTTTTATATTTTTTTCTAACATTATGCTTTGTTTTTAGTTTCTTATCTTTAATCACGGAATAAAAAATGAAAAGACTTTTTACATTTTTTTTTTTAAAGAGATGATAAGGGAAGCGTTTAATCCTTTCAGGGTGGCAAGAAATAAATATATGAACACACATATAATACGCCATTAAAATACCACAGACAACCATGCAAATATCTACAAATATCCAGATAACAGAACCACTAATAGAAAATCAGTACAAAAAAAAAATTAAAAGAAGCAGGTAATTTTAGAGCGTCTTAAGTTCGTTGTTTCTTTGCTGAGACTTTTTTTAAAAATTTTTTTTGTTTTAAGGTATGAACTAACCCGTTTCGGAAATTGGATATGATATAAGCCTTTTGTTTTAATGCACTGATCTGTTACGGGGAATCGGAAATTTTTATGGATGCTATAGTTCTATAACGTTTAGCACAAATCCTGTTCTCTAAAATAGACTAAGAGGAAAATCCATTGGTCTAGGTATAGCGCTTATTAAAAATAGGAAAATATAGTTGGCATCATTCGCGAGTGGTTTTAGTTCTGTGTGCAGAAAGAAAAGAGCCCTGTTAAAATGTTCGTTTTAGATTTCAAAGAGTTTCCAAAAATTCAAGAACTTACATCCAAAATTTGCAAAAACATCTTCCATAATGAGAATATACGATAAGTTCTTATAGATTTATTCAATTCTAAACTTGAGTACCAAGCATGCTTGGGAACTAAACACTTGGGGTTCCTCGTTCGACTGACCACACAGTCGGAAGTCGGCCGGAACCTCCGAGAAAGGGAGGTTACGGCCCTTTTTCTATCTTCTCGGGGATTACGGATGGGCACAGTATTCCTTGGCCCTCTATTTACTGTCACGCCACTGAGTTTAGTTAAACTTTCTTTTAGTAATTTCTCAGTCGTTTTTTTTTTCCTGTTTTGTTTTGCCCAAAAAATAAGAAATTTTTAATTTCCTTTCCACTCTTTTTCCGTAATACTAGGATTTCTAGACAATTTAAGCCATCAAAACCTGTTTGATTGTGAGATGAAACATAGTGAAAGTGGAAGGCTGTGATTAAAAAGATATTCAAATATCGTCTGGCAATCAAACTGATTTTGATGTTATCAGGCTTTGATGTTAACCTTCCTTCAGCAATAATTCAATATGTTTCGATGATTTTAAATAAATAACATCCAAAATTTCGACCATTTTCTGATATTCTGTTTGAAAACATAAGTATGGCAGTCAAAAATGAAAATTTGGAGTCAGAAATAGAAAAAAATACCTGTAAATGAACTGTTGGTATCATCTTTTTTTTTATCTAGTTCGTTTAAGTAACAACCAATAAAATCATCCCTTGTAACTTCATTTTTCGAACGCATTCGGTTTTCCACCTCTTTTCTGAAAATTAAAATTAAATATTTTTATTTCAATTGGAGGAAAAATTTGATGAAAATAGAATGCGCTTATTAATAATTTTTTTAAAATATACGATCAAACTCGTTTAATACAAACCTTGCTTTAACGAGATCCCCTTTTTAACGAGAAATTTTTCAACAAATGTTTGGTTTTGCATTAACTTATATAAAATCCTGTTATAAAACGCGCTGTTTAAATACTTATAATCATCCACCTTTCTTCTTAACACTTTAATATTTACTATTTTAAGTTTTTATAAAAAGGATTTCAGACAACTTTTTTGTAATCCTTTGTTTGTTTTCTTACTTCAGTACATTTTGTAACATATTTTGAGTTCGAAAACTTTCTAGTCAGAACTTTCTAGTCCCTTTGACGCAGAGCGGTTGCTACTCTGCTACTGTCGGCTTGGTTTTTAACTAAGTCAACTGCGAATTATGGACATTGTGGATTTGAGTTTGGTGCTTGATTAAATTCAAGCCTCCTTTGCATGTCTACCAATTGGTGGTGCTCACAATCGAGACCAAATCGGGGGCTTGTGCTAATGATCTGCTCGTAGGCCACTGTCGTGGTGGTTTGTATTGGATTCAGCTATCTGAGCAACTGCTTGCGAATGGCTTGAGGAACTCAAATAAAAATTTATAACGAGCATAATACGGATATGTTAAGAGAGAGTCGCGGTAGCTCCGGGGTTTGAGCGTTCGCCTTCCACTGAGGTCTCAGGTTCGATTTCCAGCGGTATTTAACAGTCAAAAATATTTTTCAAAATTTCCAAAATGCTTTCTTTTAGAACTATGTGCAATGTAGTTTTCAGTCCCATATAGTTTATTAACTTAAAAATTTTTGATCTATCTAAAAATCAGGACAGAAGCAAACGTACTTCTTTCTTCTATGACTCTTCACGCGGTAATGGTGAAGGCATGTTAAATGTTACCCTAGATAGAGGGTAGTTCTCAACGCCACCTGTAGCCACATTTCTATCACCAATTGGTTTTGCTTTTTAGTACACAACTAAATTTTCCTTATTTCAAGTATCATTGATTTTAAATAATATAGCTCTATGGAAACACATTTTAAAAATACAAATATAAACAAGATAAACGCTTGGTTTTAGATAAATTTAGTAATACTGATTCAGTTACGTAGCACCAATTCAACTGTTCACGTTAAGGATTGAGCTTGTGAAAAATAATTAAACATTAAAGTACGTGCCTTAAAATATTAAATAGAATTGTCTACAGCAGAGGTTCTCAAATGGTGTTTCGTTGAAGCCTAGGGTTCTGTAGAAGGGTCACAGAGGTTCCGAGAGTTACATCTCTTTAACAAGTTATGGTTTTCGAAACCCGTAAATAGACTTATATTCAAGTACTAATTCTTATTTTATTTACACTGGTGTGCAAAACTTAAGCAACAAGTGCGTTTTTTGTCATAACTCTACGAGAAATCATCCGATTGACATGAAATTTGAATATGATGTACATTATTTTGTACTTAAACGATGGTAAAAGAATAATGGCGNTTTCATGGCTATCTTATACTTTGTTGGGGAGCTGTGGGTGAAAAACCACTTGTTGCTTAAGCTTTGCACACCAGTGTAATATTTCAGTTATTTTAAGGAAATTATTTTATTGAAATGCTTAAAGAAAGAAATTTCAAAACAACTTTTTTTCTAATAACAATAGAATAAATGAAGCATGAAAAGGATAGATACATTTATAAAAAAATTTAGTACTGTTTTTCATCCAATAAAAATAATCAAATTTAACAGTGAAGAAGTATGTTTCTAGGATAAGTATTTCCAAAGTTCAATTTCTTTTCTTCTCGTTTTAATTTTAATGGAAACCACATTTTATCTCATTGATTTTCAGTTTAAGCATGAACTAAAATTAAATTTAGAATTAGACCAGATTCTAAAATTTAGAACTATCGTTTCAGACCTGTGAATTCAACTGTCTGGCAAAAAAAAAAAAAAAAAAAANAAAAAAAAAAAAAAAAAAAAGTTTAAGATTATTATTGATCAAATGATGTGATGAAAAAAAAATCATTCTTCATTCATTCTTTTAATATTTTCAAAATAATTGAAAAAATTTAGCTAGTTGCGTATTTTTAAAATAATTAATAATCTTTTGTTAATTAATGTGTTCATTATTACTGAAAAAATTTATNTTACCAGGAGGATACTGTCGTGTCGCAAGACGTCTCCCTAATGCAGCGTTCAGGACGTCTAGCAAATAAGCCACCTTTGTGGAGTTAAAGTTTTATTTATAACAATATCTAATGTTAAACCAATGCAAAAAAAAAAAATTCATTTTTCAAATATTTCTCCTGAACAGACAAATTAAAATTTTAGAACTAATTTTAGGATCGGGGCTAAAATTGCTCCGTATAGTTGACGCTGTAACGTATTCTAATAAGATCAGACTAGAATTGCATTACAAAGAAAAAACAATTTATTTAATTACATTTTCATCTATAACTCCATCAAACTTACTCTCCTTAAAATTTAAACATCACTGACTGACTGAGTAACTACGAGACACATGCGAGAGGAAATCACAACGTCCAAAATTCAGAATCTTATCACTTATGGTTCTGTAGTTATAGGAGGTTCGAAACAGGGTTCCGCAATCAGGATAGACAAAAATACTAAGTAAAAAAAAGGGGGGGGAAATTATTTTTATTTTTGAAAAGGTGGCTAATTTAGAATACCTAGCATGAGTAAAGTTGTACAAATACGTATACACTTTAGGCGTCTCAATATTGTTTAAGTTATTTGAAGCAAAAACACTAACTTTTTAATCAAGAGACTGGTGGGTTCCAAAATCTAGCTTTAAATGGAAAATAAAAGTTTGATTCAAAATCTAACTTTTCCTTAAAAAAACATGCCGGGATTCAAAGCGTGGAAGTGTACGGACAAATCAAAGTTCCCTTTCGCGGCATTCGAACGCTATTCAGGCATAGCAGTTAACTGGTAAGAATGTCAGAATAAAAAGTTTTTTTAAAAAAATATGTAATTGAAATCAATAGGTTTACTTACCCAATAAACTTTTCAAGTTTCTTGAGAATCACCATGAAATCTTTCATGCCTTTTATGTTCAAAGTTTCAAGAACTTTGAACGCCCCAGGAAACAAAATGTTTAGATTGACTGATACCATGTGTTTCATCATTTCTTTGCCAACTTTACACATTGTCTATGAAATACATCATTTATTATTAATCTATGAAATACATCATCTATGAAATACATCATATTAGTTACGACTTCTTATAAGTAGGGTAAACTAACCAGTGAAGGAACACTTAAGCTTCGCTTGCCTTTTAAAAAATCCTATTAATTTCAAAATTCGTAATTTTAGTTACATGACAGTGTCAACATATTTGTTACTAATTGCAAATTATGTAAAAAAAATTGTAGAGAACTTACATAATATTGTTTTAAAGTTTTGGAGGTTCAAATAACAAGTAGTAAGAAGACCAAGTGAAGGAACAGCTCTTACCAGCGAATGAACACCCAGTAAAGGAACACTTAATTTTGGTTATTTTTTAATGCTCTTTATGAATTTATAAGCCATACAAATATTTAAAAGAAAGTCTATTCTTGAAATTATAACATATAAATGCTTGGAAAATGTTAACTTTTTTTTGTAATCATGAATTAAAAATTAAAGTGTCAACATATTAACACATACTGTTCATTCACTGGGAAATCTATGCCCAGTAAAGGAACATGCCCGTTCCCTCACTGGTTAGAAGCTGTTTTTCGCATTTTTAGCATACTTTTGATGCGGAACATCACTAAAGGTACAAGAAAATTAAAGTTTTTCTTTCATTTTCATTAACTTAGAAAAAAAAACCAGTAAAGGAACACTTGTTCCTTCACTGGTTTTTCATCGTTTGGTAATCCAGTGAATAAACACCCCCTTATCTCAGTACTTTATTATGCTATGATGCTTAAAAAAATAAAACGTAACTTCAATAACTATATTTTGAATTCTCTTTTTCACAGTGAGAAAAATAAAACTATTACATGCAATTAATTCCACTTCAAACATATAAATACAAACACTCGCCTTATAATTTTTTCAAAGAAACAAGGTGTTGCAGAGATAATAACAAATTTAAAAATTTTTCCAGAGAAGTCTATTTGACCAGGTAATCCAAAACATTGTTAGATGATTTCCTATTGTTTGGCAGTAAGCTATTGTTACCAATCAATCTAAAGAAAAACTATCAAATTCTTATTTTTAATCAATATATATGAAATGTTCCTTCACTGGGTAGTGTTCCTTCACTGGTTGGTTTACCCTATCTAGAACAAAATTAACGAATCATGTCATGTCAGTATATATAGCGGGGATGCACAGCCTATGGCCCGTGGGCCAAAAAAGGCTCTCATAGTGCCCTCTAAACTGTCTAAAATATAATATAAAAAAATATAAAAATTATTTTTTAAGCCACGTTCTTTCACAGAGAGTTACTGATCTAGTTTAGAGCCTTTCTCAAAATATTAAAGTTTTAATAAGGCAATGAGTACAGAGTTTGCAAGAAAATGTAATTACTTATGAAATCGTACAAATGAAGAAAAAAAAGAGAAGGAAAAAATTTTCGCAAGATAAATAAGTAAAAAATATGTAAAATTTCAAAATTCTAGCAATTGTCATCATATTGAACATTAGAACATAAACTATAGAGTCTATCTTAGTACACTGCAGCGAAGCGTCATTAACTGATTCATCGATGATGATAAGTTGATCATGGCTATTAAGTGATGTGAATCTCTAATTAAAAATAAAAATTCAGGATCACAGCAAAGCTGTAATCATCAATATAGCGAAATCCATATGGCAGGATTAGGCTTTGACATCAGCGAGAAGGGATCGGAGCATCTTTACTAGTTCCTTATTGTGAAGATGTTCTTGCATCTTTTTGAAGATATTTAAATAGTCTTGTAGCTGAGTCGGCTCTTGTGGCTGAGTCTACTCTTAACCTTTACCCTTAGCACTAATTTCTTAATTAATTGATTTTCTTAACACCTTTTACCCTCAGCCCAAGTATCCAAATGACTTAATTTATTAAATTTAAAAAAATAATAATAATAAAACTTTACATGGCAGGTGTGTATATTTGGAGCTGAAGATTATGAAATTTAACACGAAACTGTGAGATCGTGGGTTCTATTCCAGCTGATGGCAGTTTTTTATTTTTATTTCTTTACACTGAAATTTTTTTTTCTTAGTTTTTAAAGTATTCATGTTAAAAACTAATAATTTAACAATTATTAAAAAAACTAGAAGGCTCCGCCCCTTGTTCACTTTGCTCACTAACCTTCGTAGTTGCTTCTCATTAATCAGTGCACAGATAAGAGGAAAAACGGTTTATTTCCATTTTTCTACACAAGAATTACGATTGCCATTTACATTTTGAAGATGAGTAAATTTAAGCAAATCAATAAAATTGGAAAATTGATACCTCCCGCAGAGTTATTTCTCAGTGAAGATAGACTCAAGGGATACAGCATTCGCCTCCGGATGAGGTGAACCGAGTTCGCTGGTCTATGATGGTGATGGCTGCTGGTCGATATGAATTCTACACCCGACTTGCACCGACCACAGTGCTGACCTAAAATATCCTCAGTGGTAGACGGATCATGGGTTAGAGTCCCCTTGCTGTCAGACTAACAGTGGGAGGCTTTCCTCTCCATGTAACTCAAATGCTGATTGGTTCCATCAAAACGTCCTCCACGAAGGCAAAAATTTCATCAAATACTTGATCCTGGAGTTTGTTTGCTCGATTGGGTTCAAAATTACACGGTTACGGAATTGAACATTAGTAGTCGAAACTCGAAATTGGGTGGGCTGTTCAATGACTGTTATGAAATAAACTAATAATTTGGCCGCAATAGCTTGGTTAGTAGGGTATGTACTCGTGAGAATGGGAGTTCGAATCCAGCCGGCCGAAGAATACCCATGTTTAAAATGGTGACTGGTGCATGTTAAATCTGTCTGGGTCACAAAGTCCAGTAAGTTCTTAACAAATCAATACCTCTGGGTACTGATCCAGGAGTTCCCTTGTCTTCTGCATTGAGTTCAAAATCACAAGGTTACGTAGTTAAACATGAGTAGTTGTAAACTCAAAATTGAGTCAGTTTTTCAATGGCGGTCATAAAAAGAATAAAACTAATAATCAAATTGTATTTTCTTGTATTTCTTTTTAACTCCTTGCGTATTTTCTACACTCCTTCATAATTTCATGTTTCTAAGTCTATAGATTTTGAGCAACAAAGCAAAATGTAACGTAAACGAATGTTTTTAGTAATTTAATGTTAATACTCAACAATAAAAAGAATGACAGTTTTCCTCATGTGTATATAAATAGAATTGAACTTACTATAGTATAAGGGCCCCATCTTTTTCAGTAGCTTGGGGCCCCGCCAAGCTTAAATCCGGCCCTGGTGTTCGTGTAGTTTTTAATCTGACAGATAATAATAAAAAAAAAAAGAAAACATAAATCATGTATGTTTGGAATATTATTTTACTGTTTGGAATATTACAATTAATTTTTAATCATATATAGATTGCAATTCAATTGTCTTAATCATATTGATGATTGTATTATTTTATGCTTTGATTGAAAGCATCTTCCTCAGAAATAAATTTTTTAAAACCCTGTGATTAGTTGAATTTTTTTCCAAAAAAGTACGTATTTTTCCGTCATGAGATAGTACATACGTATTGTATAACTTTATTTTTACAACAATCAATAACACATTTTCCCATCAACTACATCATTTCAGATTCTGTAGGTTGTAGTTCTTTTTCTTTTTTTCTTAAAATAAGACTTGCAACGTAACTCTCTTTATTAAAAAAGTTGAACTTTTAAACAGAAAATTACTGTTTAACAGAGAATTATGGGGAGATACAGTGAATTGCTTTTGGTCTAAAAATCAGAATGTAAATCTGGTTCCTTAAGATATTTCAGTATAGTATCATAAATTATTTCTATATTTCATTACAAAATCGTAAAAAAAAAGCACGTTATGTTTAACTGAAATTAAATGGAAAACGTTTTCATTCTATATAATATTTAAATGACAATTTTTACTTTAACTCACAGCCCAGTATTTTTTGACCAAATCATTTCTCTACATCTATATTTATAAAGAGGCAATTTTACTTCGATTTCTTCTTTTTCAGTTTCTTCATCCAAATGTCTACCGAAAAGTAGAGATAAACTGTTGGTGATTTGAGATCTTGATAATAATGGCTCAAAGAAAAATGGTTTCCCATTTTTATCTTTCAATTTATTTACAAGTTTATTTGCATCTTCCTAAGAGAAAAATGGGAAAAAAATTATTTAACTTTTTTTAATATGTTCCAAATATATATTCTAAATGAAAATATGTATTAAAAATGAAAGGAATAATATTTTAGAAAGAACTATTAAAATGACTATTATATAACATCTCTAATTAGATTGATTGTATTGTACATATGAAGTAACAATTATCATAATTTAATTAAAAGAAATAAAACAACACTTCTTTTAAAACTTTAAACTCTCTAAATCAAACAACTGGATTTAAAAAAATTACTTTGAGACTCTTGATAAAACAAATGGATTTTTAAAAATTACTTGCTTGTAAAAAAAAAAAAAAAATTGCTCATGATAAAACAATCGAGATTTTTAATGCATGAGTTTTGATTCCTTATAGCTCTATAGTCCAAGCCAGAGGCTGAACTACATGATTTGAGTGGAATAAATCAATCAATTGTCGTTCCCATCATTCCTATTTGACGATTCGTGTTCCTATTGGTTGTAATCTGTTATTAATTGATGATGTCTGTTCTGAATTGATGATCATAACAGCATGGCATCAATTTTGGTGTTATAACATTTAAATAACTAGTTTTAAAAAAAACTTTTAAGAAAAATTGGAACCTTATTCTTAACTTTAATTCATAAGTAATATTTCGCGAACCCCCTAGATTTGTGAAAAGTATAAGGACATAAGTTGAAGATTAAACTTCGTTGCCTGAATCATGCTTAACACAGTTAATTCATGAATTAATTTAAAAATTAATTCATGGATTAATTTTTAATAATTAATTCATGAGTTATGTTAATTCAAGATGTTTGACATGGGGTCAAAATTCCATTTTAATAAGTGAAAACAATAAATAAAACAAACAAATAAATAAAACTGAATTATGCTTTTCAGAGTGGTAATTTGTGAATCTAAGATGCCAGATTGTCCCAAAATCAGGATTTTGATTAATGAAAATACATAAGTAGATATATAAATAAATCTGATGTTCGCAACAAAAGTGTATAAGTCAAAGCTGGAATGGGTTGATTTGAATAAAAAATAACAAATTATTTGTCCATTTTATTTTACCAACAAAGTCTCAAAAGCTTTTTGGACGTACTACGAACTGTTTTGCAAGTTAAGAATAAGGGTGCAATTTTCAAAAGTGTTATTAATAACATATTTAATGAAGTACGGAGAAATGCTCAATGTGTCAAAAAATCACAAAGGATTAAAAAAAAATCGTTAAATAAAAATTATAGGAGCTGAAAATTGAATTGTAATGTTCTCTGCCTGAATTCTGCTTAGAAAAAAGATAATTTATTCTCATCAAACTTCAAAAGTGTAAAGTTCGTCAATAGCATATATATATATACATATACATAATATAAAAAATACATAATATATATATACATAATATAGAATAATTATTAAAAATACTAAAAACTTAATGCTAAAAATATATATATAATTGCAGCAACAATGTGGCGTAGCCTGAAGATGCAATTAACAAACCCTTGTACATAGATTTCATTTAGAAAGCTGTGTCTGAAATGGAGTAGAATAGTATATTACTTCCAGGGACTAATATAGGGGTAATATAGGGGTATAATACAGGGCCTTTATATCTATGATTACTTCTTAGTTTTTAGTCAATAGCGCCATCTGGTGTCGCAACCGAATCCGTTCCAAATCTTCATCCGTTTGTCTTTAATTGATTTTTAAAATCGTCGGTCATTTAAGAGTTGTTGGTTAGAAATAAATTACAAGATCTTATTTTTACAGTAACTTAATAGTAAGAATTAAATAGAAACTACTTATTAATTCCTTCATTTGTTTATCAAACACAAAATAATTAGAATTTTGACTCTATTTCACCTGTATCATTGTTTCCCAAAGTCCTTTTCCAAGTCCCAAATTCCTCATAGTGTGCATAGTGAATCGACGCTGCTCTTTCCACTCCTCTCCATTTAATGAACCTAATCCTAAAAATATATATTAATCTTATAGTTTTTATAAACTAAATGAATTTCTTTTATTCTTATTACTGGTTCGTTTACATACGAACTCGCTTTCTTGTCTGAGTCGCTTTCTTGTCTGAGATTATTTCTATTTTATTTACTGAGGTGTATTTTTCTCTAGTTCGTACGACTTTCCATGAATGAGAGGTTGATCGAATGCCGAGAGACGATATCCAACCCCTTACCAATACCGCGCATGTAATTGTATTTTATTTTGGAACCATGTTTAAATAAAATTAAATTAAAATTGTCCGATCAAAACAATCTAAAATGCAAACAATCGGGCAGCGGTAAAATTATCAAAAGTTGATCGGTCCTCGGTGATAAAAAGGTTAGAGAGCATTAAGCTAAAGCACTTAAATCTTTGGTAAGAAGCTATGCGTTTGTAGACCAAGTTTCAAACATTTTCAAACCAATATAATCAGAATTTTTATCGTAAAATTAAATTTACTGTCAAAAAGAAATTTCGATAATTTTACGACTAAGTGGTTAAAATTGAGTGAAATTCCATGTCCGGCGACAAGACATATTTCAGTCCTTTCCTGACCGTTACTCTGTCAGAATGTATAGTCACATTACGTATGGCAAAGATGATTTATCGTGAATCACAATTTTGACCTAGAATTCTTATATTTAGACTAGACCTCAGGGCCCGATCGAATGGCTATATAAATTTCAATCATTTCCTGATTGCACAAAGCAGTAATTTATCGGTAAATTACCGACACCAGGAAATTTATTGTCAATCATAATTCCGACCCCTGTCTAACTGACGACAATACAAGTTTCAATCGTCTCCGAACACAAGTAGAGTTTATTGCCTTTAAGGGATTGTCAAACGTAATAACTCAGTGGTTAAAAGCACTCAGCTTTCATTGCGAAAGACATGGGTTCGGTCCGCAGAGCATTCCAGCTTCAGATTAATAGACACCAGCTTGCATTAGTAAACAAATAACACAAAAAGTGTAATTTGACCAGAAATTGATATAAACAGGCTATCGTAGTCATGGTAATGGTTAAAGGTTAGCTTTGCCCCGACTATAGTCAAATTATGTCCGGACGAAGTAGCAAGAGGAGCAACCGTTTGATCAATTATTAACCCTTTTGACGCAGAATTTTTATTAGACATATAATTATTTTGTATTAATTTAGATCAAAATAAGTGAAAAATATTATATTTAGTATTTGATTAATTTACAGTTATGAAATGTAACATGAGACGAAATACAACATGAGACATCTTTTTTTGCGCTAAAGGTAAAATTTTCCCAAAATGGCTCACTTTTAAACAATAATTTTTCAAATTTGCAGTTGTTTAGACTTAAAAGAAATAGTTATTCCTCGTTGAAATTTCTTTCATTTTCAAAATCAATCGTTGATAAATTTTAGAAAATGAATGAAAAAAAAAAAAACTATTTTTTTTTTTTTGGATTTTATATTTTAGTTCAAATATAATCCCAATAATCTAACAGATTTTTTCAATAACTATTAGATTGTTTTTTTATAATAAAAAAAATACTAAAATTCATTTTTAATTGTAATGAACGCCAGGAAAAAATATATGGAAAAAATATATATGAAAGGGACACCTGTGTCTGCAACAAGGGATTAAAACACCTCTAAACTTATTTCCAATTTCTTTCATTTTCAAAATCAATCGTTGATAAATTTTAGAAAATGAATGGAAAAAAAATTAACTACTTTTTTTGGATTTTATATTTTAGTTCAAATGTAATCTCAATAATCTAAAATATTTTTTTAACTATTAGATTGTTTTTTTATAATAAAAAAATACCAAAATTCACTTTTAATTGTAATGAACGCCAGGAAAAAATATATGGAAAAAATATATATGAAAGGGACACCGGTGTCTCATCTGCGACAAAAGATTGAAACACCTCTAAACTTATTTCCAATGAAAATTAAAAAGCTATAATCTTGCTACATCTACCACACATCTTGCAAATATATAAAATTTTCTTAAAAAGCAAAAAGTAACGAATTTTTCTGTAATTTGATTACAGGCTTAACTATATGGAGTGATTCTAATTTTAGTATCATTATATAGAGTGCAACTTAAATTACTTCTGATTAAAGCGAAAGAAAAAACATAAATAAAATGGACACCAGTGTCCCATCTGCGTCGAAGCATTAAAAGTAAAATTAATTACCTCCTTTTCCAACCAGGAAATCAAATGAATGAGGGGTCCTTGATAAAGTGTTTGGCAGATTCAAAATATCCTTAATCATGTGATATTCTGTAACACATACAATTAGTTGCGGGCCAGTATAGAAGCTAGAATAAATATTAGATGACTTTAACAGTCTAGAACAAAACGATGACTTTAACAGTCTAGAACAAAACAGTTATCAGGGCCCCATAAAAAATTCAATTCTTTTTAGCTAAACCGAAGGTTCCCAAATGGTGTTCCACTGAACCTTAGGGTACCGTGGAACAGTTAAAATGGTTCCAAGAATTAAGTTTTTATTTTAACCAGTATTGATTTTTGACACCTGTACTTATATTTAGATCCAATCAATTATCCATTATTTAATTAATATTTTGGTTGCCTTTTTGAAATTATTTATGGTAATATGCCAATAAAAAAGTATTGGCAGTTTTGTTTTTAAAAATATATAATTTTTCTATAAACAATATAACCAAAAAGTTATAAAAAGAACATGTTTGTATAAAACATTGCACTATTATTTCCTATCGCACTTTTCATATCAAAATAAAATAACTACATTTACTAATAAATTAATATGTTTCCCTAATAAACATTTTCAACTTTAATAGTACTTCTTTTTAGTTTTAATTTCAAAGAAAGCCACAATTCTGCTAATTTTATTCATTTTTAGCTTATGTATATATACTAAAAACAACTTCATAACTAAACTAGATGCAGCTCTAGGACTGTTAATTTAACTCTCGGACCTGAAACCTAATTTAAGATTATAATTAAAGATAAATTTCAGTCCCCTTATTAAGTATTTTTACAATAAAGTCTTTTATTGGTTAATCATTTAGGTTTCCATGGCCGGAATAAATCAAGAACAGCCGATCTATACATTATTTATTCATTAGAAAATTAAAAGTTTTTACACACAGCAGTGCACAGTGGGCCAGCATCCAAGGTTTCGTGGCCAAAATTAGTATTTCGATAAAATTTGTTTCAAAATTTGGGATTTTTTATTTAGGGGTTTTTATGTGCTGGTAAATTGAATTCATAGTTAAAATTTTGAAATACACTAAAAATACCCAAAAAAACAAAATGGCGGCTGAAATATGGCGAGCAAAAATTAAAAAAATAATATAGTACGTTTAAATAATTAAATATAGCAATGAAAATATAATAATTTTCGTAATTTTATATTAAAATTGAAAAGAAAATTATATTTCCGAAGTAATATTACAAAATAACGCGAAAACATGAAGAAAAAAACCTACTTTTTGATTTTTGGTATATTTAGTTCACCTTTGCAATACGGGCAAAATGGGGAAGGTTTTTTCGAAAGAAGAAACATCAAAGAAGACAACAAAAATAAGTTTAGCTAATTACATCGTGGTACTTTTGTCATTCAAACATTGTAAAATGTCAAATGATAAGATATAAACTATAAATTTGTCAAGAGTATTAACTAATCCAACAAATTGAAAAATTGTACTATAATTTCAGATTAATTACTCTGATAAAAATGTAACAGTAAGGTGAAATTCTTATGTATATTTCTGAAAAAAAAATTTAAAAGTTACATTTAAAAATAAAAATTTAACATATCATTGAACTCTAGTCGGTCCAAAAAGTAAATTATAATGTTTGGAATGATTATGAATACTTAATTTGGGCTATATTAAAACTGCCTACACATATTTTAGTTGAAAATTTAATTGTTGACTTTTGGCCAAAGATCATGGTCTTCTGGCCCACAGTGCAGTGGCGTGCAGAGGGGTGAAAGGGCAACGACTCGAGTTATCCAACCTAATCAAGGACGTCCATTAGGCTACTACTAAAAATCTTGAATCTATTAACTTTTATTTAAGCTGTAATTTAATTTGTGATTTAAAGTTATTTTTAAAGTTAAGATATTTCTTTAAATTGCAATTAGAATTCAGTGGCGTACCGAAAGAGTAGGGATGGAATCTCTTTAATTTTTACTCAAATTGTTATTTAAAGCTTTTTTTAAAGTTAAAATATTTTTTTAGGATGTTACTACAATGCAGTAGCGTGACGAAAGGGTAGAGAAGGGAGCTCCTTAATTTTGAATTAAAAGTTATTGTTTTAAAGTTATTTTTGAAAGTTAAAATATATTTTGTAAGTTGTTATTAAAATGCAGTGGCGTAACGAAAGGGTAGAGAAGCCTTTTCATTTTTACATAAAACTTGTTATTTAAAATTAGTTTTTTAAGATTAAAATATCTTTTACGTTGTTATTAAAATGCCTTGGCGTAATGAAAGTGGGGCTAAGGGGCTATATGGCCCCAGGCATCTAGCTAAAAATTAAATCCAATCGGATAATTAGAACTTTATAACTGAGATATTTGTATTCTTTTTAGAATGATAAATTATTCATTCTTACTCGATTTAATTAAATGAATTAGATATGCTTATACAAAATTTAAAAATATACGGAAAAGAAAGTTAGAACTTTCCAACTAAGATAATGGTATTCTTTCTGCAATTTTTATATACTTATTTGTATGAATTAGATATCTTAATGAATATATATCAAAAGGTATATAATATAAAAAAGCAGTTTCATAAATATGTAACAAAAATAGCCTTGAGAAGGAAAAAAAACTTTTAAAAGGAAATTTTAAAAGATAAACACATAAGAACTTTCAAATTAGGACAGTAGTATTCTTTCTACATTTATTTTAATGTGAATAGGATATGCTAATAAATATATGCTGAAATATGAGGTTTAACAGTTTTTTAAATAAGCATGAAAAAAAAATAGCTTTAAGTGGGGGAAAAAAATTTGAAGGGTAAATTTAAAAATCCAAGTATTAGAACTTTCAAACTAGGACATTTGTATTCTTTCAAGAAATAATAATATAATATAAGATAAATAATGCATTCTTTCTAGATTTATTAAAATGAATTAGACATGATAATAAACGTTTGTAAAAGTGTATAAAAAGTCAGTTTTAGAAATATAAATTTTTCTTGAATATTAAAAAAGATTAAAATTAGAACTTTTAAAACGAAGATATCTGTATTCTTTATTTAAATAAATAAGAGATAAACTTACCTAAATATGCCGCCATATTTATTACCTAAATCTTGGAGTGTTAGGTTAGGTTTTTTACCCAGGAAGAATCCGTAACCAATTAACGGTAAACCAATAGGTCCTGGGGGATAATTTCTAGATCGAAACCATCTGTAAATTATACTACATAATATTAACGAAACAATAAACACTCCCAGTGTTTTCGTAACATAATCAATATGAAAAAAGAACATTTTCAAAGTTTCATAGGACAGTTTAAAATGGCTTCAGCATTGTCTTTAATGGGAAACCAAATAATAAGGTTTTTTCTTTTTTGATATTAAAACTTTTTTTATCAAAAAAAATATCCAGAACAAATTTATCTATTACACCTCTCCTTGTCAATCTAACACGCACTATCAGAAATATATGACAGTATTTAGAAGCGATTATAATGACCTTCGTGGATTGAAGGCTGTTTACGTAACGCGAAATATCAAGCTTTACGTACAGCGTTAAGTTCTTAGATTGAGTATGAAAAATAGTTGTGTTCATTATAAAAAAAAAGTTTCGTAGATTTGTATTATCTTTACCGCCAATTTTTACAATTAAATTAATTGCGCAAATATGCGATTAATCTAAAACACATGAATATAGGTAAAAGAAAATAAGGATTTAATGAATAATCTGTGATAGAGCATGGAATTTGGCTGTGTTCATTATAAAAAGTTTTTTGCTTTGTATTACCTTTAATGTCATCTTTTACAATTAAATTAATTGCGTAGTTAGGTGATTAATCTAAAGCACGAATATAGACGAAAGAAAATATGGATTCAATAAGCAAGGATTTAAATAATCTTTTGTAGAACATGAAAGTTGGTTTTGTTCATTATAAAACGTTTTGTATTACCTTTACCATCAATTTTTACAATTAAATTAATTGCGTAGTTAGGTGATTAATCTAAAGCACGAATATAGACAAAAGAAAATATGGATTCAATAAGCAAGGATTTAATAAATAATCTTTTGTAGAACATGAAAGTTGGTTTTGTTCATTATAAAACGTTTTGTATTACCTTTACCATCAATTTTTACAATTAAATTAATTGCGTAGTTAGGTGATTAATCTAAAGCACGAATATAGACAAAAGAAAATATGGATTCAATAAGCAAGGATTTAATAAATAATCTTTTGTAGAACATGAAAGTTGGTTTTGTTCATTATAAAACGTTTTGTATTACCTTTACCATCAATTTTTACAATTAAATTAATTGCGTAGTTAGGTGATTAATCTAAAGCACGAATATAGACAAAAGAAAATATGGATTCAATAAGCAAGGATTTAATAAATAATCTTTTGTAGAACATGAAAGTTGGTTTTGTTCATTATAAAACGTTTTGTATTACCTTTACCATCAATTTTTACAATTAAATTAATTGCGTAGTTAGGTGATTAATCTAAAGCACGAATATAGACAAAAGAAAATATGGATTCAATAAGCAAGGATTTAATAAATAATCTTTTGTAGAACATGAAAGTTGGTTTTGTTCATTATAAAACGTTTTGTATTACCTTTACCATCAATTTTTACAATTAAATTAATTGCGTAGTTAGGTGATTAATCTAAAGCACGAATATAGACAAAAGAAAATATGGATTCAATAAGCAAGGATTTAATAAATAATCTTTTGTAGAACATGAAAGTTGGTTTTGTTCATTATAAAACGTTTTGTATTACCTTTACCATCAATTTTTACAATTAAATTAATTGCGTAGTTAGGTGATTAATCTAAAGCACGAATATAGACAAAAGAAAATATGGATTCAATAAGCAAGGATTTAATAAATAATCTTTTGTAGAACATGAAAGTTGGTTTTGTTCATTATAAAACGTTTTGTATTACCTTTACCATCAATTTTTACAATTAAATTAATTGCGTAGTTAGGTGATTAATCTAAANAAGGAAAGGAGAAGATCAAAATTATCCGTTTGAAAACATCGCCTATCAGAATAACATGTAGTAAGCAGCTGAAAACTTTTTAACCGGAACTAGAGTAGGTCCCGAGCTCGAGATTGTTTACATTGCCATTGAAAACACCATCCATATGTACACATCTGCAGGGAACTTAGCGGCTTCATTATGTGGGTCCAGGTTCATGTCCGTCGTCAACGGGGGAGTGAGAGGGGTGTGTCACCCTCCACCGAGTTTATCCAGTCGGCAAATTCAAGTTGAGTCGGCATTATTATCTTTTTTCTTTAGTATTAGTTGTTTAAGACGAACGCATGTCTCAAATCATCAGCGTTGTGGCAACATGCACAAAAATTAAACTTGAAGACCAGCATGCGTGTTAAACTACAGCATGATGCATCAGCCGAACGTTTTGCAAAGCAATTGTTGGATATTGGTAATGGAATGATGGCAATAGATAAAACCACCCAAAGCATTATACTGCCGACAGACTTCTGTAAAATTATTTCAACCATTGATGAACTTTTTCACAACGTTTTTCCAAATATCGCCCAAAGTTACAAAAATCTTCAGTGGGTCAGTGAACGTGCTATATTAGCAGCAAGAAATAGCGATGTATGTCCGCAAAAAAAAACAAAACGAATCACCCTGAATAACTTTCGTTCTAATGATCGGATTTTCACGAACAAAGTGTCAATCTTAATGGTTCCTGGGGGTGACCTCAAATATGCTAATTAATTAGTGCTAACTATTAATTACGTTACGAAATATGACACAAAAACGTACTTTCTCTGAATAAACATATATTTTTTTTGACATTTTTGGAATCTAGACACTTGAATTAGACAAAATTTTAAAAAAATTGGGTCGCAAAAAAGGTTTATATATTTGGCGATTGTCCAGAAGACAGCCAAAAAAAGTCGCCTGCGCAAATGAATATTTTAAGATAACCCATTGACTAATTCAAAAGAGGTACGCTTAATTTTACTAGGTTGCTAAGCAACCAAGCTCTGACTGTAAAAAAAATTAAATTATGTTCTGTGATTGCTCGGAGATGTTTAATTAATTGTTAATAGAAAATATCTCGAAGTTTCTAGGCAATAGACAACTTTTAAGCTGATTTCTGTCAAAAAAGCAAAAAAAAAATTATATTAATCTCCTTTGAAAAGAAAATCTGAGTCGATTTATAAATTATTTATGATTTTCTATTTTAGAAATCAAATACGTGAAATTTTTATCTGATATTATTTAGAATATGCTGTTTTTGCCATATTAATTCGAGGATTTCATACTAAAATCAAATTAACATAACTTATTATAGCTATATACAAAATTTTAGGGACAATCATTTTTACAGCTTTAATCGAGTCTTCTAGGCAAGAGAGTTTGAAGGGGAAAAAAAGTGCTTGAAAAATAAAATGTAGATTGTACAGTAATTCTAATGCGCATTCACAAGGATTTCTATAATTTACGATATTTCTTTTTTCTATAACTCAAGGAATGTTTAGTGGCATCTTAAAAACACTGAAATATGTTATGTTTAAGAATAAGATGTTGAAATAATATGTTGCATATTGTATGATTCATTGTTTAAAAAAATCGCTTCGTTCTGCTAGATATTTAGGTTACATGGTTTTCTTTTGATAAAGATGATTAGTAAATAGCATCCTCATGTTTCGATACATTCTGAAACTTACGTTCGCAAATTCACCATAAAATGTCGCACAGCATATTCTTCAATTACGATAAATTACATTTACCACCAAATACTGACTGCTACTATGATTATTTTTGTTTTCTTACATATACCTGATACTCTCTTTTCAAACAGAGCTCGTAAGATTCTTAAGTGGGGGCACAAAAACTTAAAAGATAAAATATTTAATTTCATCAACTCAAAATATCTGGTCTCAAAATTTTAATTTTTAAGTTAAATGTAACTTTTACAATATTAATGCTTTTACGTTTTTAAAGACCACATGAATCCTGTTAAAATATTAAAATGCATATGTTTACTTTAACGAGTGTAAAAACCTTATCAAAATAATGATCAAGACCCTAATCTAAAACAGTATAATTGACGATAAAAGCTCAACTGGCTTCAAAAAATATGAAGAGGGAAGTAAAAGTCGACATGTTTCCAGCGTTCAAATATAATCGCCCATTCTCAAGACTTGTCAGCTTTGAATAACTTGTGACTTTTATTATTGGACTCTCAAAACATGTCTATTTTTATTATCATCTATTATTTTTTTAAATCAATGAAGTTTTTATATTTTCGATTCAGTTTCTTGGGATTATCCATTTAGTTACACAACATATTAAATTATTTCACTCGACATTAAAATAGTTTTACATAAGTTATAGGCACAGGTTCTTAGATTGCAAAAAATAATAATCCACTACTTTGTAAAAAAATTAATGCGGTACATTTTTTTTTTTTTTTTGCTGCAAGACTTAACATTTTAATCTAAGGACATAAAAAAATTTCGTTGACAATTGAAAGTTCAAAAGTCGAATGTGAAAATAGAATGTCCCTTAGAACCAGGAATCGAAATTAAATAGTTACAAGGAGAACTATTTCAAACAAGTTAGCATTTCTGTTCTACTCGAAGTTGTTTGAAAAGGTATTTTTTATATATCGATTCCAAAGTTTATTCGACATATATTTTAGGGTATACTTTCGGAGTATTTCGATTGAGTTTATTTTTACACCCTTCTTTGCTTAAAATTATTAAATAATTTGCTTAAAATAAATTATTCAAGCTACATGATTTAATGCATTTGTAGTATAATAGTAAACGGGGCTTCCATCGCATATCCTTTACCTTAATACCGCTATCATTAAATAAATGGAATAAGCTTGCATAAATAAAAAAAGTTAATATTTTCTTAGTTTTAATTTTCAAGGAATAATATGTTTCGATCAAACAGATTTCATTCTGGAAATAGCGAAATTATAGATAGCAATTATAGATAGCTTGGAGCAATATCATTCATATCCTCTTTTGACGAAATATAGGAAAAATTAGTTTTCAGTTTCTGTAAAAAGTATGTTAGCCTTCTTGCCACGTTTTTAAATTTTTTTTTTATTAAAATAAGTTCGGAAATTGCGTTATAGCATTTTTTTAAAATCAGATGCCTCTAAAATTGGCACGGCTTCGGAATCTTCTTACAAATTTCAATTTTTAGTATTTCCTGCTTAAGGGTGTGTTGGAGTGAGATTCTACTTTCCTCGTTCCCCATGTTAACCTATGAAGAATTATATGATTCTTAACCTACTCTTTATTTAGTCACTAATTACTAATTAATATTTTGGAATTTCTTTTGCTTCATTTCTGACATTTTCCTGATAACAAATTATACAACAATAATATCTTGGGAATCGTGCTAAAGCAAAAAATTAAAGAAAACAGTTTAGTATATTATCAGGAAAAAATCTACTTGGTATCATAAAGAAAGAGTAACAGATATAATGAAATAATTAGTGAGTCACACGTGGTCAGAGAATTAAAAATTTAATTTCACAACTAAGATGTTAGGACATTTAAGATACTGAGATATTTTAAGATGCTTAAAAATTTGGTTTAAAAATTTTAAACAGCGGAATGTTTTTAATTTCTTAACAAGGTTTTATTCTTAGCTAGCAGACAATAATTCTTTTTAAAAAAAAACGACTATAATTTAAAAAGGAGCTTTACTTTAAAGAAAACCTAAATTAAAGTAGTAAAAAAAATTATTAGTATATTAATGAAGAAATAATAAACGTAAAAGGGCAAAGAATAAGATTTTTAAAAATGTTAAAATTTAATAAAAATAGTTGGTAAAATAGTTCTGCGAAACACTTCAGAAAATTTCTTTTACGATTAAGACAATATAGGGTAAACCAACCAGTGAAGAAGCACACCCCGGTAAAGTAACATTTCATAAATATTTTTTAAAAATAAAATTTTAAACGTTTTAATTTAGATTGATTGGTAACAGTAGCCTACTACCAAACAATAGGAAGGCATCTTACAATGCATTGAGTTACCTGGTCTTAGAGTCTTCTCTGGAAAAAGTTTTGAATTTGTTAGTATCTGTTCAACGCCTTGTTTCTTTGACAAAATTATAAGGTCAGTATTTGTAGTTATCCGTTTAAAGTACAATTAATTGTATATAATAATGCTTTTTTTTCTCATTGTGAAAAAAAGAATTCAAAATATGGTTATTGAAGTTACGTTTTATTTATTTTAAGCATCATAACATAAGTAAGTACTGAGATTAGGGGGTGTTTATTAACTGGATTACCAAACTGGTTCCTTTACTGGAATTTTTCAAGTTAATGAAAATGAAAGAAAAATTTTAATTTTCTTGTACCTTTTGACATATTGTACATCAAAATTATATTAAAAATACAAAAACGGATACCTTAAACGGGAAAAATCTTTGGCCCTAAAAATTAGAAGAATTTATATTCTAAAGTACCTAGGAAAGAAAAAGTACCTCCATTGGTAGTTTTTCTTTACATAAGAAATCCCTGATATATTACAGAATCAGTCCATGCTATATATTTCATTGGAAAAAGTGATTAATGAAATGAAACGATGACCGCAGCAACATTTTACAAATATATTGCAAACGTTTCTACCCATGGCTAATTAAAAATGCTACCAAATTCCCTATTTTGCTTCTTCTGGATAGGTATAAATTTCATATCAATTTGAAACTGAGCAAGTTTTGTTCATCAAAACAAATTTTCTGGTTTAGTTTTCTACCTAATTCATGGAAATCTCCCATTAAATCTCGAAAACAAAAGAATTGTAAAACAATACGTCAAGAAAATTTTACATCCAATTTTAAATAAGATTTTGAGGCATTAAGTGATGAAGTTAAAATGCTTTTATGAAATGCAATATTTTTCCATTCGATGTAGAAAACGTTGACTGTAACAAATGCATGCAAAACAGACACCAAGAGTTAATGAGCAAGACAACTTATCAACAAAATACATGCACTATTTTTTGCAAAACGATGCACTATTATTTGCGAAACGATGCACTATTTCTTCAGAAGCTTGAGAAGGAAATCTCACAAGTTATGTTGCAAATTTTTAAAGGAGCATTGACAACAGAAAAGTTTAATCTCCCAAATATCCAATAGCCTGTGCTTTTCTCAATATTGAAGGATTTATTTCAAGAAGAACATTTGGTTAATCAAATTTTGGCACTGAAGCTAACACAACCAACATTGATAATGAAAGTATCTTGAAAACTGATTTTGATATAAGTCCTCTCGAGGCATTGTTAGTTGCAAAAACAATTGGTTCCATGAGTAAATGGTAAGTACTGCTGAAGACCCACTAGATATAAGTCAATGAGAGATGGATTTTACTCAAACTTCGAAACTCCTTTTACTCATTTATTATCCAGTGTGGAATTCTAGAAAGGGTACTGGAAAATCAAAAGAAATTTCGAAGATACATTTACATTGACTAAAAAGTTGGAAAAAAGAGGAGAAATAAATTACTTTTTTGCAATAACTTCAGAAAAAGAACAAAAATTTAAAGAGATTGAAAGAGCTGAAGAAAAAGTTAAAGCAGAAAGTGCTTTATTTTGAAGAGAAAAAAAATACTTAAAAAGATTTTAAAAAAATCTTAAAAAAAATATGGGGAAAAGAGTAAACAAAAAAGGGATATAATTATAATAATAATAAAAACATCGAATTACACAATGATAAACATTCATAATTCTTGACATGTTGTACTGATAAATATAGTATATATATTTTAAAGTAGAATTTATAAAACACCAAAACCCATTGTAGTCCAAATCTTTTAATAACTAACTTAACAATAAGAATTTATGTATGCAATTTAGCTTGGCATTTCTGTTGTACAAAGTATTTGCCATTATTTAAACTAAAATTTTCATTTACTATTTTGTGTGTTATGTCTAATTTAAATTTTAATATTGTAAAAATATGTCATTATAAAGAATGAAGTAAATTAAAAATCTTACATTTTTCAAGATGACTGAAAAGAAATAAATTCTTTTTTGTTGTAATACTTCTCATTTTAGGTGTGACAAAAATATTTTAATTTTCTCCTTTTAAAAATCATGGATTTTAAAATTTTCCTTAATTTTTTTAAAAATAATTTTAAAAGTCATGTACTTTATACGGTAAATACTTTAGAGGAAAAAAAATTATTTTTGAAATTTAATGCTTTGATAAATATCACTAATAATTACACAGAGATAATGAATAAGCAATAGCTAACAGAGTGTTCTAAAAATTAGAATATTATAAATGTTGTTAGTTGCATTAATTAAAGACATTTACAATATATTCAGATAAGATTCAATTCAGAAAACTGTGCTTCAAAATGACTATATATTCTGATTTTAGGTACTTACTTTGGGTAAATATCCATTTATAAATACAGGTTAGTATTTACCCTACTCACATTTATCACTGTGAGCCCAAAATGCAGTATAAAATTATTTGTAATGTATTTATAATTATTTTAATAACTTAAAAAATTTATTATATTTGTATTTTTTTTTCTTTCTAAATTTTATTACAATTTTCATATGTTGTTTTCCAGATGTACTGTAACAAATTTTACAATCTCTTTAAAGTACTTCAAGTCTTAGTTTCAAACTAGTTTTATTTGCATAAGAATCAATGAAAAGCAAATAAGGTTCTTCTTCAATATGAATCAGAGAGTCTTTTTAAAATAGATTTCTGTCTGAATATTTTAGTGCACCCATTGATTATCATTAGATTTATCACATTCCCTGGATAAATGGGGTTTCTCTCTAGTATGAATAAGAGAGTGTCTGTTTAAATTGGTTTTCTGTGTAAATGTCTTATCACATATGGTACAAGAATAAGGCTTCTCTCCAGTATGAACAACAGAGTGTTTACTTAAGTGACCTTTCTGTGAGAATGTTTTATTACACACACTGCATGAATAGGGTTTTTCTCCAGTATGACCAAGATAATGTTGATTTAAATTAGATTTATGTGTGAAAAATTTATTACATACACTGCATGAGTAAGATTTCTTTCCAGTATGAACCAGAAAGTGTTCATTTAAAAAACGTCTCTGTGAGAATGTTTTATTGCACATGCTGCATGAATAAAGCTTCTCTCCAGTGTGAACAAAATAGTGTCGATTCAAACTTCTTTTCCGAGAGAACGATTTACCACACACATTACACGAACAAAGTTTTTCACCAGTATGAATAAGAGAATGTTCATCTAAGAAGCATTTCTGTGAGAATGTTTTATCACATACACTGCATAAATAAGGATTTCCTTCGCTATGAACACGATAGTGTCGATTTAAAGAAGCTTGACGTGTGAAAGATTTATCACATACACTGCAGGAATAAGGCTTTTCTCCAGTATGAAAAAGAAGGTGTACATTTAAGAGATGTTTCTGAGAGAATGTTTTACCACACACACTGCATAAATAAGGTTTTTTACCGGTATGAACAAAATAGTGCCGATTTAAACTTCTTTTAGAAGCAAATTTTTTACCACACACACTGCAAGAATAATTTTTCTCTCCAGTATGAATAAGGGAATGCTCCTTTAAATGACTTTTCTGTGAGAATGCTTTATCACACACACTGCATAAATAAGGTGATTCTCCAATACGAGCAGGAAATTGCTTGCTTAGTTTAAGTCTGAATGCAAAGGATTTATCACACATATTGCGAGAATAAGGTTTCTCTATGAATACGATAGCGTTTCTTTAAAGGAAATGTGTGATCACATGCACAACATGAATAAGATTATTTTTCAAGAATCAACGTGTTTCTTTAAAGAGAATGTGGGATCACACACATTATGAATACATTTTTTCACCACAATGAACATGATTCTATAAAAATATGTTATCACATACTCAGCATCAATAAAAAAGTCCTCCACAATAAAGAAGATTATGATTCTCTAAACTATCTTCCTGTGTAAATGTTTCATGGCATGTACTGCATGAATAAGGATTTCCTCCTTTATGAAAATTATAGTGTATTTATAAAATTATAGTATACTTTTCTAGCTATAGAGAGTGAAGAAGTTTTTGTAAACTAATATCTATGTTCATATATAAGTCGGCTGTTTTATGAACATAAATTTTTAATTACTACTGTGTGTGAAAAATGTACCACACACATTCAGTATAAAGCTTCTCGTCAATATGATAAGTTTTTTAACACACATTGCAGGAGTTGTATTTTGTTAAACGAGAAAATATTTTGGTAATTACTCTTTATCTAAAACCTTATTCACATAGATAAAGCCGTTTTCTTCAGCTAAAGGAAGAAAAAACTCTTTTAACTGTAAGTTTTAGGGGAGAGATTTTCTCTTTACCCGTCAGGATTGGGCTAAAATCAGTAAAATTATACGACAGACGTATACTTGTAATATCATAACTAGAGACCTTTTAATAAAAAATTGCTCGGGATCAGTTTCAGTGTAAAAATTGTCTGAAGGTTTGTTGATAAAAATCGGATATTTTTAAAGCTTCCGCCTGACAATTTTTGTAAACCCCAAGAGTATCTCTTAAGAACTGTTTCTACTGCATACAATTCGCATGTGAGATTGCGCGCGGACGTGCTTCGCAGCTGCGTGAGAAGTTCGTGCCTGTAATTTTTAAACATTCTGTCGGATGCAGTGAGAACCTTGGATAGTTTCTGGCAGATTTTTCATCATTCACATTTGCTGGTAAAAAATCTCTCAGAAATTGAGAATGGTTCCTTATTTAATGTTAGCTTTTATAGGAGCATTCTAACTATATGCCATTTGTCGTCGAAAGGAAAAGGAGAAACTTATTAGAGTTGTTGCTGCTGTAGTTCATTTACGTCGCACTAGAGCTGCACAATGGGCTATTAGCAACGGTCTGGGAAGCATCCCTGAGGATGATCCGAAGACATGCCACCACAATTTTGATCCTCTGCAGAGGGTACGGCACCCCCGCGTCGGTAGTCCGATGACCTGCTCACGCAGTCGAGCACTTTACGGTAGAACAGTTTAACGAGGACCAATACCGCACATCCTCGGTCCCTGACTGATCCAAGTTTTCCCCCACCCGCACACTGACCGCAGCCAGTGATGCTTGACTTCGGTGATCTGCTGGGAACCGTGTCTTAACGATCAGCCACTGCGGGATGAAACTTATTAGAGAGTTATTCAGAGAATATGGACCATTCTCAATAGCTTTTTTTTTTTTTTTTTTTTTTTCAATATTAATGTGAACAACAGCAATCTGGTCCTCTTGACCTGCACTACTTCACTCTAGAAAGTATACAGCTGCTTGCTATAGCTCATTCTGTGAGGCGGTACTTCTAAACAGATCATTTTGTTTTGAAAAAAAAAATTATATAATTTATGAGCTCAAATCTGCTGTATTTCATAAGATATTAATGATATTAAGTATTGATAATAAAGGTGACATGGTTGCTAGATCTGTAAAGAAATTGCTTTCTAAGCAGTTCTGATTTGGCCTCTTTTTAATTATTATTGTTTGTTAATGGTGCAAGCAGGGCCGGATTAAGCATACGCGGGGCCCTAGGCCATTCAAATTTTTGGAGCCCTTGGATTGAATTTTTTCTCGTATATTTTTTATTTATTCCAATATAAAAGTATTTATGCATCTTTTCATTTAAGAAAGCATATTTAAAATTAAAATAAATAACAATAAATTAACTTTTACTTTAGTTTATTAAATTAGAACTCAAAAATAATCATAATATTTTGAAAAAATTTGAAAATTCATTGTCTTTCTTAATTTTTTTAAATTTATTTTCAAAAAATCTATTTTAAGTGGGCCCCTAATCATTGGGGGCCCCAGGCCATGGCCTTGTCTGACCTAATGGGTAATCCGGCCCTGAGTGCAAGCCATGCACCATCATACGCTAGTGTTAGCATATTGCTAGAGCTGCTAGATTAAGTTCTTTTAAAATTATCATTTAGGTTTAAATTTCGAACTTGATACGTTGTTTGCAAAATAAAAAGTGTTTGATAGCGATTACTTTTGCAAATGACACTTCTTACGTCTTGGAATGGCAGGTTTTCAAATAATGATTCTTATGACGATTTTTCTTTTAAACACAAATAATAAATCAGGTAACAAATAAACATATGCAAAAAGTTAAGTTCACAAAACTATTGATAATATTTACTGAGGGTTCATAGACACTTTAAAAAAACAAAAACAGGAAATCAGCATCCGCTTAGCTATTTAAATGGCAAATTGAATAATGGTTGGATTAAATTTCAAGGGAATTGCTCCAAAATTTTTGTTTTCTGTTCTAAGCACATGGTGTCAGGTTGTTTTACATTATCATACTCGCTAAATAACATACGTCCGAAGAACTGCAAAGCGAAAATAAAATAAAAAGAATGTAAATACCGCGTGTTTTACTTCTAAAATAAACCATCTATTTCAATATTTAACATAAAAATATACAAAATCTGAATAAAATTTTCCCACACGAATATATAAAGCTTTAAAAAGAAATTTACAAAATTTATGATGGTATCGATTAATTTCTTCTTGGTTGTTTATTTAGTTATTGTATGTTATTCGGAAACCTTCATAAAGTTGTCCGGGAGGGAAGAACTTTGTTAGGAATATTTTAATGGAATCAGCTTATGCATTAGCATCGTAAGAGTCAACAAATTTATTTCATAAGTGCAATAATATAAGTTTTAAAATATTTAAATGAGTGCAATATTAAGTTTAGTAATGACATAGGTTCCTGTGTAAAGATATATTAAGAATTTTTTTGCAATGAGTAATTTGCATGCTAAAAAACTAAATAAGTATTTTTTTAAGACTGTGCTTATGTAAAATTTTTTAATTCATTTTGGTAATTAATCTTATTTTAAAGCTAAATAAAATTTTAAAGTAATAATAAAAAATTAATTTTCTTCCTGTCTAAGTTGACTACAAGAGCTGATTGCATCGTACGTGATCAACTTAGGCAAGTTCAACTGCACTGTTTTTTATTTGTTTATTTTATAGTTTTACTGTTTGAATTTTTCTTTAAATAATAGAACTACTATTTCTTAAAATAAAATAAAATTTTAATAAAATTAAAATTTTAATAAAATTAAAATTTTAATAAAATTAAAATTTGAAATAAAATTTTAAAGTCATGGTTAAAAAATTAAATTACATTTATATTCCTTTTGATAGGCAACATGACAGCAATGATTTAAGAAATGATAATAAAAACAGTGACTCATTCTCCTCTTTAAGGTGAGTCTCTGAGTAAGTTGCCTACAAATGAAGAGTGCACCGTCGTAAAAGTAAGAGGTCAACTTAGGTAGATTTAACAGTACTATTTTTTATTAATTTGTTTAATAGTTTTTAGTAGCTGCCTGTATTGCTTTTTTATGAAATAACAGTTTAAAACTAGTATATTATTTACTTAATTAATAATTTGAATAATAGCTTCTATAGTTTTTTTAAAAAAATATTAGTTTATAGCAATTAATTTAAGGGGTGGTCATGAAAAAAACGTTGCTTTCTATAGAGCGTGAGCAGAGCTACTTTTTGTGTGTTTGGCATAGCGCGTCGGTTTCTACGCTTGCCATTCCAATGTTGTTTAGGGTTTTTTCATGCTCTGAACATTTTGTTACAAAAATTTTTTGAATATGTCATTCGAAAATTTCGAATTTCTGTACCTATAACCGTAGCCGTGAGTGCCACTTTGCTGTCGTTCTCAGAATCTCGAGCTCTTTCCTACGAATGTCTGAAATTTCATCTCGTCAATCGGTTGAACGGACTGACTGCTAGAAATCCATCCTGAGGCAGAATTTCCCCCTGCTTTTTTCGACAAATCATCCTAGCACGATTATCTTTCTTCAAGATATTTTTAATAGTAACAATTATTGGCGATATCGCCAATGATATCGAAATGGGCTACAGATGGAGTAAAGGAGAACTCTCTACCTATGGCAACATTTCGCATGATTTCACCATTAGCGTGTGGAGAGTCATAGAAGAAGGAAGTACGTTAGTTTCTTTCTGGTATAAAGTCTAAAAATATAAAAAAAGATAATATATATAAAAGATAATTTTTTTTATAAATAAACTGAACAGTTCTTTAATATAGCTTGATACGTGTAGCGTATCTACCACTACAAAATTACAACTACAATTCACTAGTATATAAGACATGTTAACTCGACTCTATGTCGGGGTACCTTTTCATAGATGAAGGTTGACATGGTCGAATACTACTCTCCCCACATTGGTGACCTTCGGACGTGATGTGAACACGCCTACCTTGGCAAAAACGCCCACTTTTATCTGGATACGCCTACATCGGCAGTAACATCTAATTCGTTGGATGGTCCACATTGAACAGTTGACTTGTGACTGCATCATTATCCACCTCCTCACGCAGTTGCTACTCAGTCTCATCTCGATCACACACAACGCCGGCTTGCATACACTCGACTGCTAAAGGCAACACTGGAGCGACTACGACCGTGAAGTTAATACACTTCTCACATTCAGCACTCATAAAGTACGGTGATCTTAATACAGCTCTCCCGGTTTCGCACAAAAACAGCAATGATTCAACTAGTGGTATCCATTCATCGAATTCTATCACAGATATAATTCTAGTGGGGGAGTACTGTAACGTATCTACCACTACAAAATTACAACTACAATTCACTAGTATATAAGACATG